TGATTTCAGATATCTTTATTCGTGTCGTTTGATTTCAGGTTTTTTTAAAATAAAAAGGGAAGCCATAGTGAAAGAATAAAGATTCGGGTCCGACGGCCCCGCCCACCACGGAGCCCAACAAGGGAACACAGATTCCTGTGTTAGGGCTAGCCGGACCTATACGCAAACTGAAGCCCCACAGTCGGCTTTCCCGAAAGCAGGTACTCCCGAGAGCTTGACCCCAAGCCACTGACACAAGGACTAGTGACCAGCCGATTGACACCCGTGAGGACGACTAAGGTGCCTCCCGTTTAGCTGAAGCAGAGGCCAAAGCAGTGTGTTGGGGACAGTACCTCGCCCCTCAACTACCAGGACCCTCCTTTCCAGCGACACGGGTCTCCACGCACGGCAAACACGTGGGCAGTTTTCTCGCCACTCGAAAACTAGAGACAAGGTCTGTTCCAGTCCTCTCGTGACGAGCCCCAAACTCCGTAGAGAGAAACCACAAGGGAGAAGGGAAGGGAAAAAAAGTTCCAGCCAAGAGGAGAGGAAACGGAAAAGAGGATAGATCACTGGGGCTCCAGGATCGTGACACCCGTCTCACCAAGAAGATGATCCCCTGAAGGGCTAGGGTACCTCGGGATTGCCACACCCGTACTCACAAAAGTGAGCCCCCTGAGGGGCATATGCATAAGGCCTATACAGAATATAGTGCAATGGCATCTGCACATATCATTGTATGCATCCACCGGCATATAGAAGTGATTCTGTGGAAGTTTCCAGATCAGTTTCCATGCAGAGAATGGCATTTTTTTATGATTTACGAAATTTTTAATACAGTCTAATAATTTGAGCTCATAAGATGGTTCAAAAGAAAATGTTTGGATTTTTACATACAACATTTCAAGAGTTCACTGTGATTGCAAAAATTATGATGAAACTGGAATTATAATAAATCTGGAACTGCCAAAAAGCTCTGATGAATTCAGATCTCGAACTTCGTACTGTATTATGTATTTCGTAAAACTTATCGATTTCAATAATATTCTTTTATTTACACCAAATAAATTTCTCTAGGTACATACACTTTACATTGTCACCATATATCAGAAGTTTCTAAATCATGCACTGAAAAACACTAGGTAGGGAAATACACGAGGGGAAGAGATATGCACATAAATAATCTATAAGTCACTACTGTAACAATCTACTATGTTTCGATTGTGTTCTATTGAAAGTGCTCAAAGTTTTTAATTGCTTCTTGTGAGTTTTAATTAAGTCTTTTCACTAAAGTTTTAAAATTTTACTTACGTTTTTAATTCTTTGGACTATATGCTATTTGTTAAAGGTAAAATTTTGATTTGAATTTTTCACTGAAGTACCTTATTATTTACGTTTTCATTCTTTAAATAGAATTCTCTTTATTTAAGGTACAAGATTCTAATTAGAATTTACTTTGTTTCTTTCCTTGCTCTGGGGAGGGGCCAGAATTTTTGGGTGCACTATTATAATTAAAATACACTGAAATGTTCATCGGCTAATTCTGGATACAGAAAAGCAAGGATTTTTGTAGAAAAGAGATTTCAATGTTCCTCCTCCTGACGAAGTGACATTCAAATTGATTGAATTCCCCTTCTATAATATTCATTTTTCTTTCAATTTCTTTAATTTTTTTAATTAGGGTATTGCTTATTTGAAACGTTTTGTTTTTAACATTTTTTAAAATTCTTTATTGTTGCCCCCAAAATTACCAAATGAACTGCAATAGGAATTCAAGCATGCATGGACATGCTCCTGAGATGTCTGATAGTGACAGTGTGCATGCATGCATGTCACTATCAGACATCTATATGCTTGAATGTATATATGTATGTATTATGCGTGTAATATGTATGCATGCATGCATGTTTTTCAAAAATTGCAGAAAAACAGTGGTATACATAGCCATAAAATTTTTAACAAACATAGTCCTTCATCCGAATGTGTGACCCCAATGACAGAGCTTTAAATTTTAAATTTGGTTTTATTTTGTATTTTGTCTAAATTTAATGAGAATTTGATTAAAAACTTAGTGATTTAAAACGCTCTGTTAAGCCTAAGATATTTATTTTATTTCAAATTTAAACAGAAAACTCAGCAATATAAACAAATCATGTTGCCACTCAGCAAAAAGTACGTTATCCTTCTTCTGGCTTTAATCATGCTGTGCGAAAATGATTTTTCTACACCATGTGCACTTCAATGGCCAAAATTTGAAATGTTTTAAAAATTTATTTCATATTCTGCATGAAATTAATGAACTTTTAATTAAAAACTCAGTGACAAAGGATCTTTGTGGTGCCATTCATCAAGGCATAAGATATTTACATTTCAAATTTAATCAGGAACCTGAGTAAAATAAGCGTGTTGCCACTTAACAAAATGCACTGTGTTTCTCTTTTGAATTTAATCAACAAATTCAGCAATTTAAAAGAAACATGCTGCTGCTGCTGCCCAAATTAAAGTATTTTTACCTTTCATAGGGTAATATGATGTCACCCTGCAGTGCGTTAATGTATTTTTCTTTCAAATTTATTCTGTTATTAACAAACTAAACAATTTAGAGCAATAAACACAGACTTATTTCAGTTATTAATAATTACTAGCTTGATCCATGAAATTACATTAGCTAGATTCATTAAAAATCATTGTAGATTTTTTCTGTTTTATAATAACTATTTTAGGTAGTTGCAGCTGGCTAGGCTCGTGGTTAATATTTAAAAAAAAAAAAAAAAAAAAAAAATCTGAAAGATTTCAGATTTTAAATTATGTCCAAAGGGGCATTTTTTTAATATTTTGTGTGTTACCTTTATTTATTAAATATCGTGTTCTTTACACTTAAACCATAAAATTCAGTTCAATAGCAATGTCGCAAAATAATTTTAAAAAGAGCATATCTTTAGAATTTCCGATACACAGTTCCGCATGTTAGAAATAAAAAGGTTGCCCCCCCCCGTAGAGTGTTGCCATTGCTCGCTTTTAAATCGTTGAGTTTGTTACTCAAAAATTCGTTAAAGTTTTACAAAATATGAAAACGATAATAAAACAAATTCCAAATTTCAAATTTGGGCTTCCACATGCCCATATTCGTAGGAGGGATACATCATTCAATATTTGATGGCTCTATGTACCGTTGTTTTATCACAATGTGAGAAATACACATAGATTTATGCAGATTTTTCATTATTTAATTTCTTAAAATACAATGCAGGTCTCTAACATTTGGTGGCAACAGTTTGAAAAGTGTTTCGCCATTTAGAGTGATTCAACGCAAAATGAAAACAATAGTCCTTCAGGGACAAAGTACCTTTGGACTAAAAAAAAGACGGAGAGAAGAGAATTGTTTTTTAGCCCTTTCAGGATGGGCGTCCCATATACACACTCCCTAAGAATGTTTCTTACAGCCAGGCGTCCCATCCACGCATCATTAGAGATTGCATTCAGAGGACGGGTGATGTGTATGTTACCGTGAAAGACCGAAATTGGAGAATGTCAACTTTCACCAGAGAATATCAACATTCACCAAATATGTCGGTGAAAGACCGAATATTTCACTAAATTCTTGTATATTTGGACCCTCACCGGTGTATGTCAACAATCACAGATATGCTCTGGTGAAAGTCGAAAAGAGAGGTCATAAAGTGCCATAGTAGTTTGTTTTCAATAAATAAGATTTGAATGACATATTTTAGTAAGTTTTTTATTACTGTTATTTTATTTTTTTCATTTAGAACGTACTGTATAATTAAGTAAGTTTTTAACTTCTATTATTTTGCTTTCTCATTTTGAATGTATTGTGTGTTTTAGGTTCTCATGTTCTTAAGTTCTTATTTCAAGTTTCAAGTGTGTTTATTTGCAAATGAATTAAGGAGAAGAAAATATAAAATTGTTATATGTTCAGCATTCACCATTAGTACGTGGTGAATGTCGACATTGACCGGTGTAAGTCAGAAATAAGAGTATTTGGAAAATATTTCGGACATACACCAAGAGACTATGTGAATGTTGACATTCACTGGTGAAAGTTGACATTCTCCAGATTTCGGTGTTTCACCATAACATATACACATTTTAAGCTGGAACGTTTTTCTGAAGGCTACTAGATGGCATCCTATGTCCATTACTTTTGAAATGGACACAGTTTTAGGTTCCTGACCTTGAGTTTGATATATTCTGCTTGACTTTGGTGGGGGAAGTGCAAACAGAGGTGGGCTTTTTAAATTGCTGGGTGCTAATGAAAACATTTGCGTGTCTAATTTATATCCAATTCCTTTTGTTTATTCTATTTTTCCCTCTACTAAGACTACTACTACTTGCTTTATTTAAAAACTGTTCATAATATTAAATAGAAGTTTTCTCCTCCATGCTTTTTTCTTATTTGGAGGATTCAAAAGATTCCAATTTTGAAAAATTCCAGAATGTTTTAAAATTTAGATTTGTCCCACTTCAAATACAAAGATCATTTTTATCAATTATATTTATACTATTGTTAACGTGTAAGTGAATTTTATTTTATAAAAAGTTTGTGAGTGGCTGAATTATTCAATACAACTACATTTTAAAAAAGTCTATTAATACATTAAGCAATATGTCTGTTATTGGTGACTAACAATATGCTTTCTATTCGGACTGCATCAGCCACTGGTGAATAACATTATATTCTATGTTTTTCACTCAGGTTGTCATCAATCATTGTTAACTAATGATATACAATTTAAAAAATTATATTTCTCTATCAAATTCTACACAAATATCCAGCTGCCAGCATATTGGGAAAACATGATATCATAGACTACACAGAAAGGAAGACTTTGGCACTTAAAATGTTAGTTGCAAAAATAAAATTGAAAAATTAATCCTGTGTTTTACTTAAAAAATGAATACAGAATGGAAAGTTATAAATAAAAAACTAACATTAAAGTTAATAATATGTTTTAGAGTTCATTATAAAATTAAAAAGCATATTTAATAAAATGACATACTTTAAGCTTTCTTCTAGTTCTCTTTCTTCTCCTTCTCCTCCTCTTTCGATATGTAACTAAAGTTATAGTTGCACCTGTAGCAGCTACTTTTCCTTTTCCTGCATCTAAAACATTTTTCTGTGTGCGAGCTAATTTGACCACCTTTTTAACTGGTCTATATGATGCTCGTTTCCTTTTCCGAGGTTTCTTTGTTACAGGAGGTTTGGACTTGGTAACACTCTAAATTAAATACAGGTTGTTATAAAGACAAAAAACTATACTGTTTTGCATTTTTGTTAATTACTCATTATATTAAAAGTTATGAATGTTGAGATTCATAACATATTAAACATTTAAGTAATTCCTTTAAAAGTATCTTTGAAAGAACTTCAGATTATCAAAATAAAAAATAAGGTTAACTTTTGACTTTATTATATACAACATCTGTATATTTATTTATCTGATCTCAGTATTTCAACCAAAAAAATTTTAAACATAATATTCTAGTAAGAAGTACAACAGGAATTTTATCACCTAAGGCTTAGTTTAAAAATATTTTATGCTTTTTAACGCAAACAATACTATCAGTAAAAAAAATTAAATTTGATCAGCCTTTTTTAATAAAGTAATGAAGTAGCAGTGCATAACAATAAAATAGCACAGGAAAGATTTATTAGTTTTTACAAAAGAAAAGCAGAATAAAAGAAAATAAAAAACTGTTCTTGTAAATTCTTTCATAAAAAATTATTCAGTACACATTATATTTTCATCCATTTATAATACTTTATTAGTATTTATTTATTAAATATCAAAACACATACACAATTCCACTTGATTCTTACACCTATATATACTAATGTGCAAAACTTTAGCAACAAATATATTTTTTAACATGCAAGCATGAAACTGTTGAAAAGGGCTTTTGGAGTTCAGTAAAATCAAAAGGCAATAGTACAAAGGTGATGCATATGCAAATATCAGCAGCATAACATCAGAGCATAGAAAAGATGAATAATCAATGCATTAATTGCATGGCAAGTACATTTCCAAGCATTCATCTGCAAATGAAAGTGAGATTGCATGTGCAGTATACCTTCAAGAAAGCATCAGAATGCTTTTACTTATCATAGAATGATTGGCAAGCTTGAGGAGAGGCAGTTTGACGTCCATCACACAAGAGTTTTTGGATTTGATAAAGTGTTGTTTCATGAGCTTGGAAAGCTTTCCAAACAACAGATACAAGTTTAAGAAAGGTTGTTAGTGAATGGTCATGGAAAACAACAGTGAAACAAATGATGAATGATATATCGTTCTGCAGGCCAAAAGAGATTGAAACCAGACAGCGAGCAATGTTGCTTGGCAGCTGCACACGGCAACTGGATGATAGGTGTCTCAGTTCATTGTAGTCAGAGGATTTCATAAAGGAAGCTTACTTGCCTGTCATCCTGAACACTTCCTACCACTGACAGAAGCCTATCAGCAACATCATTTGTAGTGGTGTAGAGAACACAAAGTCTAAACACTTCGTCAAGGAAGTCACATCCTCCTTACCAATGAGGGTCATTTCAATCTGCCAAATGATTCTTCAAAGCCAGTTGATATGGAGAGAGGTAGTGACATGCTTTCATCCTTCTAATATCAGAAAAAGAGACTGTTGGGGTGGTCTTCGCGATCTTGTATGAATGAAACTCCCCTTTTCGACAGAGGTTCACTTATTGGAGATTGTTACTATGATGAAGTTATCTTTTCGTACATGCATTTTTGGGGGTTATCATTGGCCCTGACCTTCTTTTTATATGCACAACCACATAGGACTCATGCTGGTAAGGAGTTCCTGGAAAGTGAAGATGGAGCTGCAAAATGGACTGGCTAGTGTGCTTCTTTGATTTAAATCCCACTGAATATGTGTACAATACTTTAGGGAGATGCCAGGCTGTATGATCTTACCCTCCAGAGAACAACCAGAAAGCTAAAACACATGCTCCTTGAAGAATGGGAATTCTTACCCCAAGAACATGTTAAATAATCTGGTGTTCAGTGTCAACCTTCAGTGCAATGCAACCACTACAGTTAAGGAAGATCATATCCCTTATCAAGAACCAAGGCTCTTTGGTTCTCTCTCTTGGCCAGACAGAATTTTGTACCAACATCATTCTTTTAGTAACATATTTTCAAATATTTGTTCATACTATACAGCCCCCCCCACAGTAATTGTATTTTAATATAGTGTTTATGGATTTCAATATAGCATAAATTCACTGGACAGTGGATTACAATATGGTGTTTATTAAAAAAATCAAAAGCACTAGCAAACACATCAACACTCATTCCATTGCAGTTGAGTTTGTAGCAGCACTGGCACACAGCCAAAAGTACATATGTAATGCACAACACTCTGACATGCTTGCAAAAGAAGCTAAAGAAAAAAAAAAAAAAACATTATCGCATCTCAAAAAATAACAGTTTAAAAAAATAAATATACATAACATTAGAAACATACAAATTATGCTTATATGCACGATTGCTAATGAATGAAAATAAAATGGATAGATTTATGATGTCAGTTAAATGAAAAAATTATAGATTATGTACGAGGGCATTTCGAAAAGTAAAGATACAATGGCTCGCATTCCTTAAAAAAAACATTTATTTAGAAAACGTCAGGTACATCTTATTAACTGGATTATTTATTATTTTTCGACATAATCAATCCCGTTATCCAAACATTTGTTAAGTTGGTGCACAAGCTTTTGTATCCTACGGTCATAGAAGGTTGTCGCCTGTTGGAAACCAGCACGCACACAATTTCCTGTACCCTAACTTGACAGTCACAACTTCATAAAGAGTTGTCATTGACACTTCCGGTATGATCTGATGCAATTCTTTCAATTTGAGACGTCTATTTGCACGAATTGATTCCTCTGTTCTCTGAAGAAGGGCATCAGAGAAAACAGATGGCCGACCTGTTCTTTGTTCGTCATGAACATCGGTCCTACCTTCAGAGAAATGACGACACCATTTCGTTACATTTTGTCGATTCATAATGTCAGCTGGTTGCTGACCTTTTGCATGAAGAAAACGTATGACGAAGCGCACTTCGCATTTGGCGGGATTCTGAATCGGTGCAGCCATTTTAAACACGACCTACTCCAAACAGAATCAACGTTGAAATGCCAAACAAATACGAGGAAAAAGCTAACAGCTCAAGTTTAACACCTGTGTTGTCAACTTGTTCACCAAAACTTTTCTTTTCCTCTGGCGTACGGTGTATCTTTACTTTTCGAAATGCCCTCGTATGTTTGCATGGCAGGATGCATGACTACACTAATGTGAAATGTTGGTACCATCAATAAATTTATTCGCTAGCCAAAATTTGGCAAAACTTTTATAGTCTGGTGTGCTCCTTTTTTCCCCTCCTAATGAGTTGGTACTTTTACTCTCTTTGAGTCAGTTGCTAGCTGGCTGAAAATTAACAAATATATCAAAAGGATTCAACTGCAGCATCTACAACGCACGATAGTTTCCAGTAATTTTTCTCCAATTTCTACAAACATATCAAATTCAAAATGTCATTACTTTAGCAAAAAATAGAGAAATGCACAATTATTTACATACATTCATTTGTATTTTTTCTGCATGTATTAGCAAAGTATTTAACACATAAAGGATAGAGGCATTTATTTGCAAGTTTTCAACAAAATTTTACGCAAAAAAGATAGAGACATTTATTCCCTAATTTTGTTATACTGAAGAACTTTTCTGTGAAAATTTCTTTAAGTTTTCATATTTGTTTATTTTAAGCTTATGTGAAAAGTAAGTTATTTAGTGATTAACTCAATATATTACAATTATTTGAAATTAATGCAAATCCAAAAATTTAATATCTAGTTGCCAGTAAATTTGAATTACAAAATGTAACCAATACACATTTCTTAGAGACAGAAAATAAGCATGATAAATTTAAAATTTTTCCTTTGCATACTTGAAAAACTGAGTTAGTGATTTTAAATTTTATAAAAAAATTATCTGGCCTTCCACTTCACATATTGTTGTTCTCAGGTACACAAGCGAACTGCCATCTATCTGCTTTTGGGTCAGGCATGCAGCCCACTTGCAATCTGAGTTTGAGACCACTGGTCTAAGGAATATTTTTAAGACATTCTCTGCACTCACTCATCATTGTGAATGGTACTGTGATGGCATTAAGTATGTATTGATCCTTGCAGACCAAATACATCCACACAAGCAGATTTTGTTGCTTAGAATTGATGAATTTCCCAGCATGACAATGTAATCTGTCACACAGCCAGGAATGCATGTGAGCAGTTTGAAGAACATGAAGAAGACTTAACTTTAATTCTCGGGATTCTCAGCTTTCCGAGAATTAAGCCTAACTGACAATCTCAAGAGGCAACCTTGATCAGGTTGCTCGCTCTATGAATCTTTCACTCTGAATCTTCAAATAGCTGTCAGTCGTACTCCTGTCAGAATCCCACATCCCTGTGAACACCTCCCAATACTTGATAAGTCCCTCCCAACTTGTGTAACTGCTGTCTATGCTGCACACAGTGGTTATTATTGACATTAACAAGTGGCAGGTGGTCACATTAATGTGACTTGACAACTTATTTGTTTAAAAACATCTGCAATTTTACTTGATGATTTTACTTCAATATTGGATGATAACAATTACTACATAGCACTTTTGGTATTCGAAAACGGTAACAATGTCATTTTGATTTTACTCCTGAAAAAAAAAAAAAAAAAAAAAAATACATAATAATAAATGGCAATTCAGTCTTACTTTGAAACGTTAATGTTGAAAGCAGATGATAGTTAGAAATCTATGAAATACATACTATCAACAAACAGAAGAGTAATTTTTTTTTTTTTTTTTTTTTTTTTAAATCTGCAATTTACATATTGAATATATTGGAAGGGGGGAACTATGAAAATCATTTGACAAAACTCTTAAGAAACAAATTTATTAATAAAATAAGAAGATACATTACTGGAGATCTATGTTTAACAGCAGAACCACTAGTTCTTAAGGTTTGAACTCTTGAACGAACTGTTTCACTTGCTCTTGTGCGAGGAATAACTCTCCTTGCTCTAGAATGACTAGGCCCAGCTATATAAAATGAGAAAATATGTTTATGACAAGCAGCCATAACAGAACATGAAGATAATGTAAATGCATAAAAAGCAGAAGCAATGTGAAAATTATAAACAATAACAAACCGCCTAATGGAAAAGTAAGAGAATTTTTTTAAAATTTTTTTTCTCACTTATTAAAATAAAACATACTTAAGGCTATGGAAGATGCTGAACTAGAAAATAATGTCTAACTCCCAAACTATAGAAAGTAAAATTTTATAAAACAGGAGTTATGTATGAAAATGGTAGAAAAAGTTTATTTCCATTTAAATTAAACAATACTGTATTACAACATCAGTAACAAAAGAAATAAGTTTAATTTTTTTTTTCTATGACACACATTTAATTTCTATAACCCATATATATAAACGTAATAAATCTTAAATTACAGTTTTTAATCATGAAATAGGTAGACAGAGATTTCTTTCAAATTCATTTATTTGATATAAAGAATAAATTTTGTGTTTAGTGAAAAAAGACTAAAAATCCTAAAAGTTAAACTGGAAAAAAAATTAAATTAAAAACTTAGATATAACATAATTTCAAAACTGAGCTTTAAGAAATTTTTTTATTGATTTTAAAATTCAGCTTTACTTCAAATTTTATTTTAATACAGAATAAAAACAAGAATTATTACCAACTGCTCCATTTTCCATAATATGTGAACAATGTGGACAAAACCATTCTTCAATGGGGATATGAAATAAAGGAGGATCAAGGCACTCACAATGATAAGCAAGATCACAAGCATCGCAAAGTAACAGACGATCTTCCCGATCCCCAAGGCGGCATACCTCACACAATGTAACACTCTCCTGCATATTTTCTTCAGGTTCTTTAGGTCTCACTTTCACTTTTATCTGAAATTAGTATTTTAATACCTTTCACACAAAATACTTAAATTATAAATTTTCAACTGCATTACATATTTCTTGACAAAAGGATGAGAATAAAGACACAGCCTGAGAATACTGCTAGATGAAGAACACATTTTTTGTACAAACACTCTAGCACTTAATACTCATATGATTTATAGCCAATAACTAAATAGTAGCAAATGGGAAACATACATTAATAAGGTTATATCAAGAGCAAAGTTCAAGCAAATTAAATAATTTCACATAGATTGGAGTCATGCGAACCTCTACAGGTCAAAACACTATGTGTGATTAACTTCACAGCTTTGTATAGCATAACATTTTCTGCTATAGCCAATGACCATAACCAGGTAATAACAATGCAAGGTTATTAATAAAATGGCCACCTATTTGAGTGACAGATGGCATCACAATGCTCTTCTGCATTTGTAAATAACAGAAATATAGATAAGTATATACTACACATACAAATTCCATCCATATTTGAATTTTTTCCCATTTTCATCTTTAATCAATTAGCAAATATATATATATCTGGTTGTAACAACAGTTTTCCACCCCAAACCGTCCTTAATAAAGTAGCGAGGAAAAAGAAAAGAAAGCTGTACTTTTAGTGTGGGTAGTAATCACCACCAAAATTTATAACTTTCTGCCAAGGTTTTGGTACTTTTTTAAAGTCTTCAGCCCCGAAACTTGGTAGCTGCGAGTCCAAAAACAGCTCAACCTCATTTCAGACATCCTGTGCAGAGTGGAAGATAGCAACAGCAAGATGAAGCTGCAAGTATGAAAAAAGGTAGAAGTCTGAAGGAGCGACTCACTGAACACCTTACTGTCAATGGTTTTACCTTTTCCAGATACTCAATGTGGATAATACCACAGCAACCCCATCAGATACAAAGCATGATCTTTTTTTAGTCAAATTATGCTGTCCCACTGCCGATGGGCTAACTGTGTTCACACCCCTCCCGTTTTCAACCTGTGTTGTTAAAGTTAATCCACTTTTCATCACAAGTGACGATTTGGTCCAGAATTTTGTGCTTGGGTTGATATTCCAACAGATTAGTGTAGGCCCAAACACATGTGTCCTTATCTGCTTGAGTCAGCTCATGTGGCATACAGCGACTGTACTTGTACGTCAAGCTTATATGATGCATAATATGACTAATGGACATGGCACTAATGGCTAACTCCTTAGATAGCTCTCCAGAGGTTGCATACTGATCTTCTTACACAAGTCCTTACAGGCAGGCCTCATCAACATCACTAGGCCGGCTAAAGCACTCTGCTTCTTGAATGTCACAGTCCACATTTTTTAATTTTTAGTACCAAACCTTCATACTATCATATGATACAACATTAGTATCGAAAGATATACATGTGATTTGGTGACATTCTGTAGCTGACTTTTCAAAGCAGAACTTGAATTAAATGATGCTTTTAATATAGTAGTGTGACAATCCTATTTCACACACTTTGTATTTAAGCATCACAGTTTCTTTTCTTTTCTTTTTTTTAATTTTCACTACACAATGTTCTAAAGCAAGTCTCTTTCTTTGAAATGTCAAGAATTGTTTCATAAAATATGATTAAACATGCCCCAGACAATATTTGCATTGGAGCAAAACTTTCATTAAAACACAATATACACTCTTAGACAAAAAAAAAAAAAAAAAAAAAAAAAAAAAGGGCAGGTTTCGACGGAAAATGCGAAATTTTACATTTTGGCTGCCAATGAATGAACGGTTGTCGCTACAGCGCATCTGATCTGAGCAACTGGCAGGATATTTAAGAGAATAAATTTTAATTCCAAATCATAAATTCTTCACGAATTTCATTCCGTGTACTCTGGTAGACAGTAACTATGCCTGGCATACAGGTGCGCGAATGATATGCGCAGATGTCAGAATTTGAGAAAGGCCGTGTGTTAGCCTCAAAGAAGCCAGATGGTCTTATCGGCGAAGCTCGACATTTGAGCAGGAGCGATGTCACTATTAGACGATGTTGACAGGAATGGGTGAACCATGGCTGCACACAGCATCAAGAAGAAAGAGGTAGGCCTAAAGAAACGACAGAACATGAAGAGAGCAATCATCAGAGGGGCAGTCACAGCCCGAGATGCATCATTATCACCGATTGTACGTGCAACTAGTGCTTCAGCGACCACAAGGACGATTCATAGTAGGCTCACAGAAAGGGGGCTGAGGTCATGACCCCCCTTGCACCGACTACCATTGACCTCTGTACAACGTCAAGGTCGTTTGCAGTGGTGTCAGGCTCATTCGCACTGGAATGTCACTGACTGGAGTAAACTAGTCTTCAGTGATGAGTCCCGCTTTGAACTGAGCCCAGATGACCAGCGAAGGCAAGTCAGCAGACTGCCCGGACAGTGGTGTGATACCAACCTGACTGTCTCCCGGCAGACATGCTGACAACCAAGAGTGATGGTCTGGTGTGCCATTTCATTTCATAGTAGGATGCCTTTGGTTGTCATCCGTTCCAAACTTATAGCACGGCGGTACGTCGACGAAGTTCTAAAGCCCATTATGTTGCCCTTTATGTCACGCCACCCTGGGCTTACATTTCAGCAAGATAATGCTCATCCCCACACTGCACGTTTCTACTGCTTGCCTTAGTGCTTGCCGAACATTACCTTGGCCAGCAAGGTCGCCGGATCTCTCTCCTATTGAGTACGTTTGGAGCATTATGGGCAGGACCCTCCAACCAGCTTGGGATGTTGATGATCTAATGCGCCAGTTGGACAGAATTTGGCACGATATCCCTCAGGAGGACATCCACAACCGTTATCAATCGATGCCAAACCGAATAACTGCTTGCATAAGGACCAGAGGTGGACAAACGCGTTACTGACTTTTTCACTTTGTGAAGCTGTATCACTTCAATAAATCATCCAATTTTTCTCAAACTGAATCATTTGTTTTTCTGTACTTGTACATTACTTCTACCGCTTTTCGTCCCACTTGGATAACTCCTTCTTGGTGCATCGTTTTTTTTTTGTCTAAGAGTGTATATTACATGTAACAAAATATACACATAACAGTACTCTTAAGCTTATGAATGAAAAAGAATAAAAGGACATGTTCCAAAGAAAGATAAAACTATCACAATACTCTTTATGGCAAAATCATAAAAATAAGAAACCCTTAACAGTGAAATATTGGGTTGGAGGGAAAGTTCTGTCATATTTAAAGAAAATATTTGAATTCATTTATAAAAATATGTGTTTAATATTAATCAATTATATATGCTCCGTTATTTGTTACAACCTGTTGCCATCTTCCAGGTAACCTGTAAATTCCTGTTTTGTAGAAGTTCTCATCCATGGAGTTAAAATAGTCAGCAACTGCCTTAGAAACACTTTCAAAAGACTTGAGAATTTTTTTCCCGTTAGATAATTTTGCAGAGATCTGAACAGGTAATAATCAGAGGGTGCAATGTCAGGTCAATATGGGGGGTGACTAAGGATTTCCCATCCTAATGCATTCAGTTTTTGTAGTGTCACCACTGCAGTATGCGGGCGAGCATTATCATGATGGAACACTATTCCTTTTCTGGACGCTAATGCTGGCCTTTTTTCTTTGATAGCTGCATTCAATTTATCCAGCTGATTGCAGTACAGATCCACGTTGATGTTTTTTCCCTGTTTCAGCAACTCGTAATACACTGGACCTTTCCTGTCCCACCACAAACAAAGCAGTACTTTTCGTTGATGGATACTTGGTTTTGGAACTGTTGCTGATGATGTTCCTGGTTTGCAGTAAGATTTTTTTCTTTTAATATTCTCGTAAAGAATCCACTTTCATCTCCAGTAACCAGCCTGTCCAAAAACGGCTCCACATTGTGTCTAATCAGATGTGATGAAACATATTCTTACACGATCAGACAAAATTCTTTTCCGTTAATTCATGTGGAACCCAAACACTTTGCTTTTTAACCCAAACCCAAGAGATTTAATGTGATCTCCAACAGTTATATGATGAACCAAAACTCTCCTGCAATTTCTCGACTTATTAAATGTGGATTATTTTCCAACATGGATCGCAAAACATCATTATCGATCTTGGGTGGTCGTTCAGATCGATCACTTTTTTGGAGGCTCAGATACCCGGAACGAAATTTTCATCTTTGACAAGTACGAACATTTACAATAAACATCTTTTCCAAATACCGCACATAAATTTTTACATGCAACCAATGCGTTGCTTCCTTTTTGGAATTCATAAAAAATGCAGTGTCGTAAGTGCTACTTTATCTTACGGACATGTTTTTTTTTTCCCTTTAAATATTACAAAGTAAATGATGAATGGTAAAAAAAGGGCACCTTTTATATTATACAGCAGCTAAAAAAAATAAAATAAAATAAAAAAATCCGAAATGACTCACTAGCCAGATGTTTTTTTTTTTTTATTTACAAGAAAAATCACCTGCCTATTTAAAATAGGACAGAACTTTCCCTCCAACCAGATAAATTGAAACAACACAAACAGACAAAAAGTAAACAAAATTGCAGATAAAGTGCACAAAACTTATATAAGTGTAATCCAAAGGAACTGAAATAATTGCATGTATGTATATATATATATATATCATGCAGAATTTTTACACTAATTTTTTTTTATTCCACGAATACTATTTTTTAAGAATATATATATATGTGATGATAAAATTCAGTTTGGCAGTTGGGAACTTTTGAAGAATCACAAAAATCACTTGATATTCCAAATGTACCTTTATTACTTGTGGCACTTCACAATGGGGGCCAATCTGCACCCCACAATTTTGATGATGGCACATTACATTTAAAACAAAAACAGCAAAGCAAGAGACATCTTTCAGCCAGCAAGCACAAGCAAAGAAAGAGGGTGGGATAGGATTGAAACAATATTTATAGTAAAATTTTTCGCTAATATGATTGGCTAAAACTTATAGGCAATGCAGAAGTTTCAAGATGACATATTGTGGAATATGTTTTCAGATATGACACAGTTTAAAGAAAATTATTACTAGAGACAAAATACCCAAATAAAAAATGAATAATTAAGAGGCATTTTAAATTATAATTTTAATTTGCATTTTTTTTTTTATCTTACATATATATATTCCTAAAATAGTCCAAAATGCACTTAAAATTTCTTTTTTTTTTTTTTTTTTTTTTTTTAGCTTTTGCATATAATTTTTGGTCTTATTTGGGTACGAATACAGGTAGGGAAAGGATCTGAACATTTGAGAACTTATAAATTGTTGTTTTAAAGTGAAGGTTTCATATTAAAAAGAGGTTTTAGGTCTTTAGTGATTCAGAGGAACGAAACATATATTCGAAACTCATTAATCAACTTGGTTTAAGGCTTCAAAACACTTTTCTATGGACAAGTTCTGTTTGAAGCTTTAAGCAGAGGAGATTAACAAAATGTTATTTTGCTTTGTTTTGTATGGTGTTCTGAAAAAAAAAAAAAAAAAAAAAAAAAAAAAAATTCTCGTTGATCATATTATAAAGATGCATTAAATTTACATGTACTCCATTTGGTAATTCCTTACCTGGAGAAGAAATGGTTTAACCTTCATATAGAAGGAACAAAAATTTTGCAATTCAGTTCTGACATTTCCTTTTTGATTTATATATATATATATGTATGTATGCATAAGATATAAAATTTGAAAGAAAACTACAGAGCTTTGAGTATATTCAAACTAAATAATATAATGTTCTAATTAGTTATATGGCAGCTTTTCCTTACATTGGTTAAAAATCCAATTTGAACATTTTTTCAATTTGCATGTGTAATTAGATTAAAAAGAAATAATGGTACTTTCTGATTATCTGAAACACCATAGACAAGATGCAAAATGGTTGGCGACTAATTTTTCATCAGAAATCTATTTTTGTGCTCTTGTTCCTCTCATGTACACAGTAATTTGTTATCCCCTCAAATAAATAAATAAATAAAAAACCTGAGAATTGCAAATTTAGTATCATACAACATTGACATTGTGCATCAGCCAAAACAGACATTTGCTACTTACATACTTAGATTGCTGCTACATTAATACTTTTTAGCAACATTATGGATTGCCACATAATTATTTTGGTGACATGCTGCTTTGCTTCGTGAAGACTTTCTGGTGACTTTTCAGTGCTGGTGTGGATAGTCAAAAAGTACCAAAGTTATTTTAAGCCAGTTAGATCACCTCACAGATACATAACGTAATGTAAGTTGTTAGTCTTATTTTTAGCTTATGAAAAACAATTTGAATTATTATAAGCTTCCAGAATGAAATAAAACTATGCTGATTAGTGAAGAGAATTTTAGGATTTCTTTCCCTATTTTAAATTTCCTACTTATTATTAAATGACTTTATAATTAAACATAACATCCAATTTTTACTTATATATTTTAGGAATTTTAGGATAATCAAACAATATAAAACAATTATATTTTGTTATGGTATGATTTTCATCTGATGACAGAGAAATGCACTTAGTTTTTGGAAGATTGTGAAAAGTTTTTGAAGTTAATCTTTTTTTTTTTTTTTTTTTTTTTTTTTTTTTAAATCTTGTTATATAGTTACGCACATTTATTATTATTTTTTTAATTATTACTTAATTTTTCTGTAGGAATTTTCCTTCAATTACACAACTACATGCATACAATCATGAAAAGTTTGGGAAACACTAGTATAATTGCAGTGATAAGAAATTAAAATGCAATTTTAAAATGAAGAATCCCTTACTCCTTCAGCAAATTACACCTACTGCTAAGAATCAACCAATGTTGCCGAACTTGTTTACCACTCCTGTACAATTATATAAATTTCTTTCATTAGATAATTTCAAAATATTTTAAGATAATTTTTACTTTCCCAGAAATTGAATTAAGTTACTTAAAATATATTTTTATGACATACACCAATTATTATAATACCATTAAAGTAAAAGTCTAAAATAAGGGGAACATAGCAAAAACTAGTGTTTTACGGAAAACTCTAAAACCAGATAATTTCAACTGAATTTCATATCTTGAAGCAAAATGAAATGGCTTCATGAATGATTCTGTAGTTTCCTTCATTAAAGGATTTAAATAACAATAATTTTCCCATATTAAATTCTTTGCATGGACATTTAGGATATGGTGTAAATATTATAATAAATAAGTAACAATTACTTCATAAATTTGTGAGGAAATTTTCTGGCACTAAGCCTTTTTATCTGGTTTTATCAGAGTAAGAAATCAAAGAAAGTAAGAATTAATCCAGAAGAATATAGTCTAAACTGCCTTTGTTTAAAAGATCTATACCCTAGATCACGTCCTGGCAACCTATAACCCACAGGTCACCGAGTGAATCATTTCATAATTTCAAGTGACCTGCTTGTGTTCTAAAAATAAGTATAATATATAAAAATAAATTATAAAACATAAATATGAAACGAACACTTGAAGAATACTAAAATATTCCATATTCAGTTCATTTTATAAATGCGAGCAAATATTTTTACATTATATTTATCTTAGATAAAAACAGAAGAAGCTTAACTATAAAAAATTCAGATGCTTGTATTAGACTTATGCTTAAGACGATTAACTATAAGCCAGACTTGATTAAATTGACATCACAATTTCATCATCATCGCAGCTATTGATATTGAAAAGAAAAATAAAGTTGTTAAGTTAAATTTGTTTTTATAAGAATTAGAATTTTAATTTTTATGTTTAAGGTTTAATTACTTTCTCAACAAAATGTATCTTATTATTCACAAAAAAAGGCAGTTTTAAAATGAGAATACGACTGATCCAAAATGCCTTCTTAATACACACATTTTAGTTGATTCTGACCCACAGCCAAAAAGACTGCTCTAGATTGCTTGCATTTTGCACTCTAGATGTTCTGTTGTAGATTCTGCCTGTTCTAGATGTTTGCATTTTGCACATCTCCCTGCACATTTTGAACATCTTAGAATCTAAGTTGTCCAAAATACATAAAATAACATGCAATTATACACAAATTTATGATAAGATTTTCAATACTAAAGTAAAATTCAAATTTCCAATATCTGTTTCATAGAATGGCAAAGAACAAAAATATTATGAATGGTGATATTTTAAATTATCAACAGGCGAGTTAAACTGGCTAATCCAAACACATTTTGACAAAGAAATATTTCTTGTAAAACACGAATATAATACAAACCTTTCTTATCTCTTCTCCACCAGGGGTAGATCTCATAATTATGCGATGAAACTCTGTTCTATCAATTGGGCAAGTATTAATATTCTGAAAAATAAAAATTATTAAGTTTTGTTTACAATTCAGATTATACAGATAGCCAAGTGTACATATAAACATATTAAAACAAACTAAATAAAAATCATATCCAGAAGCACATAAACATGGCCATGACGAATATTCCAATGCATAACTGAAGGCCCACACTACTTTGGATAAAAAATTATAATCATCAATTTATTGGGCCTAATATAACGTTCAACCCTCCTGACTTTTTTATGGTTCCTTAACTGCTGTATAGTTAATCTATATAATAATTTGCCCTGTTGTAGTTTAGCATTTCTTAAAACTCTGTTCCACGGAGCCCTGGAGTTCCACGAAATTTATGTGTGTGTGTGTTTTTTTATAACAATGGAAAAAGCGATAAAAATTAATGCCTGTACTAAATTTGAAATGTGCTGTCAAAGTAACTTTTGCTATTTCAGAATAGCCACATTGGGAAATCATTCAGAATCTTGTTATCAGTAATTCATGTCTCACTTTTCTATTGATCTGTGGGTGATCTAGAAATACAGGGGAATTTCCCAATTTTAAAAAATGCAAGTAAACCCCATACATTTTAACATAAAAGCTGGGATAATATCTCTAGTTGATGTGTGTCTTATAAAACACAAATTGATTGAAAGATTTTTTTTTTATTTTAATCTTTTGCTTATTGATAAACTTTATTGGTTATTATAACATCACATCATACTTACTGCTCATGAAAAAATTCTTGCTATCAAGAAAAATATAGAATTTTTGACAATTTGTGTGCATTTCAATGACTCTGATTGCTCATCAGCAATAAAAACATTTTCAGAAGACTAAGGGGTTGAAATAGGAGTAGACATTTACTGGAGAAATTATTCAGCACATAAAAGGTTTCAGCGAAGGTTTTCATCCCTATTTTTTTAATGAACAGCAGATTAAGTATCAAAATGAATTGTGGATTAAAATTACAATTCATTTTGTGATTATCAATGCATGATCTTCTACCATGTCAGCAGAAGAATACAAAACTTTTATTTAAATGATATCTGATTCATCATTGTAAAAATAAAAACAATTTAAATAAATGCCCCTAGTGAAAATCTGGTGCAGTTTTCTAGTTGAATATCCTAACTTGGGTTCTCAGCTCCATATGTGAACAAAAAAATAAATACGGCAAAACATTTGATGAATTTGCAGCAATATGAAATGGGGTTCTCAGCTGCATGAGTCAATAAATGGATTTGATGTTGAATCTGACATGAGAATTCAACTTTCATACAACAGGCCTAAGATTAAGTTTATCTGTGATAATAAAAAGCAATATTCTTTATCTCATTATAGTTTAATAAATTATTTTAAGAACTTTAAGGGGTTAATTTTGAAATCATTTTTTAAAGCAAATAAATATAATTTAAAATAATTGCCATTTTTGTTCCAAATAATCCATTCACAGAATGTAGTATTAAAACCATACAATTGAAGCAAACCAGGGCTTCCAGAATAAAAGTGGACATTAAAAAGGATTCCACTTATTAAAATATTAAAAATGCTGTTGTAGTTTATATTTCAGTACAAATGATTTATCCATAAATGGGAACTTCAGCAATTCTGGATTTCAGGTCATTAGTTTAAAACTAGTAAGATGACAGTCAGAAACTGTAAAATTAAAGATATGGAACAGTTAATCATAAAATAATAAAACATTTATGACATTAAAGGAATCAAAATTTACAAAACAAAAATCAATATTTATTTGTTTGTTTACTTAAACATTTCTTACAATGTAACTTGTTTAAGATGTTTATTTATTTATTTATTTTTGTATGTTTTAACATTTCCTTTTTTAATTTTATAAATAGACATAGTTTCTTTTACAGGTACAAAGTTCCTCTGCTCAGATCTGTTAACTGCCATGTCTAGAACTGCCACTAAGCTGCTAATCAATATCATCACAATGGAAAACTTCTGTTATGTCATCTGCATTTATTATTACTTCTCCACGTTTTTCATAAATTCCATTATGTGGAAAACTTCGTCTTCTATAATGTTACAAATCTATACCAAAATAAGCCTGCTGTTTTGAATTTTGAAATCATATGTTTTTACTTTAAACTTTCACCAATGTTATTTTCTTTTGCCAGGGCCACTATAGTATACCAAATACAGTGGTGGCCAAAATTGTGGACACTTTCGGAAATTTTTATGTTTTTTGAACTTTGTATGCTTATAGAAAACGTTACGTTTCACAAAGTGCAAACTTGTATATATCATTTTAAAGAGAATTTATTACTGAATTCAATACAAAACTCAAAATTCAATTATTTGCAATACAAAAAAGTTATATGTACTTTAATATAAATAAAAAACACAGTTATGAAGCGGTTGTAATGTCTAGCTTTCCTGGCCAATCACTGTTCTTGTTCTGAGAACCAATCAAATGTTAGTAACTGCCAGTAGAAGCTGACATCATGTTTACACTTGAAACAATTCATTATTTTGCTTTGTTCTGTAGAAGGAGGACCTGTTTCTTATTTCTTATATACTGCAATTAAAAGTAGGAATTTTTGTAAAAATTTTTAATATTTAGTCAAGAAGCAATGACATCAAATAAAAGAGTAGATTGGACACCTAGAAAGAGATGTAATATTATTGTGTTACGAGAAAGTGGTCTTTTCTAAGCTGAAATTGCAAGACAGGTGGGTGGTTCCGTGACTACATCTGGAGTCCGAAAGTTTTGTTTACGATATCAGGAAACAAATTCAAGAAGGAAAAGGCCGAAAAAGGTGCACCACATCTATTGATGACAGAAGATTATTATTTAAAGAAAAAATATTACTCAAGGTATCTTTTAAGAGTTAATGAACTGCAGAAGATTCATAATTTGGACCATTCTTCAATGCATTGGAAAAAAGCATTAATATGCTATATTTACTAAGTGTTAAGTTCTTTGGAATATAATTCTTTTTTCTTTCCCCAATATGCCAATAAAAGAAAACCAGTATGAGAAACACTGGGGCTTTAATTATTGCTTGGGTCAGATACAGAAATGTTAACTTCCACTTAACAACCACTCAAGGGCCGAAAGTTTGGTCATGGCTAATGTCAATCAATGTATTGTTATTAGCTACGGTGTGATTTCCTAGCTAGCCCAGGTACCTGAAAATGACAGACAGGAATCTCAGTCAGAAGAAAAATTGCTCTTATGGCACATCTGTAAACATCTGACTTATGTTTAAGAAAAAAAAAAAAAAAGTTAGACTGGGTTAAAATAACTTCCAAAAATTCTTTAAAAAAAATTTGTTGGTGATTCGGAAGTCCAGATTTTAGGTCTTTAGGGATACTGGACATCTAGATTTTGGATACTGTATACATACATATAATAAAGATCTTTGAATATGCTTATTTAAATGAAAATTATTACTCAATACAACTTTAAGGGTTAATGAACTTTAGAAAATACATACCTTAGACCATTCTTCAATGCATTCTAAACAAAAAGTGTGATCACAGTTTTCAGGAGTGCCAAGATCTTGACCAATGAATCTGTTCAGACATATGGGGCAAGCTTCCCGTTCACCATCATCATCTGATACATAGTGAACTGCCTCTTCTTCATTCTGAGTGGTTTCTTCTATTGTTTTCCCAAAATTTTGAATAAATTTATTTACACAGAAGTCAAAGAGAACAAAAATAATTTTTAGGATATTATAAAATTAAAATCTTTTAAAACATAACATATAAAGTATAGTTTTGGTAAACAGAATATTAAATTCCAATATTTAGAGTTCTCTTTTTATATTTTTTAAAGCTGTTGGATAGCACAAAGAAGAACACGAATAATGTTTACACATGAGAATAAATTGCATACATGCAATTAAATGCAGTAGATTCATGTGTGAAACTAATTTAAATACTTAATGTGGAAAGGGGGAAGAAATCATCTACCTGCCTAGGAAAGGATATCCTCTATAAACAGCCTAGCTATAGAAGTTTCTTCAAGTCAAATATATTCATAGAATATATATAATATTTTGTGAAAAAAACACAAAAGGGCCCATGTAATCCATCTCCTTAACAACTACAAACAGAAATAAGATGAAATACTAGCTGGGGAATTATTCTCCTGCTTTTGTAAGTTAGCCAGATATTCATAAATATTTCAATTATATGATACTCTTGCAAAAAACATCCATTAAGTAGTGCTCCTTCACTGTCATCTCTCTTGGATTATGAGCTCTGGTGTAGTGACTAGTATAGGCTCTAAATGTTTCTTTTTTAACATGTGTGTAATCTATTTTAATGCTTGCAACGTTGCACTGAACAATCAAATACGCAACTTGTTCTTTAGTTTGTATATAGCCCATTACTCACCAGATAAATATTGCTAAAATATTTTTTGCATGTAGGTATATCATATCAGTCTTTTCACAAATAATACGTAAAGGGATATAAATTTTGGTTCTTTAATGTATAAGTGGGACATCTTTTTTTTTTTTTTTTTAATTTTTTTAATTTTACTATAACTTTGTAAGAAAATATGTTGCTCAAGTTGACTATAAACCATAAAATGCCTATATGGCAGGCTCTCTCTCATCTGTAATAATTTTTTGATTGCATTTCTGACAACATTTGCATATTAAATCACCAAATGTTTTTGCAGGTATTAAATTTCTTCCTCTATTCCCATATGCCAAACCTGTTGTTCTCAAATACTTTTATAAATTTCAGGCCCAATTATCAAGATAACTTCTTTTCTCCTCAATCAATGTATTTGTTGCAATATTTTTAATATTGCAATTAGAAGAATCTGACGAAAAATAGAACTGTTTTCTTGAGCCAGACTTTCTGTTAATAAATCACATTGACACTATATCAGATGATTTACTATTTTCCACATCCGAATTGTTGTTAGTCTCATTCATCTTGATTATAATGGTATAATATCTATTTTCCCACAAATAACTATCAAACTGAAAAAATTCAAACACAATTCTGCAGCATCTAGATTGTGACTGACTGATTTATTTAATTTGAATTCTGATAAAATGGCACCAAAATTTAACGTTATTATTCAGTACATGATACTGAATATAGTACATGATAATGAATATGAGTTGGATTGTTGCAATGATTTACATAAGAGTACAGAGTTAATCAAAATGGCTTCTGAAATAAGTTACTTATTATTCCAATGGACAAAAACATTTTGGCCTTTAATGGTGTTAACTTTTTGAGGCTGGGTTTTTGGTACCAGTATAAGGCTTGAAAAAGATGGGAATCTTGAACCGAATGCTTTCCCCCTTTAAGAAATCACCTCCTATTTGCAACAAAGATTCTTGTGTGTAGTTTAATGGATTCTCAGAGGGGTGCATCTATGTCACAAAAGGAAGGGAAGTGTAGGGATTAGTGACCAGACTTCAAGATGCTTTTCGTCACTGAGGGAAAATTTCATATTACAGTTGTTCTGGATTGAGACTACTGGAAAATGTGTAAACCTCCATAGAAGAAACTGCCATTCTTTATACTATAGAACATTACTTTTGTTTTTATAAAATTCTGGTTTGAATTTTAAATTACACTGCAAAACTATGTGTCTTTACTAAGTGCTTACAATAATGATTTCTATCGTATCTTTATATTAACATTATGTCAAAAAAATTTTCTACTATTTGATTATTTCCTTGGTCAATTTAAAATTTAACCAGTCTTCATGTTAGTCTTTTTTTCTTTTTTTTAACTGTTAAATGTCCTTATAATTTTAAATTTGTTTTGGTATATATTATCAAATATAACTATATCTTTAAACTTTCTTTCATACAGGGAATAATTAAAAAATAAATACTTAAATCTATAGAAATGATTAAAAATTAAAGTTCAGTGGAATTGTTAAAATTATGCTCTATAGGCATAATGAAATTTTAATTTTACATAATTGTTTAAAATCTGCTTGATAACATATAATTTAAGGAGGAAACTTTCAGCAAATTTGAATACAGTCAAAAGTCGTTAATTCGGACACCCGTAATCCGGAATGATCTATAATCCGGACCTCAAAGCTAAAAACTTTCTGCGCATGCGCCGCGTTGGCACATGCGCACAGGCGTTTTACGCGTGCGCGTAAGACCTTGACTACTGCCCATATGCGTGTGCGCAAGTGCAGAATACGTTTTCGCGTGCGCGTTTAATGTATAACGGACGGTATAAACTAAAATTATCTAATTATCTATTTCAGTTAATGTTGATAATTCCGTTGTTCCTTAATCTTCGAATTGGATCCGGCTTATTATTTTTTTGCAGACTGTAAGAGCAATTTTCTAAAAGTAAGCTTGAACTTTCGATTATGTCAAATAGAATTTCCGATGCTGGAGCTCCCAAAGGATCTAGAAAACGAAAGTATGTTTCGATGTCCATCAAACAAAAAACGAATTGCAAAAAAAAATGGATAAAAGCATATCCTTTGTTTATCTAACCGTTCCGAAATCTGTTTATCAATTTCACGCTGCTCTGCGCGGGGGGGGGACGTCGCGGCGCGCAATGAACTGGAAGTTCATCTGTCAACACTATCGTTATCTTCAGGGCAGATGTTTTTATTTTATTGTGCTTATAATTACTTACTAAATGTAGTATTTAATTTCGATGTACTCCGTCTTTGATATGATTTAAATCAAATTCCTCGTCATTATAAATATCACGAATACAAATCAAATAGTTTTCTGGTTGCAATTTTCTAATTTCGGCTATGCGTAAGGTATGCTTTACGCATCCGCGCGTTGAAAGAAATGTTTAAATTTTTTCTCTCAAATTTCGAAATTTAGGTTCATTCCAAATAAAATTTATCCATTTTTTGTGTTTTATTTTTTAAATTTCTATTTTTAAAATATTTTTTATAAATTTTTTTGAAAAAAATTTTGAATTATAACCTATAAAATTTTTACCATCATCTTAAAGTAGGTGTATTTTTAAGCATATCTCTGCAAAAAATTAGACTTTTTTTTCAAAATTTTCTAAGATATACACGAATTTACATATTTTCGAGTTTTGAAATTTGGCATCTTTTTTTTGAGCGATAATAACGCCAAATGTGGTCTATGAATTTTTTGTTACAGTGAATTGCCACAGCTATTTTTAACCTTAAATTTCAAGTAAGATTTTACGGAGAATTAATTATATGACATTTTTTTTTCCCTCAATGAAGCATAATAAATATTTATTAATACTATATGAAAAGCTATTTTTTTCAAATTATAGATGATATTATTCAAATTTTAACTATTTTTTTAAAATTTCTCTCTATCTTCCTTTTTAAAAAAAAAAATAAGAGTAAATTTTTACTTTCGGCGTTTTATCGTCTGCTACTTTACTTCGTTTAAATCGAATTGTCTAAAACTGAGAATTTTCGTTTGATATTTATTTGAATTTTATGACATTAACTGCATAATTTATTTCTAACCAAACTGTTGCTTTTGAAGTGGCTGAAAGAGCAGCTGATACTATCATCCACATTTTTAAAGCATAGTATATTTTTATAGAAACATAATATTTAGAATAATCATTTTTATAAAAGTCAAATTATGATATAAACATACAACCCTCTAGAGACTGAATTAATGGAAGTTCAATGGTTATGTAGAAATGATCTGCAGCTACTTAATGGCTGGATAAGTCAGCAGATTCTGTGGACAAGTAAGAATAATTCTATAAACGCCACCCAACATTCTGGATTCAATTAACAACAAGGATACGATGTTTATTAAATGAATTTAAGAAAGTTTTTAAAACATAAAAAACCAAATCATTTTTATCCTAAAATGTATTTTTATGTGCGTAGCGTATTTTCATTATATCCTTAAAATTCTAATTTAGAATGTAATTGTCAAGAACTGAATCCTAATCATCAGTAATATAATAAGTAATTATTACGGTTATTAATAAATCCTTCTTATAAAGTAATTGCAAATATTTCAAAAAACTTTCTATCTGAATGCAAATATTTTTCTATGCAAATATTTTAAATTTTATCTTAATCAAGATTGCACACGATATTATTTATTTGCACCTCAATTCTTACCGTCAGTTCCAGTAGAAGTTACAAATCAATTATATTTAATTAAGGATTGGATTGGATTATTTAATTATGGCAAAGCACACGAGGGCTATCTGCCTAAAGGGAGGGCTGCCTTCGTGGAGGACTTTCTAGGGTAAACTGGCTCGTATATACGTTATACATGTGGAAAACCACGAAAACGCCGAAGCGGCCAGCCCGTTCGCGAGATTCGAACCTCGGACCGAACTACCAATGATCAGCGTCTTTACCGCTCGGCCGCTGGTGGGCTATTTAATTAAGGAATGACCATCTAAGTTTAGAAACAGCGTACCGTAACAGCAATTCAATTATTGGGGCCGCATCTTTCATGTTACTCCCGATTGGCAAGCTACATGATTTTTAATGAGTATTCGGGTTTTGCTAGTAACTTCCCTTGGAAATCGCGCTTAAACTAGGTTAGTTGGTTATTTGAACACAGAAAGAACATGGGAGCTATTTGATTAAGATGCTATTCTTGGCGCAAACTGACAAAATAGTGCCAACATAAATTTGTGAATTTCTCTGTAAATTTTGCTCCAAATTTTACAAAATTTCATATTTAGGCGTAATTTGAGTCGTAGAATCGAAATATGTAAAAAAAATTGGTATGTTTATTTTCAGAAAAAGTCCGATTTTGTGTGTCAAAATACCTATGTTAGAATAGTGCTATATATAAATCTAATATATATCCTAAGTCGCGCTTTCGAGACATGAAGAACGCAGTTTGAATTTTGTCAATCGGCCCAGTAGATCGGGAGATATAGGACTGTCCCATTTTTTTTTTGAGCAGTGTACATGTACACACACAGGCACACATATGCATTTATATATATGTGTTTGAGTGTGGATTTATGCATACGTGTATAAACATAGATATATGTATGTGTATAAATTTCATCATCAAGCTCTTGAAGAAGTTTTCGTATTTCTTCTACAGTCAGACCTCTTTTCCTTTTCGGCATATTGCTAGAAAAATGTCAAAATAATTCTTAAAAAACTTACGAAAATATGCAATATTCTAAAGCAACGCAAGGCTCTGTTTACAATTTACAAATGCAGTTATCACGAATTCTGTATCTATGTAGCTACAAGAAATAAAAGGGAAAAATTGAGAAAAACCAGATTCTTAACACAAAGACATTTGCAAGAGATAAGTGGTTAAAACCCCAGGGACATCAAATTTGACATTTTACCCCACTCTTTCAGCCTGGAAAATGGGGGAAAAAGACAACCTTGTGTGTAAAGTGGATAACCTTGTCCTTTCAAACAGAGGACTCTATGGCCACTATAATGGCCATCCTGTCTTCAAAAGGTTTATCTTTATTATTTTGGAAATTTATTGTAAATATCAAAAGCTAAGACTGAACTAAGTGCTTTGACACTTAAATTTAAGATATTTAAAAAAGTGGGGGTTAATCGATTTCTGCACTGAATAGCTCAAATGTTGTCTGACTGCTCTAGTATGCACAGAAATGTTCTTCTTTTCATAAATAGCTAACCCAGCAAGGTCTCTGAAGACATTTAGTTTCCTTTGCTGGTCCATAAATTTTGCTTGTAAGTGAATTTCTATAGTTGAAATTGCGAATTCCCTTCCTCATTGCTAGTGAAGAGATGTAATGGGTTCCTAAAGATTCATCAAGAAACAAAGAATGGAGGCTATTCATACTGATGTGAATGATGATTTGAACAAGGGAAAAGTGTAACTGTTCTGATATCTTGTTTAGGATGAAAAGGCATGCAGGACGACTGTTCAAAGAAAAAAAAAAAAAAAAAAAAAAAAAAAAAAAACCACGAAGTTTGCAGAAAGCAACTGAGTGGTCTTTAGTGTGAAAGCAGCCCGAAGGAAATCCAAGCTATTTACTATTACACCTTAGGAAATATATTTTTAAGTGCATGTAAGCACTGCATCAGTAGAAATGCTGCACCAATGAAAATTAATTTAACTTTTAAGCATGTAAATATCATGGCATTTCTTCCAGAAATAATTGTAATTAGAAAAATGACCACTGAATTTTAAAAGTCCAAATCCACATATATTTAAACATACAAGTGCTATAGCATATCTGGGTTTCCGCATAAATATTTTTGTGACATAGTGGGTTTTCACATAAATATTTTTTGGCAACATGTTATGTTGTCTCATCAGTACTTTTTAATGGCTTTTCAGTGAAGATGTGGTTAATCAAAGAGTATCAAACAAACTTTAGATATACAACAGATAACATTAGATAACAATTTTTTTCATGAAAAACTATTCTATAGAACACCTTTTTTGCATTATAATACTACTAATAATATATAAGTTTAGATAATTTATAATTATCATGTTAAAGGTAATGATTGCAGTTATTGTTCTATTGTTTTGAATCCTGGAACCTTGAATAAACATTCATTCATATGTATATCTTATGGGGGGGGGGAAACAGACAGACAGACAGTATTAAAAAAAGAAAAAGAACCCACAACTCACCCTCACTCTCTGAATCATCTTCATCAGTCTCACCATCAGAACTCCCACTACCAGATTCATCTTCAGAAGAACTTTCTTCATCACCAAAGCCCTCACCAAATTCACCTCCTTCTAATGCGTTCTCAAAACCAACAGCACTCATTTTCTATGCAAATTACAGTATCCTACATGGCATTTAGTACAGCTCTACTAGTATCCATGTAACACCTAGGAGAAAAAACAGCTTTATGAAATTTATATATACTGCGAGCCAAGAAATCTGTTCAGTTGAAAAGTTGCCGGATATGTATATTATACTATTTACAAATACTTTTTCATTACATGGGTACCATGAAAAAACATACCTAAAATGTGTGATAACATGCTGAAGATGGCAACAATGTTACCAGCTGAACAATCTTGGTCTTATAAGCGAAATTAAGCCACATGTTCACGTCTTATGGTTTGCAACCTTTTTTAGAACTGTGCAAAACCTAATTTGATAGATGGCATTCTTCATATACATTATTTGACTTAAAACATATTTTTATACGAAAAAAATAAAATGGATTTCACAATCTGGAAGTTATCTAAAGATGAGGAGTAGGCAGTGAATGTATTTAAAATTTATAAATACTGTTATGATAATAATAATAATAAACTAATATTTTTTTCATGACATCTGTATAATAGAAAAGTATATATATTTATATATATAACTAAATAATTATTGTAAATATCAAAGCCAGATGTATAAATAATAGAAAATGCACGGCCAAAGAATGCAATACACTGATCTAAAGCACAAAGGATATAATGTACCCCAAAACACATAAGATGCATTGTTCGGTTTGCATACTAATTTGGATTATCCATGTGATGGTTTTATTTGGATCAACAAATGGCAATGTCTTGCAGCCTAGTTTGACAGCCCAATCTGATGTCAATTCACTGAGTACTTTATAGAAATTGCATCACAACATTCTAGTAAAGTAAGTTAGCATTTTCAAACTGATCAATTGCCTGGCAAATGGAACAGAGCAACGATACCTTGAAATGATGTTGCTATAAGTTGCCTCCAGCCCAAACTAGGTAACTGCTATCAGCTTCCCCCCCCCCAAGAGGGTATTCGTAAGTATCACGAGGGCTACAGGAAGCCTTATACGACAACTTCTTGGAAGGATCATGAAATAATGAGAGATTGAAGCAGAGTGAAAGATAAAGACTATGCATTTGCCCTTGCTTGGAAGAAGTTACACACTAAAGATGTGTTATTCATTCATAAACTGAATGAAAGAACTTTATGGTGCAAGCAAACACCTGATATACCCCCCCCCCAAAAAAGTGGTAGCTTTTTAGGGTTTATCTACTGAAAGTTCTTGTTGGAAGAGTGCTAATAAAACTCAGTTCCTCTTTTAAGGAGGAAAAAAATGGATGCTTATACTCCCATGTTTTTAAAAAATAAAAATAATAAATAATAAAAAGAAAAATTATTATTTTCTAAGTTTTAGCCCAAAGCAGCACTTTTGCTCAGAAGGGCTATTAATTTTGTTTAGACATTTTGTGCTGATTCACTATAAACAATGTTTCACTTTTCAAACTACTGCCACCAAATATTAAAACCCTGCATTATATTTAAAGAAATTAAATAACGAAGAATTTGCATGAATGTATGTACGCTTCTCGCACTATGAAAAACAACGGTACCTAGAGACATCAAATTCTGAATAATGCAGTACTCCACTCGAATATGAGCATCTGGAAGACTAAATTTGGAATTTGTTTTATTATCTATTTCATATTTTGTAAAACTTTAATGAATTTTTGATTAACAACCTCAAAATTGATTCTGTAGTGTTTTCCACATGCTCCTTATGCGCACTGCTTTAGTAATATGTCATTTTAGTTATTAAGCTCACCGTATTTTTCTCTGTGTATCCCTGCGGTTTCACTCACTATAGCACAATACTCAATGTACTGTACTTATTACTCTGTGACTCTTTTAATAATGCCGGTTTTTTAAGGGAAAAAAAAAATTAATTTCAGCATACGAGACTGTGTATCAGAAATTCTAAAGATATGCTCTTTTAAAATTATTTTGTGATAACGCTGTTAAATTGAATCTTATGGTTTAAGTGAGACGAATATGATATTTAATAAATAAAGGTAACACACATATTGTAAAAAAAAATTCCCTTTGCGCATAATACAAATTTTGAAAGCTTTCGTTTTTTTTTATTATTTATATATATATATATATATATATATATATATATATATATATATATATTATTCTAGCATTTTACTGTTAGCTTTATGAAGAAAGGAAGTTTTTGGAAATTTCCAAACTGCAGTTGAAAGTGATCAATTCAGTTGATTCTTCAGATCACATTTCATTTGATTCTGCTGTTGTTCATTCTACTCTCATTAGAGCGGCGAATCAAAATTTCATATTTTAAATTTTGTAATTTCTGCATGCCATCTTACCAGATTTAAACTGATGATCTATAATCCGGAATCGCCGAAGTCCCGACGAGTCCGGATTAACGACTTTTGACTGTAGTACCTTTATTTTTTGTCGGCTGCTCCTTTGATCTTTTTAAGTGAAAATAGATCGATGTGTACCTGGACAATGCCATGTTTGTGAAATTCTCCAATTTTTTTAAGTGAAAATAAGTAAATGTGTACATGGATACCAAGTTTGTGTAATTTTTTAACTTATTAATTTGGCTCGACGATTTTTGGCTCAAAAATCACTGCTACACAAAGCATCTGCAGCGACGATTTTTGCAAAAATCGTCGCTACACAAAGCCAAAATAACAAGTCGAAGAATTGCACAACCTTGGTATCCACATACCGTCAAAAGTCGCCAGTTATTGACAAGGGGCACCTGTAAATATATTTTACCCATTGAAATTCTGACACGTGGTGGTAGGAAATTCTCTCTTACACAAATCATAACACAAGCACACAAATAACCAAATTTCAAAAATAATTTCCAAATGAGAAAGCTGTAGTGCAATCTCTTCAACTGTACACAATGTAGATGGCGTTACTCATACCTACTTCATACACAGACACTGGAATATTAATCGGTACAACTCTGATATACGCCCTAATTTCACCAAATGTGGCGATATGTGTTCTGCACTGGTTTTTGGCGCTATTGCGTGTTTTGTATGGCAACCCTGTTGACGTTGAAGAATCTTTCACTGGAGTTCGTTGGTTCGCGTCATGCTCTATGTCTGAGAAGCTAAAATGGTGAAAGTTGTTGAATTGAAGTTCGGCAAAAGGAAATATCGTCGTGGCCATTCTGTTGAGGGGCAGTGGGTATTTGGAGGTGGAAAGAAGGTCTGGGAGATTATTTTAGTGGCTGTCATGATAGAAGTAGGGATTTGTGATTATTTGTTATTTTATTTTATTTGTGAACTAAAGTATGGATTTTCTGGATAGTGTGTCTGGGTGTCATAATCCGATATGATTACGTGGCGGCATGTTAAAGGCGTATGAAATTGGTATTTCTGCTGTTAGAGAAAAAGCATTGATTCATGGTTAGTGCATTTTATTTTATTCTTGTTCTTATTCTGTAGAATGTTATGTTCATTGTTTTTGTAGTATGAATTTCTGTCGTTATTGTTTTTTTTAATTGTTTGAAATTTATTTTAGTTATTTTGTTGATTACTGCGTATCGTCTAAATTGTGCAATTCGTAGATATTTTTTTAAGTTGAAACAGAACGCTGTGTACATGGTATTCTTTGAAATCTATTGATGTTAATTTATTAACGTGAGGTGTGCATAGTTTGTAAATTCGTTTGTTGTCTAAAATGTGCAATTCGTAGATGTTTTCTTAAGTTGAAACAGGACGCTGTATACATGATATTCTTTGAAATTTACTGTTGTTATGTTAATTTATTAAAACGAGGTGTGCATCATTCGTAGATTCGTTCGTTGCCTAATTGTGCCATTCGTAGACGTTTTTTGAAGATAAAACATATCGCTGTGTACATGGACTTTTGTCAAATAATTTTGGTTAGAAACTTTACGGTTTGGCTATCTAAAGTTTTTGTTTTTATTTCGAATTTTCAGCTTAAATTGTGTGTTCAAAACGGTTTTGCATTCGCGAAAACCGTGTTTTTGGAGACATTTTAGGCTTAAAGTTCGAAATGTAGACAAAAAATTTAGATAGCAATATGGCAGCGTGGAGTTTCTCACCAAAAATGTTTGGCGAGAAATTTGGTGACTTGAGGGCGCATATCAGAGTAGTTCCTATTAATCATTCACATATCACAGCATGTAGTACTTTTATGGGAATTTCAATGTTTGTTGCATGCCAGCTTCACAGTGTAGGAATTTTAAAGTATATCAGAAGAGGCTTTCCATGTTTGAAAAGATCCCAAACTTACTTCTACATAATTTTTTTTGCCTAACGTGGCTCAGATATGGACAAATACATAACAAAGTTACAAAGAAAACAAGGCATTACAGATACATCAGATAATTGTTTACAAACATTAATGTAAAAATTTTCAGGATTATTCTCTGATTATGGTCATTTAACCATTATTGAATTTGAGATATTAAACAAGCATACAATAATTCGTTCTACTTTTTTCAGCACTTAAAATACATTATATTATTTTTAATTCTTATTATCAGTTGAATTTATACCAAAAAGAACACTGAGTGTCAAATATTTGTTTACAAATGGTCAAATACTTGCCTCTTAAGCATTTGTCAAGAATGGATGAACTATCAGTCATTTAACAATCTCGTTTAGCCCTAGCGGTGCCCAGGATGCACCACAGGCACTAAACTAATATCACACGCTTGACAGAGGAATAAGGGCATGCACTGACAAAAAAGGCTTCAGAATTGTCCGCAGAATTTCAACCAATTCTATAATTTATTACTTTACAATAGGAACTTCAAGGTCATTTTTCACTGCTGATGCTGTGGAAAAATGGTTGACTCTGTTAATTTTATTTTTCCTGCTTCATTTCCGTTTCACAGGGAAGGACAGGGTCAGCCTTGAAGCACTATTTTAAAGTAACAGACTACAGCAGTCAGCATCTGTTACCATTTGATTGTCCATGGTATCAATTAGCCAACTGTTTTAGATTTTAAAAGTAATGTAGTTTTTAATCTATCTGAAGTTTCAGAAACTTCTACATTTTTGGATATATCTTGGCAATAAGTGGTGCTTTTCAGAGGGCTAGGAACCCTTTCCTGTGTATGTGCCAACAAATGGACTGCAACATGATTACAGTGATTTTCTTCAAATCTGCCTTCATGCACGAAATTCTATTAAATATTCATGAAATTCTTATTATATTTATTAAATTAAATAAATAATAAGATCCAAAACGATCATGTTTACAATATTATACGCATTTATCAAAAAAAAAAAAAAAAAAAAAAAAAAAAAAAAAACCTTTGGCATTCACTTATTAATTAAAACAATTTCATAGAATTTGAATCTTAGTTTTAATGATAAAACACTCTTTACTACCAGATAGTGTTCTAATAATTTAAACTTTAATTCTGCTGGAAAAAAATTAAATCTTTAAATTTATTTTACATTCAGATAATATCTCAAATTGCATCTGAATTTCAATATGTTTATTTTATGGTAGAATATTTTAATAGATTTAAGTCTTTACAATAAAATACGGAATAATAAAACTATACAATTACAGAAAAAGCTACCCAAAATACTGCAAATTTATATATTTTATAAATATAAGCAAAATATCCGTTTTTTAATAAAAGTATAATACATACCTATTTAGAACTACATATTTCCTTGACCAACTTTACTGTTGCAATTTAAGCAATGACTTATATAGATATAGTATCTCGGTATCTTTTTTATAACAATGAAGATAACAGAGTTACGAAACTGTTATTCAATCAATCACACATTTCACAAAAACAATACTTTTAATTTTGCTCTACGATCGATACGTCACGAAACTACCAAAACAACTGACTTTAAGCCCTGACTTCGCCCGTAACCCATATTATTATCAACAACATGATTTTTCGCCCATCAGTGCAGAAAGACTTAGCGGGTGCAAAACAAGACATCTGTCTACTTTGTCTGTCTGTCTGTCTATTTGAAAAAATAAAAAGTCATAATTTGCCAAATCATATTAAAACATATGTAGCACCCTAAAATTAAAAAAAAATTTAAATCTAAAGAAAACATATGGAAAGCAATTTCTGCATAATAAACTTTGTAGTTGCTATATTTCTATGAATGGTTTGGCAACATCTACTTTTGCTCACTTTCCGCAAAAGTTTATAAACAAGGATTTGCACGTGTTTTAAAAGAAATATTGCATGGATGTACAGTTTTATAAAGTACATTATTAAAATATGAATAAAAAAATAAAAATTTTAATTAAAAATTGCAAAATTACTGATAATCGATCTCTTTTCATTATATTGGGCAATGATGGTTCTAAGCAAGTAATCCAAAATTTTTCTATACATCTTTATAGAGATTATTTCGCATGCTTCAGAGTGAAATATTTCTAAATATAAATCTTTGTTATAAAGACGTAGTTAGTGAATTTTTGCGCAAATTTAGCCAAGTAATCATTTTAATGCACATTAATTTTTCTTCCTACCCCCCGCCTCATTTTGAGGTGAATTCTGTCTGTAGAATTTGTTTAATAAGATTTTTTTTTCCCTGTAAATCTTCACTGAAGTTGATTTGTTGCGTATAAAAAGATTAAATATTGCAATTAATTTTTCTTCTATAAGCTTCCATGATTATTATATCTAATATAAAGTGGATACATGTTATTTTAAAAATTTATTTAAATTATTTTTTTTGATTCGTAAAAGTTTAATATATTTTTATTTTCTACGTGGTGTACAAAATTCATCTACCTACTAATGCTGTGCTAGAAATTACATTTCTTCATTAACACAGAACTTTCTTAAATTGAGTTTCTCTCACAGTTGCTTTAATAGTTCGCACTTTTTATTAACACTTGGCTATTAAATTACGTTCTACTCCATACATCTGGATAAATTTATTTAACTTGAAAATGTTAGACAAACTAGAGAGAAATGCTGAAGCTAATTCTTTGATAAATTTATGTTTGCTAGCCTTTGACTTCAGACAAGCGGTTTAATTTTTCAGCATTCAATTTATGCTTCAAGCATCATTTAAACAAAATTATAATTTTTTCAAATAAAAGTTATTCTAATTTATACAGCAGTCATCCTTTGTATAACTGCTAACTGTTTCATTGAAAGCAGAACACTCCCATGTTTTCATCACATCTTCCTGCAGATTTTGTGATGTCTACATTTTTTACCTATTTATTTTTTAGCCTTTTCTAAGGAAAATGTTTCCCAATAATAAATTAAATTTATTGAATTAATGAAACTTAAATTATGTAAATTTCTTTCCCATTGTTTATGATTATCAGAATATTTTTTCCTATTAAATTGTAGTTCCTCTGAATTGTATTTTTTGTCATATTACATTTTATTGATCTTTGTTTTATTAAATTTCAGTTAATCTGAGTTGTCTTCATCTACTATACTAGATTATGACAGTAATATATTATTATATGAAGATCAATTATTGATAGTAGTAGATTTTTATATGAAGATTGAAGCAGTTTGTAATAATTTAATATAAATATTTTGTTGATTTGAATAACTGATACATTCAAAATCGTAAAAAACAACCTTATATTTAGCGTAGGTATACCTACGCTAAATATAAGGTTGTTTTTTACGATTTTGATTGTCACATTAGCGTGTTTCTCTTCTAGTCTAACTGATACATTATTACGTTTATCCGCACAAATACTATGAATAAGTTATCAATTATTAATTTTATTTTTTTCATATTTAAAAGCACTACAGCAAGTTAAAGCTTTCTTGGTGTAAAAGTTGAATAAAATTAACAAATGAAATTAGCCAAACAGAAAACTTAGAATACCCAACTAAATGCTAATATATTTCCCATCTGAATTGAATTATAAATAGTTCAGTAGCTTGAATCATACATTATAAAGTGGTTTTAAGTCAGCTTCAAATTCCTTTAAAATGATGTTACTATGCAGCTTGAATCTCCCGGTTTATAAGATTTCAAGATTGGTATTTGTTTTCGTCTCAACTTGCATTGAAACATATGATGCTGCAGCGTGGTATGATTATGCATCATTTAAGATGAAGGTAGATTGCAGTGATCATGCTCTTATTTTCTTTTCTTTCTTTCTTTTTTTTTTTTTTTTTTGCTCAATAAGACTGAAAAAAACCTGATCCATTTCAATATCTTTATTCATATAGACATTCATGCAAATTCAGTCTATGTAATTATCAGATTATTTAGAAGAGCCATGCAAAATGATGCTGTTATCTTCTTTGGAAAAATGACTAATAAATTAAGATGTGATCTTAAGTTAAATTTTAAATTTACAATCACTAATTAGTAAAAATTTAAAAAAAAACTACTGCACTAAAGAAAGGTTGTGCAAGTGCTAATATAATTGGGAAGTTAGAACAAAATATTATTAAGAACTCATTTTGAATGAAAGTTTAGTTTTAAGGATGAACCCTTTGTAATCAGTTGTCCTCTTTGAGAGATATCCTAAGTCTAGCATGCCATTTATATGTTCTCCTTCATTCAGCATTTAGTGATTGCACAGGATAAACTTATGCCAATGGAACTTTATGAAAGATGTATAATTTTTATTGAAATGGTTTATTTACTGATATATATATAAAAATAAACAGCCAGTGTTACATCAGCAGAGAACTTGTTGAAGCAAGAGATGTGAAAAATATGTAGTGGTCTCTCTGTTTCTCAAACCCTAAACCTCTCAAATGCGTGTTGAGTATGCTCCCAGCTGCACCACAAAGGCATGCAGAAAGGAGGAAAAAAATACCTTATATACTTCCCCTTTTAAAGGGCAATTGGGTATTCCAAATCCTGGTGGTGACAAATTATCTCCACCACTTTCTAGTTTGGGCGCTGCTTGTAGGATGATTAAGGTTTTTTATGCTGGACACGTAAATGTCCTGGCTTTGGCTTGAACCCTGGACCTTTCGAATGCACATCAAGTATGCATCCAATTACACCATGAAGGCATGTGGAAAAGAGAGATAATAAACCTTATAATGTCAAGTCAATTTAAAATGTGGTATAAACTCCATTCTAAGGAAGGGGATAAGTGGCATTTATATATATAAAATGGATTTGCTTATATACATTGTAGGATATTATGAAGGGTGACAATTTTTTTTTGCGGCTAAGTCGGGATATAGACCCCCATCAACCCCCCAGTCTTTTTCAGTAAATAAATGAGAATAAAACATACAGATGTAGTAAAAAATTGTTTTAAGTATAAATAATTCATACAAATGATTAGTTGTATTTTGAAATCGAACGAGCTCTTTTAACCACTTAACAATTTCTTTTTTCCATCATATTATGACAAAAAATAAGAATATTTTTAATAAAAATTTTTATGAAGAAATTCTTTATATAAACCCAAACTAGCAGTCATAACTATTACAAGTGTTGAATTTATTGATTTATGCTAATTTTTATTTTCATCATAAAAAGCACATTTTTCCTTAAAGTTGGCTTTTTTCGAACAAGTAAGCAAACTAGAAAGAACACTTTACAAAAATAGATGTCAGAATTTAAAATCTTTTATTGTTATTACATATCTGTTTGATTCCAAAGAAGAATTATTAATATCAAGTTCGCAAATGTTCTGAATTTGCATTAGATTATCTATACTTTCCGTTTCTTCATCACTAGAGAAGTCGACACAAACTGTCATTACTCAGAATCATTTAGTGAAATTTCAAATTCACTATCTGAGTCAATATCAGAGTTATCTTCAGTTTTAAGCTGCTCATTATTATTCATTTCTTCTTTTATTTTAGCTCCAAATTTAAAAGAAATAGTATTCGCAGTAGCCGGAACACCGAGCTACTATTTCATGCCTTTCCTTACATAAAAGAATTCCCTAAAATCTAACTGTGAAACCAGTTGTTTTGCAATTCTAACTTTACTGAATTACTAGTGCCATCTGTTAGAAACATTACACACTAAACAAACAAAAAATTCGGGCAAAAAAGTGTAGACTAGAAAAAAATGTTGCCCGGGCACTGCTCAGGAAAATCAAAATAGTAATTTCCAAGTACCTGAACGGCTTTCATATAACACATTGCCTTTATGGTATGAATGTTCAGCTGCAATTTTTCTTCTGTCCACAAATAATTTATTTATACAGTACAAAGTCCAAAATCCAGAACTTTGAATTTGAACCACCACCGCAAAAAAAAAAAAAAAAAAAAAAAAAGCTTCTAATATTAATATAATAAATAAATAAAATAATTAAAAATATCTCTTCTTGCAAAGTCTAAAAACAGAGATTATGGTAAAGAAAGGCTACAGATAGCCACAAATATGATTTTTTTGCTGACTGACTGAGATTCGTGTGTATCACTTTTAACACCTGTTAGCTATGAGTGGACTCGCACTGTGGTCAGTAATAGAGTATTGATTAACATTATATTCATGTATATATTTCACTTTTATATATCAAAACATTATATTCATGTTGGGCAGGATCACACTTTCAGCCCTTGAATGGTTATGGGAGGAACAGGACCAGTGCTATTCATTTTGATGCCTAGGGCATTCTATTGCATCTTCTAAATTCTAAAAATTCAGTCATCTCTAATTTTTGCTGCTTACTGTTCCTCTAAATTCTAAAAACTTTTGTTGATCTAAATTTTGACATGAAGGGCTTAGAATTTTCTATCTAACATAAACAATAAGTGAAGCTGCAATGCTGTCATGGCTACATGTTATCTTACTAGCTTTTTAACTGATGATCTAAAATCCAGAAATTTCCAAACTCTTAAGTACCCATGATTTTCAGACCTTGGACTGTAATAGACCTGCATTGCTACCAGGTAAACAAAGCACAAATTCTATAGCTTTTGTGAGATGCATATAAGGAATATGATTTTCACTGAAATAGTTAAAAATTTGAATCCAATACTTAACAGTTGGTGTTTCATCATCATTCCATTGCTGATGTTTTTCAAAGTTCTACATGTTTTCAAATATGATATTTCATTGAATAATTCATTTTCCAGTGCCATATATTCATTTCCTGGTAAATATTTTTTTAATAAAAACTATCACTTTCATTTTCAGGTAAATATTTTTTTATAAAAACTATTACTTCTTTTACTTTAGTCCAATCTATTTGACATTGTCAACTAATCCATTTAAAATGCATAATTTCCTCAAAGACATTGCCACTATAATTCTACATAAACAATAGTCATATAAAAATTTATTATTTGATTAATGAGCAATTTTTTTAATATTTCCATTTTGAAGTATATTATGTAGAATATATTATTTAATTATATAATAATAATATATTGTTTAATATTTAAACTTGATGGTAAAAATGTAGAATCAATACTTTCTTCAAATTTAAAAGTAAGATCAATAATTTCTTCCAAAATTTTGACATTTGTTCTTTTTTCTCTGTCCCGAGCCCCGATGACGAGTGAAGGCAAGTCTGGAGACTCCCCAGACAGCAGTGTGATACCAACCTGACTGTCTTCCGGCAGACAGGCTGACAACCAGGAGTGATGGTCTGGGGAGCCATTTCATTTCATAGTAGGACCCCTATGGTTGCGTCATTTTTTTTGTCTAAGAGACTCAATGACTAAATGTGTGCAACTATGTGACAGGAAAATATTGCTTCCATCAGTGCAAGCTGTCTTTCCTCCTTATCCAATTTCTTTTTACAAAAATGTTAACTTGACGCTATGAAAAGTTACTGTTGCTCATCTTATGTTTTGGGGACTCAGCATGTTGTTAACTTTCGTGTACTGTTGAAACCATCGTTTTGCACTGAATGCAGTGAATATTAGAATCAATTTATATTGTTTGATTATTTTTTGCTTTATATAAGGAAATTCGTTTACCATATTGTCATTAAACTTTGAAATTCTTTTCTTGTGTGGCATTTGAAAAATTGTAAAAAAAATTAAATTAAAAAAATTTGAGTAATTGTACTAAAAATAAGCTATTTTACTTTAATATTAGAAATTATGGTTTGCTTTTTTAACCTTTAAAAATACTTTCTGGTATCACTTGATTTAGTTGATGAGATATATCTATTTGGAGGTCGTAATTGTTGGAGAATCAATCTGTTGATATCAGGAGACTGTGGGCGGTGCAGTCGGCTATTGTAGTAGTTGGAAGATCGAGTTATTGATATCTGTAGGATGCAGTTGATTGTTGTTATTGGGTGCCATGGAAAGTAAATGTCAGTGAATCCAAGTATGCAATCCGAAAGCTCATAAGAGAATGAAGAATTATTAACCTTCCCATTATCTCTTAAGATGCCAGTTCCCGACCATGCCACCACAACACTGCCACTGTAGATCTGAGATTACGTAATAAAAGATGTGCTAATTCAGCTTGGCATATGAGCAACGCCACCAATATAAAGCTCCAAAAATAATACTATCAGTACTTGAAGTGCTATAGAAACTAAAGTTATTTTGATGAATCTTTAAATGCATTGTCAGTTCCGGGATGCTTTCTGTGACATGTATCTGTGGAAGATGCAGAGTTGGAATTTGAGACAAACGGTCACCCTAGTATTATATAATTTGAAAAAACAGTGAGGTGAACCCAAGACTGTAGAGAATGTTCAGAGTGCAGAGCATTAACATATTTTATTAACAAGATTTATTTTGTATTGTATTTTAAATAAAAAAAAATTCCTGCATTTCAAAGGAAAAGGGGTCAGTTCCTTCTCACTTAAAAATATGAGTCACATCTTGTTGAGAATTAAAATTATGTTCTGTTACAGTCTGCGATCTAGTTTCATGGACCATAATGCCACAATGAAAAATTTTCAACTAGATTTTAATTTACATTGAGTGTGCTTAAATTGTTTGAAAGCTTTGAACATCATCCAAAGATCAACTTAAAAATTTTTTACTAAATTTCCCTTCTTGAAACCTGTATTACAATCTCATAAAGTTGAACATTCCTACAAAATAAATACCTTTATACACTCTACCAAAAAAATGGACAATTTTATATCTCCCATTCTACTGGGCTGACTGACGAAATTCAAATTGCGTTTTCCATGTCTCGAAAGCATGATTTAAGCTATATATTAGATTTATATATAGCTTTATTCTAATATAGGTATTTTGACACATAAGGAGACATTTTCTGAAATAACAGGCCAATTTTTTTCATATTTCAATTCTATGACTCGATTTATGCCTAAATATTACATTTTGTAAAATTTACTGCGAAATTTACAGAGAAATTCGAAAATTTAACTTGCCACATATTTTTCAGTTTGAGCCAAGAATAATTTACTTGTCGAACTTCTTAATATATGGCAACCAATTTTACTTTCCCTTCCATTATGCAGGAGTGGGGGGAAAAAAGACCTCGTTCCTACCTTTTTACATTGTAAATGAGCGGAAAAAAAGACACATCATTCCAACTTTCATGTAATTTTAACAAAGTGTGTAAACCACATTTTCGTTAATATCATTTTTTACAAATGTGTCAAATTTCAAAATGTGCGAATATATAAATTTACGTATATCTTCGTAAATTTTGAATAAAAAGCTCTAATTTTTTCCGGATATGCTTAGGAATACATCCACTTTAAGATGATGGTAAAAATTTTATAGGTTATAATTCAAAAATTTTTTTAAAAATATTTAAAAAATTATTTAAAAATAAATCATAAATAGTTTAATTTTATTTGGAATGAACCTAAATTTTGGAATGTGTAGGAAGGAATCAAATAAGTTTCATAAAAAAGATATTAATAAATACATATCAAATTGAATTAACATTGAGGAGCTAACATTTTTAGAGCTAATTTTTTTAAAACTACTTGTGTGATTTTTACAAAACTTGGGAGTACGACATAATTTGGGTCATGGAATTGAAATATAGAAAAAAATTGGCATATTATTTCAGAAAAAGTCAGAGTTTGTGTCAAAATACCTATATCAGAACAACACTAGATATAAATCTAATACATATCCTAAGTCGCATTTTCGATACATGAAAAATGTAATTTGAATTTCATCAATCGACCCAGTAGAATAGAAGATATAGAACTCTCCTCTTTTTTGGGGGGGGGGGGTGCAGTGTACAGTCTACTGGAAAACATCTTAAGAGAATTCAGTTAGGTCTTCATGTTTAAAAATTTATGTTATCTGCTGCATGCTTTATTTATTTATCTTGCATCTTTTCAGATTTTTTTTAATGTTTAAATATCTTCATATTTTAATAATTTCTTAGTGTTCCAAAACTAGTAAAACTGTTTTTTTAATTATAAACTGATTATTTACACATACATTTATAAATTCAATTTATTTTTTAGGTTCCAGTTTTTTGGAAGCTTTTAACAAAAGGAAAAGGGAAAGATTGTTCTTTCCTATGGTGCTCTAAAGAATGCTCTGATGAATTTATGTATGTATTTTTTTTTTTTTTTTGGTTTTGTTTTTTTGTTTGAATGTAGTTGCAGTGTATTTTTCCTTGATATCTGATGTATGAATTTTTAGTTAAATTCTGCTATTGGAAAATTTTTAATTAGAAATTTACAAAATGAAATAAGTTAAAATTTCATAAATATTATTACATTTAGAATACATTTTAAATTTGCAAATAGAATTTCCCGAAAATATGCATTACTAGACTTCTTTCATTTTTAATGAATTATTTGTGTAATTACTTGCACTTTTCTATTACTTCCTTTCCAAATTAGCAAAAGTATACATATGAAAAGTTAGTTTATTAATGGCTTGTAAATTCAGATAAAATCATCAAAATGATTCTAAATTTAATTATATGGATTTATAAGTTTAAATTATATGGAATAATAAATTTTGCTTCCTATCACAGCAAAACAAAATTTTGTTACAGTCAAAAGTCTTTAATCTGGAATTATCTATAATCCGGACATCATAGCTACAAACTTTCTGCGCATGTACATAATACGTTTACACATGCGCGTTTGTGGATCGCGTTTACGCATCGCCAATGTTGGAGAACAAAGCTTTTACAGCTAAAGCTAATCTTTGAATCACAACGTAAATATCTGCATCCAGTAGTTTGTGTGTCAACAAAATGGAACGGTAACATTATGTGTAGGCTAAAAGACTATGCCCAGTTTATTGATGATGTGACTTAATGATGTGATTATATTTTCCAGTGAGTGAAGCATGACTGACGTTATGAACTATGAACTATAAGACCTTTTGACTGTTTAGTTTGAACATTTTTTGGGGAAGCTAAAATGCTAATTTTTTTTTCTAACGTTATGTAATATGTTTAAAGATTTAGCCAGGGTTTGCTAAACTATTATGTTTAATTTTAAATGATTGATTTGTATTGTCTCGTTTATAAGATAACTGCTTATATGATTATGATTATGTGAAGGATTTAAGTTTGAAAAGTTAATTGAATGTTACATCTTTTAAATGAATAGGATTACTGAATTTATGTTGAAATAATTTTAATTTAAATGGTAAGAATTGGTTAATTAAGTTCGAAAATTTCATGAATGTTATTTTATTTGGTTTCAAGAAATGTTTATATGTGTGGATTTGACAGGTCATTGAAAGACACAATCTTTTAGAGGGGAGGTGTCATGACTTGATGACCACGCAAGCACAGTTTAGCCCAATGGCCTGCAACCCCCTCTCTCATGTGATTTACTAGAGAAGAGTAGTTAGTTAGTAGTTGGTAGCGAAATAACGGAGGTAACATGCTATATGCCAGCATGGATGAAAATATGCTGTTCTACTTTTGTGTTAATCATTTGTTCTTATTATTTTGTTCATGTGTGAATAAAGTCTTTGTGCCGTTAAATGTTTGGCTTTATGCAATGCCCACATTACGATACGTCTACGATAGAAATTAAATATATATCCAGAACCTACACACACAAGAAGCAGGATATGACAATCTGCATTACATTTTCAGAAGGATTTTTATGTGATTCTACTTTTAAAACTCTTTCCTTATAAATTTTAATCTGTTATGTGATGTTAAATTTGGTATGTATCCAAACTTTTGATCATAATGTATTAATCTTGCCTATATATCAATATGGATTAAAATGTATCTAACTGCATTACATTTTTAGAAGTATTTTATGTGATTCTACTTGCAAAACTCCTTCCCTATATTTTTATCTGCTTTTATATGAGGTTTTTCTCAAGTATTGGAGAAAAAAGTTTTGAGTTGGTAAGAAAAGTTAATAAACAAAATAACCAACTTGAAAATTTGTAGATGTGTGCATATGTAAGATAAAACAAAATGTAAGTATAAATTATGTAATTTAAATTAGCAATAGTTCCTTAATGCTTAATTTTAACTTGGATGTATACCAAATTAAAATTAAGCATTAAGTGACTATTTTTAATTTATTTGTGGTTGTGGCTGGACAATGACACAATTTATGTTTATTTATTCTTCTCATTCACACATCATTTTTTGTGAGTGTGTTATGCTCCTCACAATTCTGTAAATTCTACATTGTTTTAGACAAACGGAAACGCAGAGCCACAAACTATATGTGGCTAGGCAGCAGGTGAAGCAGAAAAAAAGGGTTGTCCAAACGGTAACAGTGGTATTTATAGACTTAGATCCTTGGTTTAAATTTTGTGTTTAGATGAGAGTCATTCACAATGCTTGAAAATTACATAAGCAAGCATGAAGCAGAAAGCCATTGTCCAGAAAAATTATCATAAACAATTTAAACTACAAGGATAAGATAGACAGATTAAAATGAAGCTATTGCTAATTTAAGTTATAATTTTTAGTTACCCTTTCTTTTAAAATCATACATATATATGAATCGTTGATTTAAAAAGAGGCTGTGGGACAAAAGTCAAATTTGTACAGGAATAAAAAAAAAACTATCCTACGAGGAAGTCAGAAATCAGTAACAAAAAATTCTGAGATAGATATACCTAGGATTTATTTAATCTCAGATTATTTAAATAATTTAGGTGTTCATAAGTACTATCACAAAATTTCAAAAATTAACACATATCCATTTTTTACAACTTGCGATATTTTTTCTTGAAAAATTTAATGAAGCAAATGTCATTTAAAAAAATATAGCTTAAGATAGCTAGACATTAATAGATAAACATTATTAAAATTCGGTCTATCTGTTGTAAAAATAAAAGTAATAGCAGTAAAAATTAAATTTTATTTTTAAATACAAAAAATTGAAAAAAAAAGACGAAAGTATTCCCTGTAATAATAAAACCTTAATCATCTCCATTGCCATTATCCTTGTCACTTTCTATTCCTGTTGTTGGCCACTGCTTCTTGAACTTCTTGTTTTGATCATTGCATCCTCGTATTGCATTAAATCTTTCCTTTTTGCTTGACTTCCCAGCATATTTTCAGGCATGTAGATCCAATCAATTTTTCTGATGATGGGTTTATTGCTCTGAAATATCAATCACATGGGAAAAATAAGTGATACTTGATAGGAAAAGAGTTTTCAATTTTATCAAACATTTTTATTTTGATGAGTGCCATGCATGTGGGTCTTGACATGCTGAGCCATCAGAAAAAATTAACAGTACCATATATGAAAAACAGATTTTAAAAACTGTATACGTCATACATATTTCAGTAGTTCAAACATCATTGCAAAAATCCCAACAAAAACTAAACTATTGTTACAACTAAAAACATTAGATTTCTCCTGAATATAAACCATGCACATTATGGTAATTCTATAAAAGTTTGCCTCCACCACGATTTCCATAAAATTAACTGAAATCTGTTAAACTCATCTTAATTGGTTATTTCTGCAAAGAAATTTACTCGTATTTCAATTATAAGCCTTTCATAAACAAAAAATGAACATATGCAAACTGATTCAAAATAACTGTGCTAACAATGAGGAAGATGTGGAAATGTAGAAGTTAATGGGCAAGGTACACCTGAGGTCCGATGTATATTATTTTTAAAAAGTACAAAACTGAAGCTCTTTATAATAGAAATAACTCCGTTAAAATGACAACAAATGCATATTTAAGTTTTACTTTATACTGATTATCTTTTGAATAAATGCTTTCAATTAAAAGTTGCATCGATATACAGGGTTTATAGAAAATAGACCTTGATTTATGCTTGCCACCTATGCTGGCTGTATAGAATCCATGAAAGAACAACTCTCAAACTGTTCTAATTAAAAATGCATAAATTAGTGATATTCCCCCCCCCCTAAAAAAAGAACATTTTCCTAGAAAGTTTAAATACATAACTTAGTGATTTTTTATCTGAAAAAAAGTATATATATGTACTTCTAGAACAGCTGAATGCAAAATTTATGTATTTGAGATTTGACCATTCTAGGGAATATTAGTTTTATGGAAATAATGAAGGAAGCATTCTTTTTTTAAAATTATGTTGCCTGTCCAGCCCTCCCGGCCATTGGCTTTGGTGCTCAAATAATAGATTTCCTCCTTCAGAGGATATGAAATAACAGCTTAAACATAAGTCTGTTGTCCTCATGGCGTGTAAAGATAGAGAGTATTACCTACATTATACTCATTCCTGCACATAAAGATTCTTACCAACATGGTTTACCTACCTCACTTCGGTCATCTCTACTCTCTTTATTATATTTATCTTGTAAAGGTCGTGATTATTTCGCTGTTTTTAGTCTCATGGATTTTCATTTGATTCATAAGATTTGGATTCCATTATAAATTATTGGAAACTGTAATAAACAGGAGCTTCACAGATTAGTTAAAGATACTTGTTACATGAACAAACAGCCAGTAAGAATACAGATCACAGACCAATGAATAAGACATTGAGAGGAGGAGGCTCTGACAAATCAAAGACTACAATATAAAAGTGGGTCATCAAAGTATTCACATGTCCTCTTTTAACAAAAACAAATTCTGACTTGCCATTTCACCCTTTAGGCATTGTGCTGAGAGTCTTAATTTTTACACAGCTTTAGGAAGTGTGGTATATTGATTTTTCCTCCCCACACTGATCTCATTTAAAGAAAAAAAAAAAAAAAGTTCCATAATCTCTTTTTACTTGTAACAATTCATATATATTTAAGACTCATCTGGATAATGGCTCCTGGAATATTTGCCTGTACTTCTTTTGTGCCTTTAGCCAATCATATCCACGTGGCTTGAATTTTCATATGTTTTCTTGAAGTCCTGTTGCAGATCCTTTACTAGACCAAGATCAGCGTAATTTAAGACTTAGTTCTGAGCTAGGACTGTCTTTTGACAAAGCTTATTTAATAATAAAGGCTATTCAGATGCTGTTGCAAAATTATATCCAGTATTTATTGATACATTTTTTTATGGTGGGCATTAACCTTTTTTGGCTTTGGCAGTATGCAGTGCATTTAGGAGAGATCCGAAAAGATGGAAATCTGAAACTCTGAAAGTGCCAAGTTACGAGAGCACAGAGAACTTCCCAGCCGAGCCTTTGAATGGCTACCTTGGTCATATTGGCTATGTGAGGGTGCGTGTTGTTGTGTTGCAGAAGAATGCTATGTCGCTGATAGGTAATTTTTGCTGGATAGCATTGTTAGATTGTTGAATTTGTTGGACGTAAAGTTCCACATTTACTGTTTGGCTCTGATCAAGCAATTCAAAATGGATCATGCCTTCCCAGCCTCACTATATGCACAGCATTGTCTTCTGCAATTGAAAATCTTGTTTTGCTTGCGCTAACACTAAAGTGATCACACGTCCCGATTTTTGTGAGACAGTCCCACTTTTTGGAAGACTGTCCCGCGTTCCGCCGATTTTTAAGAATGTCCCGCTTTTTAGAAAACATCTGCATTTCTTATTTTAAATGTACTGTAAAAATATATTACCTATTATTTATTAATTATAGCAAATATAATGAAATAAAGAAAACTCATAAAATGCATCCAGAGTAAATTAAAATTAGGCAGATGTAACGAGTTAGAACTTACTCTGGTGGTTTTCGATCATTGTCGTTACGTCTCGTCAACGGAATATGTATTGTTAAGGAGGAACAGCTAGCATTAGCTGAAGGGCTATTTGCTTTCCACACCATAAACCATAATCAAAGTTTCAGATCAATTGACTTGTACGTCGCAAATGATCAAAACATTGTACGACAAAAAATTTGCATGTGCAAGGACAAAAACCGAAGCAATTATTTGTGATGTTTTTTCATCATATTCATTTTCACGATTGCTGCAAGAATTACACAAATGCACATTTGTAAGACTTTTTGATCCAGAAACAAGAATTAAAATTAGAATATTAAATTTTGTTTCATTGCTGGGTGAAACTTTTTTTTTTTTTTTTTCCCTAATGGCAGATTGTGAACAGCTACAGTTTTGTAACAGTCCATTAATTTATACTAAGGCCAGATGTGGTGGTCTCTTTATTATGGAGACACCTAATAGGTGAGCTACCACTGCCTCCTATGAAAGGACGGAGAGTTACAACCATGCCTTGTCCGGGATTTGAACCCAGGCCCTTCGGTATTGCAGTCAGGCTCCCCTTACCACTATACCGTCGAGGCGGCTGCCGAGTGAAACTGGACAAATAATTAAAATTCCATAAGTACTATTTTAAAAAAGATCACTGCCTATTGTGAGACAATGATTTTATGTTGACACTAATGCAAATTTTGGTGGAAAAGCTAGAAGAGGCATCAATAATGTTTTTATGAAACTTAACGAATATTTGAACCAAAAAATTATTCGAGTAGGTTGTGCATCGCACATTCTACACAATACTATTTAAACAGCATCTTACTTCCAGTGGATGTTGAAAATCTTACTGCAAAAATTTATTCCTATTTTTATATATATACTGTGCGTGTCGAAAGTTTGAAAGATTTTTGTGAAAGTGCAGAAATCGAATATAAAAAAATTATTGGTTACAGCAAAACATGATGGCTAGCTCTTTTACCAGCTGTAGAAAATATTTTAAAAATATATGAACCATTAAAATCATACTTTTTATCACAAGATAAATGTCCAAGAATACTGCAGCTGTTTTTTGAAAATGACACATCACAAATTTGTCTTCAGTTCATCCACAACCAAGTTATATTATTTCACAGTACTGTGAAAATTATTTAAGGGTACAAAATTTCATTTATGGAAGTGTCAAATGAAATCAATAATTTAAAAACAAAATTGTGAGAAAGAATTGATAACAATTACATTCCTTTAGTTATTCGAAAGGACATCACTAGGTTGGAAGAACAAGGTGCCATATTAAATGACTTGATTTTCTGAAAGAAGTCAGAAATTTTATAATAACTGCTTGGAATATGTTGAAGAACGGATAGTTCAATTCGAGGATATTAAAAACTGTCATTGGGTGACATTAAAAAAGGAGATTTTATGGGAATATGTGGGAAAATCTTTTTAATATATTAGCAACCATTTTCCAAATAATAATATTTGTGAAAATGATCTTTCTGATGAGGTATCATTGGTAAAAAGATACATTACTGATGAAAATATTAAATGTTGGTTTTCTGCAAATGTGGAAACAGGCAAAAAGTGGACGAAGTTATTCCTTCCTTTTAAACAGAATACATATGAAAATATTTTTTAAATTGTAGAACACCTGCTTTCCCATCCAGGAACAAATGCAGCAACAGAACATGTTTTTTCTAATATCAATAAAATATGAACAACTGAAAAAAATGCAGTTGAACATTAAAACTTTATAATCTGTAGTAAGCCTAAAATATAATTTGATGAATTCATGTGAGAAATTCATGACATTTTAATAAATGATTCGAATCTATTGCAAAGTATTCATTCAGAAAAAAAATATAATCATGAAAGAAAATCATAATTTTTTTAAATAAAATATTAAATTAATTAAAAAACATAGTATTCAAATTATTGTTTTTTACAAATATTTTTATAGTTGCCAATAGTTAATAATAAATATATTTTTGTACATTTATAGACAAGTATATGAATGTATATAGTAAAATATATTTTTTAAAATTATTGGTCTGCTTTCATAACTAAATTATAATTTTCATTTCATTCCATTTGTCCCGCTTAGTCTCAATGAAAATGTGGTCACTTTAGGTAACACCCATTTGTCAGGGTTAAACCTTTCTTTATGTTGCTTCATATTGATGAACAGAAACCATTTTTCAGTGGCAGTAACAATTTGGTAGAGGAATCTATGCCCATGAGTTGACTGATGACAGGCTAGCAAATGGGCAGAGATCATGGCTGATTGATGTTTGTTATTGTTCTGCCGATTCTCTTGTTGTTTGGTATGGATATTCGTGAATAAGCTGATTCAGTCACTCCTCATTGAACTGAACTGAGTGTTCAGTGTGATGCGTGTTTTTGAAGTCGAAATTGCCATCTTTAAATTCCTTAAACCTTTGAATTGGAGCCATCCTAAGAGGTATCGCTTCTTCAGCATACATTTTACAAATCTCTCAAGCAGCTTCTGTGGGTTTGACACCTCAATTAAATGCAAAAAGAAGAAGGTGTCAAAAATGCACTTTTTTGTCGATTGACACTCCATTTTAGTGACTTGAAAAGAACAGAAAGTATAAAAGTGTATTAGCATAAAAAAAAAACTAAACACACTGTTTTGTAGGTTGCATGATTCTCTATCAAATAACATAAAATGCATTTTATTTTTCAAGCAAAATTTTCACTTAAATAACAGGACTCATGGACCAACATAATATGTAGAGGAGTAAGCAGTAATGTGGTGCAGTTCTTCATAATTTATCTTCTTATTTATGATAGTTCATAATGGAGGCAAAGAATAACAATATTTTTATTGTTATCTTCTGTCATTGGAGGGTCTTGCAAACTCTGATGTATCATTGCTTCCTTATATATTTATATATATATTGTTGCCATACTTTCTGCATCTATATATTCTTTTGATATGCAGAGGTTGGGCAAAAATATGGAAACACCTTGTAAAATGCATGTTTGAACTGAAATGTTTATTCTTGCGAAAGCTGTAGGTGGCACTGATGTGTTTTCTCACTAATGCCACCTGTATAACATCTTTAATATGTTGCAAGTGTCATTAATTATCGAAACAGTGTTCTGTGCAGTTGTGAATGCATAATGTTAGAGTTAAATGAATTTGAACGTGGGCAAATTTTTAGGGCTTATATGGTGGGTGCTTCCATAACCAAGCTGAAGTGTTTGATAAGAGGAGGAAGTTGCACTAAAGTCATAAAACTGGATTGTAAAGCAATAGAAAACTGTCATTTGGTCGAATGAGTGTTGCTCCACACTGTTTCTGGCTTCTGAGTGAATTTACATCTGGCAAACACCATCCCGAGCATATGATAGAGACTGTTTGCTGCTGGGAGTGAGACATGGCAAGGGTTTGGTCATGGTTTGGGCAACCATATCATGGTATTCCATGTGACCCATCATTACTGTGCAGGGTCAAATTACTGCGAAGGATTATGCGACCATTCTGATATAAATTTTGTTCCTCAATGGTGATACCGTATTCCAAGATGACAGAGCTCCTGTTCATTCAGCTCATATCATCCAGGACTCATTTTTCTGAGCATAAGTATGAACTTTCACATTTACCATGGCCACCACAGTCACTAGATATCAATATTATTGAGCCTTTGTGGGCTATTTTGGAAAGAAATCTGCATGAGCGCTATCCACCACCTTCTTTATTAACTGAACTTGCCGATGTTTTACAGGAAGAATGGTACAATATTCCCTTGCTTAGCACACAAGACCTCTGTTTATCCATCCTTTGAGAAGACTTCAAGCTGTTTTTGGATGTCAATGGTTTTCCTACACGATATTAATTACAGCAATATGTTTTTATTTTGGTGTTTCCACATTTTTGTTCAACCCTTGTATCTACCTTAATAAAACCCTGAAGTGGGTTTTATTTGATCACATTTTCCATATTTTAGAATTAAATGTATAATTTGTTATAAAAGCATGAAGAAAACAAAACTAAATTATTATTATAGCTTTGGAAAGATAATTAGCAATCTGATTTCAGTTGAGCAGTTTTCATATTAGAGAAAAATTTGATTTTCATTGTATTTTATGAATCTATATGTAATCTAAGACCTATATTATATTTTATTTACTGTGCAGTTTTTAAGATGTATACATTAATTTACTATAATTATAAATTAATTTATTTCAGTTAAGTAATGCACAAATTAGAATAAATTTCATAATAGAGTAATTTTAATATTACAACATCAAGCAGAAAGGTTACTTTATATTTAGAAAAAACAGACAAAAGTTTCCATCTAGTATACTAGAAAGTTATCTGTCAATTTTAACTTGTATTTTTCTCTTTAATATTGATAGAGTTTCATTTTTAATGCTTAGAATATGCCTTAGTGTACAGATATAAAGTATAACTTCTAATATTGTTTTTAAAGAATCATTTCATTTCAGTTCTAGCAATGAAACACTGTTGAATCAGAAACTACTGCAGTTAAATGATATTGATAACTCAACTGATGACATAAAACTTCCAAAACCTGTTTATTGTTCATACAGGTCAGTAAAAACTGTTTATTTATTTTTTTCCTATTTTTCTCACTATTGCTGTAATAAATGTACCTCTGTATTTCTTAATTCAGCATTTACAGTTTAAACTGACAAAGGGAAAAAAATGGCTTGAATCTTAATAAGTTATGAGTTTTAAAATGCAAATAAAGTGTTAACAGTCCATAATGGAAATGAAAATAGCAGTTCAAATGCACCAAATATTTGCATTTACGTACTTGTTAGCAGGCTTCTGTAACTAAATGCAAAGAATGGTCTTTGCAGAACTTTATATATATTCTTAGATTATAGCAGCCGTTTGTTTAATTAACAACTAACAAGAGTTTTATCTATACCAATGTATTCCTCTTCTTCCAATTTTGCAATGACACATTTATTTCTCCTGTGGCAATATTATGGAAAGATTTATCTTTAGGAAAGTGCATTAGGTACTTTTTCCATTTTGCAGGTGCAAGCGATAAAGTCACCAAAAATGGTACAACAGATGCCAAATGGATTGCTGATGCCCTTTTACGCCTCATTTCAAAACAAGTTGCAGCCATTTCTTATCAGATTGATTGTTTCTTTCAATACTGGCATACAATTACACAGAATTTTTACCAGATAGTTCAGTTTTATGCCCTAAGGCCATTCGTGGTAATTAAGTCAATTAGGATCAATCACACAGCTCACCCGAAGGTGAAAATATAGAAAAGGCAAAGTCAAAGGTTAAATTCATCAGTTCTAATGAGAATGTACTACCGAAGTAAAGCACTGCAATTTTACATAATTTCTGAGTAAGCTATTCGTACGAATTGAAATAATCTTGCATTCCAAATTAAGATTTAACTTGAAATTAATGTAGATAATTACAGAGAGAATTAGATTTTTGTAGCGTAGTTTGCGTGAGTTGAGATCACTTGGGGATCATGTGATATGAAATGGCAAATCAGGATATTTTACCATAAAAGCATAATAATTTCTTAAATTAATGTCTTTTTACAAATTCGTTGTCTTTATTTATTGTCTTTTTATAAAATTTTAAATGATATTAAAATGTTTATACCTTCAAAATAAAAATTTCTTAGAACTAACATTTGTTAAGTGTATACTGTATGTTGTCGCCAATAAAGTCTGCTTGGCGAGATTTGTATTGGCAAAACGTAAAAGTACCGTGCATTAAATCTATTTTTAAATAAAATAGTCTTTGTAGTAAACATAAAAATGCACAACAAAATTTATTAAACTCATTAGCTTCTTTGTATGCATTAGACTGCCAATAAATCAGGTAATAACAGGAACAACATCTACAGTAAACCCAAATCTGGGTTAATGTGACAATAGTTAAAAAAACAAGAAGGGAAAATAATTCATATTATAATCAACAGAAAAATACTTTCAGAATAGATCAACATACTTCAAATAGAAGTTTTTGGGTACTATTCGGTTTCGAGGGCCGTAAAAAAATAGCAGTGGAAATGTACGCGCAAAAGCGCCAAATCTAGCAAACGCGCCCATTTAACCTCGTGCCAAATCTAGCGTATGCGCTGATTTCAGACTGCGTAAGTTTATATAGTTCTATATTTCTTAAGACGCCGTTGAAGTACTAGTTTAATTTTTAAATACTTTTTTGATTTTAAATCCTTTTTTGATATCCTATGGATTAACCAATTTTGGAAATGCCCATGACAAAAACTCGGCGATAAAATTTTGGGTAAGTGCAGAATCGCCCACTGCTTGATGCGTTTTTAAGAATTGCACATATTTGGTATCCATGTGCACATCGACCTATTTTCGCTTAAAAAAATCCTAGAATTGCACAAAAATGGCACTGAGCACACCCTTGACTTTATCTATGTACACATTGATATGTTTTCACTTAAAAAGTAAAAGAAAATTGACAAAAATCCAATTGTTTTTACCCTTGTAAAAAGCGGCGAACAAATAAGTGGGCGATTCTGCACTTTACCGAGAATATTTTCAAGGCATCATTCGTTATAGAAAATTATGTTTGAACAACCAACGAGATGAAATTATGCTTTAGCGATAAGTCGGTAGCAAAATAGAGATGCTGGAATCCATTCAGTTATGTTTAGCAATTTTATATAAATTATAATAATGATCTGAAGTAGTTATTTACTCTTTTGCTTCCATTCAGTCATGTTTAGCCTTTTTCATATAACTTATAATAATAAAAAAGTATTATATGAAATTAACCTTTCATCTAAATTAAAACATCAATCTTAGATAGTTATTTACTATTATACTTCCTTCTTGCCACAATTATTTTTGGCAGCATTGGCATCAACAATAGTTTGGCGATTTTTTACGGCCCTCGAAACCGAATAGTACCAGTTTTTGTTTATATTAATTAATCTTGCATTTTCTTAGGTGTCATTGGGAAAGAGAAAATTAATGGCTATGTGATTAATTTATTTTTACAATTTTGTAATTTATTTTTAATGGATGATTTAATAATTTCTATATATTCCATATATTCTCAGTCATGCACAATTAATAATGTATTATTGCAGATAAATGCAATTCTTCAATACCATGACACCATATGCTATTATTGCTGTTATCTTGAACATATTCTTCTCCATTTTGTATTTCCTGTAGAAGCAAACTATCGCCAAACTATCGCCACTCCATCGATTATTGTCTTTATTCTGATAGTTCATGATAGAAATTTTTTTATCACCCCACAATAAACAAACCTTAATTTTTTTCCTAAGACAAGACCTAGTTAATCCTCAACCAGCTTAATTGGGAGTCATCTGTTATAAATTTTATATTAAGATAAGTAATTTTAGTAGAATTGTGATTAAAATTGTATTTTTTTGTGTCGTGTAGCACAAGATAAATTTTTCAGAGGAAGCCATGCCAGAAAAGTAAGAATACAAGGGCGTTTGCATTTATTCAATTTCAATACAAATTACTTAGTACGAGGCGTATTCGAAAACTAAGTACCGTTTTGACAAAAAAAAAAAAAAAAAAAGTAAAACAATTTTTTCGAATCCAATTTTATTTTTACATGAAAATACATGTCTTAAACTATTTTTCAATATAGTTTCTGCCAATGATCAAACACTTGTCATAGCGGGTGACCAGTTTTTGTATACCATCATCAAAGAAACTTCCCGCCAGTTTCGATAACCACGACTCCACAGCATTTTTCGTGTCATCATCAGATCCAAAGTGCTTGCCACAAAGCTCGCGCTTCATGTGCAGGAACAAGTGATAGTCGGACGGCGCCAAGTCCGGGCAGTACGGTGGGTGATCGAACTGCTCCCAATGAAACTGTCGAATTAACGATTGACTGACACCAGCACTATGGGGCCGAGCATTGTCATGGAGCAACACAATTCCTTTACTGAGCATTCCTCATCATTTGTTTTGAATGGCACGCCTTAGTTTTGTTAAAGTCTCACAATATCGTGCCGCATTAATGGTTTTCACCTCTGGGAAGAAAAAAGAAATTCAGTAAGCAAAATGCCTTTCCTATCCCAGAAAAGAAGACAGTGCACATGATTTTTTGTGATGACATTATCACTTTGAACTTTTGTTTTTTTGGAGAGAATGAGTGTGTCTCCACTCCATCGATTATTGTTTCGATTCTGGTGTGAAAATGAAGTGTGATGACACACCCAAGTTTCATCACCTATCACAGTTTGGTTTAAAAAGTTTTCTCCCTCATCACTGTACTGTGTGAGAAATGTCAGGGCACTACCAAGTCTTTGTTTTGTGAACATCAGTGAGCATTTTTGGAACCCATCGGGAACACAGTTTGCGATAATTCAAGCGGTCAGACACAATTTCGAACAAACCAGTACATGAAATTTGTGTAAATGCCTCTGAAAGAGTTGTAATTGTGAAGCATCTGTTCTCATGAATTGCTTCATCAACTTTCCTTACCAAATCATCGGTGACAACAGAAGGCCAACCACTCCGAGCCTCGGCGTGGACATTTGTTCAACCTGCATTAAACATTCTTACCCACTTTCTCACCATTCCATCACTTATCGTGTATTCACTGTAAACTTCTGTCACTTAATGATAAATTTCGGCTGGTTTAACATTCCTTGCGTTCAAAAATTTAATCACGACACGAATCTCACAGTCAGCGAGAGAACTAATTGTCTTAAACATTTTGAATGTGCACAGCAAACTGAAAACACAACATATAGCAACCAAAATGGCGACAATTGAAAGTCAGTGAATAAGAAAGACTAGTGCGCATGCGTGGGACGCCTACCACAGCGCTGCGACGGTGCTAGAATGAAACAGTACTTAGTTTCCGAATACGCTACGTAAATGGTTATCTCAGTAATTTGTATTGAAATTGAATAAATGTTACTGATCACTATGTTAGCTGTAACCATAATTCCACTTTTGTATTGCTTTCCAATAATTTCAAGAAGCAGAAAGTACTAGAAATATCTCGCAGCCAGTTGAACTCTATTTAAGGCCAAAGACAAAGCATCTGTTTTCAGTTGTTTAGTTAGCTGTTGTTGTTATTGCTGCAAGTTCAGCATGAATTGGATTAGCTTTCTCATTAGATACACTTTGCATTATGTTGTGTTTAACGTTCTTAGTAGTTTGAAGTGCAACTACTGATTATACTGTGTGATATTGTGAACACCTATACGAATATTTCTGTTGATGGAAATAAATTTAACCTATTATCAGATTTGTGCATTCATTCTATTATGAAGACATATGTACGCAAAAATATTCTTCTCCATTTTGTATTTCTGGTACAAATTTTGCTTTATTCTGATAGTTTGAGATAGCAATTTTTCTGTCACCCTATAATAAACAAACTTACTTTTTTTTTAAGACAAGACCTAGTTAATCTTCAGCTTAACTGGAAAAAAACTGCAGTTTGTTTTTATATAATATTGTTATTATTTATCATAAAATTTAAACCAAATATAATATTCCTGTAGGTGTGTGTATTATTTCCTAAAAACAAAACAAATCAGTCATTTTCCTCTTCAGAAGTTTAGTTGGATATGTATGTATTATTCTATTGACTATGAAAGTTGGCTACCATTGAACTATCAAAGTTGTCAGAGATCTTGATGAAGTTGTGCCTATTGTTTCTGCAAATTTCTGTAGTAACTGATGCTTGTGTGTTTAATAAACAATCCATATTCTATCTGCTTCATTGTTGTGCTTCGTAAAAAGGCTTTCATCAGTTTCTGCTATTTTACATAACAGTTTTATTAGGCTCTGCGTTTTTGTTGTTTAGAATGCTATGAGTACAAACATCTGGCATGTATTTTTCTGATTCATTACTGATTTGTTGACCATATTCAGCTGCCCTCATAGTTATCTTAATACATACTTTTCTGGATGAGAGGGTCTTTGAAAATAATTCATTGTTTGTTGTTTTGTATTAAGTAGATATCTTTTTTTTTTTTTTTTTTTTTTTTTTTTTTTATGTTCTGGTTAGAGTAGACTAAAGGGTACCCCTTGAATTATCGTGAAGTTGTTGTTTCATTTATGGTAACCTGAGTAGTTGAATGTTCCGTAAATATGCTTTTACCTAGAATTGGGTGCTCATTTGATTTTTTAAGTTAAAACATATCAATGTGTACATGGAAAAATTCAAGGGAGTGTGCAATGGCAAGTTTGTGCAAATTTCTGTTTTTTTTTTTTTTTTTTTTTTTTTTTTTTTTTTTTTTTAAGTGAAAATAAGCCGATTTGTACATGGATACAAGTCAAAGAATTGCACAAACTCGGTATCCATGTATTGCCAGTCTTTGCAAAGGGGTACCTGTAAATATACTTTTACCTTTTTTCTTTCTATAAAAGGCAAGAAAAAATAAAGCAGTAATAGTTAACTTCATATCCTTGTTCATAAAAACAAAAGGTGGCTTATTGAGAATCGATTGATGTTAAATGCAAAGAAATAGCAGATATTATGAGTGTGATGTGACCTCACATTATCCATTCCTCGTGCTAAATCATGCTGCTTGGCAACAATTTCACAGTTGACAGGGTACGATAATGCTGTTAAATTAGATAAATAGTTTAAATATTTGGGAGGAGTTAAATAGTGTTTAAAAATTAAATAAAAACTTCTTTGCCATTTTAATTAAAACTTAGCATTTGGGATTGAACTATGTTTTAGCTGAAAACATCATAATATGTCATTGTTTTCTATGTTTATAACATTATTCTGTTTCATCAGTGTTGTTAAGTAGAAAAATAAAAATGATTTCTTATATTTGTATTCTTGCAACAAGAGTGTTATTTTATATGTTAATTTATATGTATATTTCTTATATTTTTAATTTTTATATATATATATATATATTTTTTTTTTAAAGTACATTATTTATTTGTTTTTCTTCTTATTGAACAGTGAAGTTGAAAAGATTTTGTATCAGCCTTTCAGTCTGGTAGTTCTGCAAGATTTTGAAGCCTTGACACCTCATACGTTAGCTTTAGTAGCAGAAAATGTTAAAGGAGGAGGAGTACTTATTTTCTTGCTGCATAATGTTAAGAACATGGAAGATGTATCATCTTCAAAAATGGTATTTATGCAGTACATATTGTAACAAAATGTTCTGAAACTCAATATGTAACTAACCAAAGTCACGTGTATTCTAAATTAACTTGTATTTGTATAATATCACTTGAATTTATAGGTCATTAAATACAATGCACCCCTCCCCAATAACTATACGACCATGAGAATTGTTTTAAACAGTTAAAAAAAAGAGAGACCAAAATATACTATAAAAGATGTATACAATAAATGTGACAGCAAATCTATCTGTCATGCTGTTATTAAGATTAGCTCGGTCTGTTGACAATTGTCTACGTTTCCTTTTAATATAGGCTGGTTTCACAAGATATGCAATGAACTGCTGGAAAAGTCTGCTGCTACACAAGATATATTTTCAAAATTTTACTGAATTAAAAAAAAAAAAAAACAGCATATTGTATCTTATTAACAATAAAAATGTACCAAATATTCTTTTTTTGGTTTTTAAAGTTTTTCTATTGGAATTAAGGTTTAAAAATAGAGAGCACTGCCATTATTTTTGAGCTGGTCTCTCTCTCTCTCTCTTTCTCTTTTTTTTTTTTTTTTTTCAAATTTTGGAAAAGATTTAAATTTTGAGCATTATATTCCTTTTTTTTTCTTTCAATCCTCAGTATAAAGTGACATTTAAGAAATCTCCATGATGGAATTCATTTGTAAACATATGATTCTCAAAGCAGAAACTATACTTCCAATTTGAGTTAAACTCAGCAATGTAGCAATCCCTAAGCTGCATTTATGTCATTGCCATCTTAGAGAACTTAGAGAAAAACAAACAGTAAATGTGTTAAGTGTTATATATATGTATATATATATATATATATATGTGTGTGTGAAAACTAAAAGGGGGCTTTCGGATTATCTACACCTTAAGTCCTTTTTGGCATATTTTATACATGTGAGCATGTCATATGAACAATCAACTCATGCATGCATGTACCATAACACATTTGAGGGCCCATTAATTGACAAGTTTTATGTTTAGCAGTCAAATGTAAATATTGGCTTTATGCATTTTTGTTCCTACTCAAAAATCTTTGTTTAGCATAAAAGGCTTGTTTTTATTATTATGTATGAATGCAACACTGCATGTGGTGCATAAAAATAATCAAATGGGCTATCTTCATATATTCACAAAGCCGCCAGTATGCCTTGAGGGGTTTTCATGGGTGTATGAATGACCAGAAAGCACCAATAATATGGTATCAATATCATATATTGTTATGAATTTTGTGTATATATAAATAATTTTAGTGAAATTGTAGTACATTTTGTATAAAGTAACATAAAATATTTGAAAGAGATGAAAATCTTCAGGAAAAATAAGAATGCAGAGCAAGTCTATTGAACATTGACTAAGTGGCTATCTTGCCAAATTGGTGAGGTATCGTCAAGCAGCAGTGGTTTTAGTGACTAATTTTCATTTCGAGATTTGGTGAGAAATTACCAGAAGTCACCATTGGCGAGCATTTGGTCATTTGGCGAGCAAAAGTATCTGGACATAGGGATCAATTACAGTAGCAATTAAAGTTATACAGGGGCTGGACATTTTGGTCCGGTTCCTATACAACTATAATTGGTACTATAACTGAATAATTGTAATTGATCCCTATGTGTTACTGTATCTGTCCCCTGTGTATAACTTTGACCAGATATGCCATCTAGTAATTTTGAGAAATGGAAGGTACTGGAGATTTCTCGTCAGCTGGAGCGAAACTATATAAGAGACATCATCAGTTTCTCAGTTGTTAGTTCAGAGCTGAACTAGAAGTATATTAAAATATCAGTGAGAGCTTTACCTTGTAGATGTGCTGTGCATTACAACATTCTTAGTAGTTTACATACTGATTGTGCACCGTGATACAGAAGTGCTGTACAAGTATTTTTTGGATAGTTCCAGAACTGTAAAGAGTTTCTTTTCGTAAAATAAATTTTATCAAGCTGTCATCAGTCCTGTGTGCATTCAATCCATTACGATTCCATATGCATGCAGCAGTATTAATATTTTGAGTACTTTTTGTAAGTATAAAGTATGTAATAAAATATGAATATGTTTATGATGTAATTTTTATATGTAATAAATAATTTTTATTTTTATTCTTTGTTAATTTAGTTTCAGGATATTAATATGCATCAAGAAAATTTGAAGTTTAATAAGCGTTTTATATCTTCTCTGTGTTCCTTATCACATTGTTTGATTCTTGATGATAACTTGAATATTTTGAGTCCTGCTTCTAAAAGTATAGAAGTACCTGTGGATACTGTAAGTTTTATATTGCTTATTTAATATTCAATTGTTGGTTATTATTTCAGAAAAGAATTTTATTTATTTTGTTAGTTATATTTCCATAAATGTGAATTATCAAATTATGGAGGTGTTCTTTTTTAGTGTTCCTTATAATTAGTATGAAAAATATTTTATTGTATTATTTTTCTTTGATTAATAATGATCATTTGAGTTTTATTAATTACTGCATGCAAATTATTCGTAGTCAAATTTAAATTTAATTTGAACTTAAACCATTCACAGTTGTGAGGTCTTTATTAGATTTGATAGATTCACTGAAAAATTATTTTCTATTTCTTTTTTGTGAGTTTTAATACAATTAAAATGTGTTATTCTCTGTGAAGCTTAGATTGCCGTGAGTTGAAATAAGTATCATTGAACACAGGTGTAATTTATTATTTATTTTTCTTAAGCAGATATATACTAGTTTATAATTCATTTCTGACTCATTATTAAAAAAAGTAATTGAGTAATTAATATGTGAAAAATGTTTGCAATCATAGTTTAAGAATTTTGTTAATTAGCTATGCCAAAACAAAAACTATCCACCTAAAAAAAAAATTAATTTATTAAGGATTTTCTAAGAAAAGTTGATTTGTATTTATATTACTGGTAGAAAAATATGAAAAGTCCATGCATTTAACTCACTCAAATGCCAGGAACTAAGTTCAAGAAATTATTAATGTTTTGGGAACTACTCTGATATGCGCTCTCAAGTCACCAAATTTCTCACAAAACATTTTTGGCGTGAGAAACTCCATGCTGCCATATTACTATTTAAATTTTTTGTCTACATTTCGAACTTTAAACCTAAAATGTCTCCAAAAGCGCAGTTTTCGAACATGCAAAAACCACGTTTTGAACACACAATTTAAGCTAAAAATCCAAAAAAAAAAAAAAATTTAGGTAGCAAAAACGTAAAGTTTCTGACCAAAAATATTTGACAAGAATCCATTTACACAGTGATATATTTTAACGTAAAAAAACATCTATGAATTGCAAAATATAGGCAGCGAAGGAATCTGCGAACTACGCACACCTTACTTTAATAAATTAACATAGCAACAATAAATTTCAAAGAATACCATGGTACACAGCATCCTGTTTAAACTTTAAAAAAAATCTATGAATTGCACAATTTAGGTAACGAACGAATCTACGAACTACTTTCACCTCGCTTTAATAAATTAGCATAACAACAATAAATTTCAAAGAATACCATGTACACAGCATTCTGTTTCAACTTTAAAAAACATCTACGAATTGCACAATCTAGACACTATGCACTAATTAACAAAATAAACTAAAATAAATTTCAAACAATTAAAAAAAAAACAGCAATAACAACAGAAATTCATACTAAAAAAAACAATGAACATAACATTCTACAAAATAAGAACAAGAATAAAATAAAATGCATTTACCATGAATTAATGCTTTTTCGAACAACAGAAATACCAATTTCATGCCACCTTTAACATGCTGCCTCATCATCACTATTGTATTTATATGACAGCCAGACACACTATCCAGAAAATTCATACTATGGTTCACAAATAAATAAATTCACAAATAATCACAAATCCCTACTCCTATCATGCACAGCCACTAAAAATAATCTCCCAGACCCTCTTTCCACTCCTCCAAACACCCACTGCCCCTCAACAGGATGGCCACAATGATATTTCCTTTCGCCGACCTTCAATTCAACAACTTTTACCATTTTATCTTTTCCTCCTATTTTCTCAGACACAGACTCGAACCAACGAACTCCAGCGAAAGATTTTTCAACGTCAACAGGGTTGCCATACAACACGCAATCGCGCCAAAACCCAGCACAGAACACATATCGCCACATTTGGTGAAATTAGGCCGTATATCAGAGTTGTACCGTGTTTTGTTGTTTTAGCCACTTGGCTTGGGTATGTATATTTTATTTAAAATTTAATAAAAAATACATGAGGTAGTAAAGCACACGCAAAATTAATTAGTCCTGTCTTTCAATTGTGCTGAACATTTCTAATAATCACAAAAAATTTCATAATATTTGGACTTATTTGAAACAACTGTATACTTCTGATAAATGATGAAAAATTCTAGTTGTGACTATGGGTCATATCAGTTGTAACCTTGTATGTTTCACAGATGAGTGTAGAGATTCGTACAGATAAGCATAGACATTGCCAAAATTTATTGGGAGCAATATGCCATGCTTTAAAGGTAGTATTCTGTAATTTCATCCTTTTGTATTGTATGCTGTTGTATAAAACATAATAATCATGCTTTTCTTCTATCATCTCAGTTCTAGAAATCTCTGAACATTGGTATTTCAACCTGGATTTGATTCCTGGCCAATGGGCTGTCTATATGGGCGTTTTCATCATGTGTGATATAAATATGATCCTATTTCCCTTAGAAAGTTCTCCACCTAAGTGTATCTTTCCTCGGTCAGATAGCCCCTGCGTGCTTTCCTATAATCAGTACATCAAATAAAACCAGTTCTAGAGTGCAGAATTACACATGAAGCAAAGTCTATTGAGGAATTCTGTCTAATGGAAATGCATTTCCATTTCTCAAAAGCAAATTTCCAAAAATAACTGAAGTTAAAATAAAACATGGCAAGCTTGTAGGTTCTTATATAAATGAGATGATGAAAGGTATAGTGCTTGAAACAGTTAAATGTACATGAAGTGTGTGCATAGTCATCTTTGAAAAATGCAATTGTAAATTTACTCTGGAAATTACCTCTCTGAGAATTACAGGGAAAACTACAAAGACACAAAGACTACAAAGACATGCTTTGTAGTCTTTGTGTCAAAACTACAAAGACATGCTTCTTAAATTACACTTTTGAATAGTCATATTGGCTTTTTACCTAAAGTGTCAGTACGAGGAAAGTTTTCATCAAGACTTTGAAAAAAATGGAATACATTACTAAGTAAAATGTAATCCAAATAAGTTAGCTGATTGCTATTAGTTCTCAAAGATTGTGTTTTTCAAGTAAAATACAGTTGGAAATATACTTTGTATACTTTTATATATGTAAGTGAGGTTTCAGTTGACTTGTTTGGATGTATTAGTTTCATTGTTGTATATTTTTCTAAGCATGCAATTATTCACATTTGCTAAGTTCTGATAAAGATCTGTAAACAAATCATTTTGTTATGCAGCAAGGAAAGCATTATCTGAAACCAGTAGGTGGGAAACATTTAAGAATCAATCCTTCATTTCTATTCGACAAGCAAAATATTAAATTTTGTTGGCTTGTATAAATTAACTAATGAAGAAATAAGATTTGTTTGAGCAAATGACTCTGAGTGACTCTGAAATTATCATCTTTTAATGATGACTTCATAATAGTGGTAACAATGATATTCTACTTCAGTCAGCTCATTCTTACAAAATGGAAAGAAACTAGAATTGTGATTTAAAAAAAAAAAAAATCAAAAGCATTAAAAATGAGTGTTGTAAAATTTACCAGTATTTGAAACCAAGTGCTGGGGGCACGACTAAAGTTTTTTTTTTATTTTTTATTTTTTTTTTATTGAATAATTGACAATATTATCATAGCTGCCAACTCTCCTAGTTTAACTGGAAAACTTTAAATGTTATTAAAAAAATTTAAAGTATTCCAGTGTAAATCGTGTCTTTTTTCATCATGTCTCCTGGTGTCCTAAGAGATCACCAAATCTTCCAGTTATTAATTTGTAGCCTTTACTTGTGCAAATTCTATTTCTTCAATCTTATGAAATTTCAGCATAAATTTTCTTTTCAATCTTGATCTTTTGTAGACATTTGGATTTTATGAAGATTCAATAAACATAATATATTTGTATTTACTTTTGTTTTGTATTGATAAGTAGTGCAATATAAAGTTGATCTTCACACTGTATATATTGATTCATAATTTTTATTTTCATCATATTTAAAAGTACTATGATACCTTAGAGCATTTTTATATGAAAATGTCAGAAAATTACAAAATAAAATAAGTCAAAAACATAAAATTTAGAATATTTAAATATGAATATATTTTATATAAAAAAAATTTTATTAGACATAGTTTATTAGACTGAATCATGCATTATAAAATTAATTTAAATTCTTTTGGAGTTCATTTCAAATGCCCTCATTGTGCGGTATGAAAATTCTTCCAGAGACTTCTGTTTTTTTCTGGTTTTGCAGTTTCAAGATTGGTAGATATGAATAAGAACATTTATATTGAGTGTACATATTGAACTTATAGTACTTTTAAAATTTTGTAAGTTATTTTTGTAAAATTTCTGTATTGAACATAGTTCCCCCTTCTTCCCCCCTTTTTTTAAATAAATAAATCACATATATAAAACAAGAAGTATTTATAAAATAAATTTATTGAATTTACTGTAAATTATTCTAAATACTAATCAAACTAAATAGAAATGTATTGCCTTAAGAAGAAGCATAAATATGATGGAAATATCCTATAAAATGGAAATCCATATATGTGCTATAAATATACATTGTGTAAGTTTTTCAGTGGCAAAATTAGTGTAAATCATAGAAATTTATGGTAAATTACGATTCATGTAAATTACTATATGGGGGACTTTGTTTGATCCTTAATTTTAATTATTTGGTTTAACACATTGTTAATCATCATTGCAAAGAAAGTCTGTGTAATAATAATAATGATGTCATCTGACAGAAATTTCCCTTTTAATAGGATAAAAGCCAATTGACTAAAGTCATGAAGCACTAGTATTTTGCTTAAGCTCTATTCCTGGTGTTTGAATGGGTTGGTTGTATACAGTTTGCATGGTTTTTCTTATGTGTAATGTAAATACATGCCAGTTTTCTTTTATAAGTCCTGTACAAAAGCATCCTTCCCTACAGTTGTTGTACAACCCTTATGTTTTTTGTCAAAAAATGAGGTAATCCAACCTCATTTTTGAAGGAAAATGTATATTGTTGCTTCCAATAAATTAATTGTTTTTACTAATATAATTTGCTACTATCTTTTATATTTTAGCTATTACTATGTGTCTCATTTTTGAGGTATCAAATTCATTTAATGTTACTGATGTTTTTATTTAATTATCTAGGTTAGAAATTCAAGCAAGAAAGAAGCTATTCAAGAATTAAAAGTAACACATCAAGGTGATGCCATCCTTAGTGCTCTTCTCAGTCAATGTCAAACTGTTGATCAAGCTAAGTTGGTTGTTACATTTATGGATATTCTCCAGAAACGAGCATTTCATGCAAATATTAGTGTATCATCTCCTAAAGGTCGAGGAAAATCTGCTGCTCTTGGCTTAGCCATAGCAGGAAGCTTGGCTCTAAGCTACTCAAATATCTTCATATCATCTTTACATTATGATAATGTTAAGATTATCTTCAGATTTTTATTTAAAGGCTTAGATGCTTTGAACTATAAGGTACTTTTATTTTTTAATCATAAATTTATGAATGAATGAATGAATGAAATGAAATTCATTTTTTACCACTTAAAAAGGGGATTTCAAAATGGTTTTTTTAAAAAAAAAGAAATTAAAAACTGTTCCTAAGTAATGCACGTTTAATTCTGTATTTTAAAAAGTATGTAAAATATTCATATTAAACTTCCTTAGCAAATAAATTATGAAGGGCAAAAATATGATTATTTCTTCCTTTTAATATAAAAAATTAATTTAATGTCCAGTTATCTTTTTTTAACAATCCATAAAAAATTTGTTATATATATGTAAAATTTAAGCTCAAAATGCATTTCAAATAAGTGTAATTTTTTTAAAAAAATAGTTTAAATTCATAAATTGAAAATTCTTTATTTGAACCACAGAGCTTCATTAATATAAAGAAAAAAATGTTACTGGTTTTTGATTTATTATATTTGCTTTTCTTCTATCAATATATACAAAAAAAAAAAAAATTAAAAGTAAATTATTATAACATTTTTTTGAAGCACATCTGGTTTGACACATGATACATTCAGATTAGGTGAAGAACCAATGAGAATTAGCTCTCATTGGTTTGTTTATGTAAAAGGGAAGAATAAATTATTTTTTCTGCATGTAATATAGTACTTCGTTCAATAGTAACTGGGAAAGTTATATTAAAATTGCATGTAACACCAATATCATTGTGTCAGGTAGCAAAGCATAAATCTTGAGCTACCAGTTACTATTATTAGCATACCTATACCAAGCTTAAATACAGAAGTGTTGTGAGATTTTTGTTTAACAAAAGAATGAAGGAAGGAGATTTATATAAGTTCATCATCAAATGATTTTTCTGCATGATGCTAAGTAAATAGACTAATACGATGGTGACATTAGTGTTGTGAATTTTACGCACTCGTCCAACAGTCACAAAAGAAAACATTGCAGCAGTGAAAAATATGATACAGGGAAACTAGTGCATCACAACTGAGAAGGTAGCATTATTGTTGGATTAAATTTTGGATAAGATTATCTTGTCATTGATGACAATCTGAATTTTTATATAAAGTGTATGCAAGTTTGATATGCAAGTGCTTGACATATTAAATGAAAGGAAATATATTAATGCTGAGAGCTTCTCTATTAGTGTAATGTTGATTTTGAAGCATTTCTGCAGCTTATCATCATTGGAGATGAGAGCTTGGGATACTTTTGAGTTGGGATGATGATGATGATGAGGCTTGACAGTCATGCATGAGTGGCGACACTTATTAGGAAGAAACCATTTTCTGTGGCATTATGCACATTTTTAATATTGGACAATAATTAATTTTAGATTGGTGTAGATTTTCATCAGTCTCAAGGCATCGAACAAAAGTCCTGCTTCAAAAATCCCCCCCCCCAAAGAAAAGGAGATAGAGAACAATCATCAGATTTTCATCAGTCTCAAGGCATCGAACAAAAGTCCTGCTTCAAAAATCCCCCCCCCAAAGAAAAGGAGATAGAGAACAATCCCCCTACCCTCTCTTGAAGAAGAAAGACTTGGGTTTGATCGCTTCCCAAATCTGTAGAGTTGTATTCAAATCAAAGACCCATTTTTGCCTAATTTTAAATTTTACATTGGCTTGTTTCTCTTATCATTTTATCTATGCATTCTTCAGCTGCTGGCATGTATTATGTCAACATATATGGAGATAATTTGAATGTTATCTAAAAACAATATTGTTAATGTTTTCAACAAACATTTCATAGACAAAAAATTCTAGTTTTCTACTGAACACTGTAATATTTTGTAAACAAATTTCATAGCTGTTAAAAAATTTTTTCCTAAAACATAAGCATTTTCATGATATTTAAATTAAAAGTATGCTTGTAAAATCAAGAATATGTTTTTCTTACTTATTGTATGTATTTTTTATCTAATTATTTATCAATGTTGTATGTAATTTTAATATAGTTCTGAAATTTTTAGGAAGATGAAGATTATGATCTAATTGAGTCTGCCAATCCTCAATTTAATAAAGCCCTCATTGGAATAAATGTTTTCCGTGACCATCCCCAAGGTGTCCGTTTTATCCTTCCTGGTGATGTAGAGCAAAAATTAGAACAAGCTGAGCTTATTGTTATTGATGAAGTTGCTGCTATTCCTTTACCATTGTTAAGGACTCTTGCTGGTTCACACATTGTTTTAATGGCTTCTACTACTAGTGGGTGAGTAATTATAATGTACAATGTCTCACAAATGTGATTTGAACCTTGCAACTTTTATAAAATTTCTTATATCTTTTTATACCTATTATATAACTTTATACACTGACTACCAATAAGTACGAGGGCAATCCCCCCAAAAAAAGGTCTCCTATTTCTTGGGGACGTAGAGAAAGTTTTAATATGGTTGTTGGCAACACTGTTGTGAGTGGTGCCTTCTCCGCTACCACATAAGCACGCAGGTGCTTCGCTCGGATGCTCAGTCTTGGCTTGGCAGCCATTCGAAATGGAGTTCCCGATAAACGTTACCGCCAAGTGCGAAGTGTGCGCAGTTATTCGATTTTTGAACGCAAAAGGCGTTAAACCGGTTGAAATTCACCGCCTATTGGCGGAAGTGTATGGACAGTCGTGCATTGATGTCAAAAACGTTCGCAAGTGGTGTAGAGAGTTTACAGCCGGTCGTACTGAAATTCATGATGAAGAAAGGAGCGGGAGGCCGTCAATTGCCGACGAGACAATCGCGAAAGTTGAGGAACTGATGCGTAAAGATCGGAGGATCACTGTGGATGCTCTCTGCATTTTGGTTCCTGAGGTTACCAGAAGCACCATCCACAGGATTTTAACGGAAAAGTTGCAATATCGGAAGGTGTGTGCAAGATGGGTGCCGCGCATGCTGACAGAAGACCACAAATGGCAACGGGTTGATTCTTCCCACGAAGTTCTTCGCCGCTATGAGATGAAAAGGACAACTTCTTGGACTCAATTGTCACAGGTTACGAAACCTGGGCATTCCACTTTACACCTGAGACAAAACAACAGTCACGCGAGTGGCAGCATCCCTCTTCGCCCAAGCCACAAAAATTCAAGCAAACACAATCTGCCGGTAAAGTCATGACATCTGTGTTTTGTGACAGGAAGGGGGTACTGTTGGTCGACTTTCTGCCTGCTGGGACAACAGTCAACGCTGACAGGTACTGTGAAACACTGAAGAAACTCAGAAGGGCAATTCAGAACCGGAGAAGAGGGATGTTGAGCAAGGGTGTAAGCATTCTCTACGACAACGCCCGTCCTCACGTTGCCTGTCAAACCATCGATCTCCTGCAAAATTTTGGTTGGAACATCATCACACACACACCCTACAGTCCGGACTTGCCACCCAGCGATTTCCACCTGTTCCCTAAGTTGAAGGAACATTTGTCTGGACGGCGGTTCTGCTCCAATGTTGAGGTGAAAGATGAGGTTCAACGTTTCCTAAAGGGCATGGCGACAAGCTGGTATGACATGGGCATTGTAAAACTGCCACAGCGTCTACAAAAATGCATCGACCGAAATGGCGATTATGTTGAAAAATAAAGCATTCTTCAATCTTTAAAGTGATGTTAGCAATTATAGAAAATAAACGGTTCTTTGTATATCTAAAAATATAGGAGACCTTTTTTTTGGGATTGCTCTCGTATTTGGACACCTATGCAAATGACAATATCTGCAGTGCCAAGGTACGCCACGGACTCTGCCGGTATATATTGTGTAGGAAACAGCATCGGCTTTAGTCGCATGCGATATGCCTCGCAGTTCAGAGCTCTCTGATTTCGAGAAAGGTATAATTATCGGGTATCACAAATGTGGCCAATCCTTAAGGGACATATCCTACGATCTGAAGTACCCAATATCGACACTGGCCTATGTGATTAAGAAGTGGAAGGTGAGCTGTGATTGTCGGAACGTGACCCGAGTCGGCAGACCAACGAAACTGGGAATAGAGACCGACGAGTGGTGTTCAGAGAAATTCGGAAGAACCACACCCAACCGATAGTCCTCATCCGCGAGGAGTTTCAACAGGCATCCGGGAGTATTGTTTCAATGAATACCATCTGTAAGAAAGCACATCTGCTTGTTTTTCATGGTCGTCCTGCTGCCCATAAGCCTTTGATCACAAAGTCCAAACGCGCTGCTCGGTTAATGTGGTGCAAAGCACATCGAAATTGGACCGTAGATTAGTGGAAATGGGTTCTTTGGAGTGACGAATCAAGGTTCACCCTTTACCATTCAGATGGCAGGGTCTGGGTCTGGCGTCTACCTGGAGAACGTCTCCTGCCAGAATGCATTGTGCCAACAGTCAAGTTCGGCGGAGGTGGAATTATGATCTGGGGGTGTTCCTTCTGGTATGGGCTGAGACCCTTGGTCCCCATTCATGGTAAGCTCAACTCCGATGCCTACTGCACTATTTTGGATGACAATGTGCTTCCTACGTTGCGGCAGTTTTATGGGTTGGACCCCTGTTACTTTCAGGACGACAATGTGAGTTGTCATGTTTCGACGTTAACCAGGGCTTGGTATGGTGCCAATGGAGTTCATCGAATGGACTGGCCTGCCAAGAGTCCAGACCTGAACCCTATCGAGAATCTCTGGGACGAGTTGCATCACCGAATTCAGTGGTGCACTACCCGTGCAAAATCGGTGAAGGAACTTCTATGTCTTCTCCAAGCCGAGTGGAAGAAAATACCACTAGCTGTCATACAAAGACTTGTGGAAAGTATACCCCGGAGGGTCCATGCTGTAATTACCTCTCGTGGAGGCTCTACTAACTATTGATTTTGAATAAAGTTAGTTTTTCTTTTCTATCACAGGTGTCCAAATACTTATTGGTAGTCAGTGTATTCTGTTGAAGAGTTACAAAGCACATTTTAACTTTTTCTAATATTTTATTAAATTGTTCTAATTTTTATCAAATATGGTCTGATGCTTCTTTCTAGGGATTCAACTACATTTGTTTTTTTCCCTGAATTCAGTGCTTATTATTAATATAATTTTTTTAATATATTTTGTTTTTGAATTTCATATTCCATTTCTAGGCAGGTGTGTTAATGGCATTTAAATTTGATATTCAATACTTGTTTTGATTATTTCAAGATAATTAAACAGCAGTCACAGTTGCACATTCTTAATATTGCAAATCATTGTTTTGATAGAATTTAAAATTATTGTGTGTTTATAATTTCAAAATATGAATGCCACACTGATCCGTAACATTATTTTAAAATTATGTTTTGAATAGGCAATTTTCATTTCATGTCATAAATCTGCCACCATGTTAGGACTTAATATGGTTCTAAAATATTAATGTTTATCTTTGAATCATTTCCATCAAAGATGTTAAATATTAGCTTTTGTAATAAAATATTTAGTATCTTATTCAAAAATTCAGATACAGGAGTTGAAGTAAAATAATCAAGATTTACAGTAACAAGATCAAACAAAACCTTCTTCTTTTGCCAACTGAAGAAGTGCCTACTATTTACCTTCAAAACTAGTACAGTCAAAAGTTGTTAATTCGGACACCCATAATCCGGAATGATCTATAATCCGGACCTCAAAGCTAAAAACTTTCTGCACATGCGTCACATTGACACATGCGCATAGGCGTTTACGTTTGCGCGTAAGACCTTTACAAATGCGCATATGCGTGTGCGCAAGTGCAGAATACATTTGCGCGTGCGCGTTTTATGTGTAACGGACGGTATAAGCTAAAATTATCTAATTATCTATTTCAGTTAATGTTGCTGATTGCGTTGTTCCTTAATCTTCGAATTGGATCCAGTTTATTATTTTTTGCAGACTGTAAGAGCAATTTTATAAAAGTAAACTTGAACTTTCGATTATGTCAAATAGAATTTCCGATGCTGGAGCTCCCAAAGGATCTACAAAACGAAAGTATGTTTCGATGTCCAACAAACAAAAAGTGGAATTGCTGCAAAAAATGGATAAAGACATGAAGAAGGTGACAGAGAAGTTAGTGAAAACGAAAAAATTTCGATTGACAAGTTTGTTGGTATACTCGGCACAGCAATTACGGGACTTGAACAGCAGAACTTTGTAACTGAACAAGAAATTATGTCTATTTATAGAATTAAAGAGAAAGTATTATCACATAAAACAAAGCAACTTAAACAACTTGCATTGAAAGAAATGTTTAATAAAGTAAACAAATAAATACAGTCAAAAGTCTTTAATCCGGGCTCGTCGGAACTTCGGCGATTCCGGATTATAGATCATCAGTTTAAATCTGGTAAGATGGCATTCAGAAATTATAAAATTAAAAATATGAAACCGTAATTTATAAAATAATGAGCAATTATGATCTAAAAGGTATCAAAATTTACAAAAAAAAAAAAAAAAAAAAAAGCTTAATATTTATTTGTTTACTTTATTAAACATTTCTTTCAATGCGCGCATGCGTAAAGCATACATTATGCATAGCCGAAATTAGAAAATTGCAACCAGAAAACTATTTGATTTGTATTCGTGATATTTATAATGACGAGGAATTTGATTTATAAGCTGAATAAAATAAAAACATCTGCCCTGAAGATAACGATAGTGCTGACAGATGAACTTCCAGTTCATTGCGCGCCACGACGTTCTCCCTCCCCCCCCCACCCTGCACAGAGCAGCGTGAAATTGATAAACATATTTTGGAACGGTTAGATAAACAAAGGATATGCCTTTATCCATTTTTTGGAGCAATTCCACTTTTTGTTTGATGGACATCGAAACATACTTTCGTTTTGTAGATCTTTTGGGAGCTCCAGCATCGGAAATTCTATTTGACATAATCGAAAGTTCTAGCTTACTTTTATAAAATTGCTCTTACAGTCTGGAAAAAATAATAAGGTGGATCCAATTTGAAGATTAAGGAACAACGCAATCATCAACATTAACTGAAATAGATAATTAGATAATTTTAGCTTATACCGTCCGTTATACATTAAACGCGCACGCGAAAACGTATTCTGCGCATGCGTCAACGCGGCGCATGCGCAGAAAGTTTTTAGTTTTGAGGTCCGGATTATAGATCATTCTGGATTATGGGTGTCTGGATTAACGACTTTTGACTGTATTAATTTTTTTTTTTTTTTTTTTTTTTTGTAAATTTTGATACCCTTTAGATCATAATTGTTCTTTATTTCATAAATTACGGTTTCATATTTTTAATTTTAGAATTTCTGCATGCTATCTTACGAGATTTAAACTGATGATCTATAATCCGAAAAAATCAATAATCTGGAATCGCCGAAGTCCCGATGAGTCCGGATTAACGACTTTTGACTGTACAACTTGTTTGAATTATTTTTACACCACCTCCTGTTTCTGAGTTTTGTTTTCCTTTAATATTTATTCAGTTGGATGTTCTTCTGCAACACAGAATTTTTCCTTGTCATCCATTCATTACATCAAACTGACTGGATTAATATTTTATTAGTCTATGGGTTAGCAACATCTTATGATAAATCAGGGTGCACAACTCAAATCTATGAAGGACTGTTTAAGAAATCTTGAAATTGGCAAGCACTGCACTCATTTATTTTTACAAGCAGTAATTTTAAATGGTTATTCATAATTTACTCGATAGCTAATAACAGTAATATTAAGAATGGATATTAAATTTGTGTAAATTTTTATATGGGTATTAAATTTGTACAACAATTATTCAAACAAGAGACTAAAACTTTAGTCTTTAGTTTATGTTGTAGTGTTTCCTAATTGATCAAAATTGCAAGATTCAAATTATTATTGATATTATTTTTAATCATACTGAAATTTTAATCAGCCATACAGAGACAAGTTTAGAAAATAATTGAATATCATCTTTAGAATAAATATTTTATCAGGAACTCATATTGCTATATTTTAAAAATATCAACACAAAGATGCACACTTCATATTAGCTACATATTAATGGAATCAAAAACTTGAAAAATGGTGCACTATTTTTATTCTGGCTTGTAATATAAATATTAATATTTACACATTTGCAAATAATGATTCACAAGTGTACGACATTTAAGAAACAGAAAAGAAAATTTGGTAAAAGTATATTTTAGGGTACCCCTGGGCGAAACTAGCCGATATATGGATACCGAGTTTGTACAATTCTTATTATTTTGGCTTGCATAATGACGCTATACAAAACCAAAATAACAAGACAAAGAATTGCACAAACTCAGTATCCATGTACACATCGACCTATTTTCCCTCGGAAAAAAATCCATGAATTGCACAAAAATGACGTTGCACGCTCCCTTTATCCATGTACACGTCGACCTATTTTCATTTAAAAAAAATCCAAGAATTGCACAAATTTGCATTGCGCACTCCCGTCACTTTGTCCATGTATACATCGAAATATTTTCATTTAAAAAGTCAAAGGAGCACCCAATTCTGCGATACAGGCAAACAAAAAATACATAATTTCAATAAACTACATTTTAAACCAAACAATAAAATAACATAAAAAAGGAAAAACACGTTATACATTTAAACACTACAAAAAACAAATATCCACTTACCCTATTTAGAAGTTTCTTTGTCTTTACATGGAATCATGCAACAATCCAACTTTTGCTGCAATTACAAAATTGAATTATTAAAGTATTGTAAAATTATATATATATATATATATATATGATGTACACCACGTGACTTCCTTGTATGGAATATTAAATTATATGCATTTTTTCTTGCATTTCATGTAAATTTATTGGGTTGAATTAGATCTACTTAGAGAATTATCTTACTGAATTAGATCTATCGTCGATGGCACGTAAACCGCAATAGAATAAATTCACTATATTTGTTTACCCTATAAACAAACAAACTCACTATATTTATTTATATTACATAACAGAGTTATATTTCATTCATTTTATAACTCAGAATGCACAAAATTTATATCAAAGAATTATCTAATTGTTACCACATGTTCCATTCAAATACTATAATAAAGCTAGAATGATGTATAAAAGAAATTAAGCAAACAAAACAAAAAAGAAATAGTGTTTCACAGACGATTTAGTATTTCTCATTCAATTAATTCAGTTCTCACTTTATAACAAGGCTAACATACATAAAAACTCAAAATATCTATATTAAAAATTACAAAGTAAATCTTAAACTTTTATTTCCTTGAAAAAATTCCAAAAAGGATTAAGCATGATTTAATCCACAATAATAAATGAAGGCTTTGTTGTTGTGAAGCTTAGTCTCTCTAGATTGGCAACAAATCTACTATTCTGCTGCTTCAAATGTAAACAAGCAATGGCCTTCATGGCAAAAAAATATTAGGCTTAGCGGCACTTAAACAACTTTTAAATTGTTGGTAATTCTAAAAATATTGCATACAGATTTACTAAAGGCATAAACACCTTAACTGGAAGATAAGAAAACATAATTCAATCATTTTTAAAGCAAAAAATGCACAATTTGCAAACATATAAGATTAAAGAAACTGAGATCATTGAGCCGGGTAACAGAGTAGATATATAAATAAATATATTTATATACATTTGGTGCGGCCAATTTCAACCAAAATACAAAGTGCACACTACTTGTTATAGCAGTCCTATATGCGAAATTTCAACGTTCTGAGGCTTCTCGTTTTTGAGTTATACGAGATACGTATGTACAGATGCCATGAAAAATTCTCTTCAGAATTCATGTTAAAGCAGTTTTATAATTTTTTGGAGGAAAAGAATCTTTTATTCTGTCCTTACATACAGATGTCACGCAAAAACATCGTTAAATTGCATTCAATAGCTGTCAAGATAGATATTTTCGTTGAAATATGCTGTCTAAAAACTTTTCGCGATTACAACCTTTTTACTTCATACAAGGAAGTAAAAAGAAAGAAAGATTTTGTTAACCTAAGTAAATCTGGAGAAATTTTGTTGATTTTTATTTGTTTACTTTTGTTTTTTTATTTGTTTTATTTGTTTTTTTTAAATTTATTTTATTTGTTTTTATTTATTTTATTTTTTTTATTTGTTTTATTTGTTTTGATATTTATTTGTTTACTTTATTAAACATTTCTTTCAATGTAAGTTGTTTAAGTTGCTTCGTTTTATGTGATAATACTTTCTCTTTAATTCTATAAACAGACATAATTTCTTGTTCAGTTACAAAGTTCTGCTGTTCAAGTCCGTAATTGCTGTGCCGAGAATACCGACTAACTAGTTAATCGAAATTTTTTCGTTTTCACTAACCTCTCTGTCACCTTCTTCATGTCTTTATCCATTTTTTGCAGCAATTCCACTTTTTGTTTGTTGGACATCGAAACATACTTTCGTTTTGTAGATCCTTTGGGAGCTCCAGCATCGGAAATTCTATTTGGCATAATCGAAAGTTCAAGTTTACTTTTAAAATTGCTCTTACAGTCTGCAAAAAATAATAAGCTGGATCCAATTCGAAGATTAAGGAACAACGCAATCATCAACATTAACTGAATTAGATAATTTTAGCTTATACCGTCCGTTATACATAAAACGCTCACGCGAAAACGTATTCTGCACTTGCGCACATGCATATGCGCAGTCATAAAGGTCTTACGTGCACGTGTAAACGCCTATGCGCATGTGTCAACGCGGCGCATGTGCAGAAAGTTTTTAGCTTTGAGGTCCGGATCATAGATCATTCCTGATTATGGGTGTCCGAATTAACGACTTTTGACTATATTTAATTTTATTTTTGAAATACATTGCTAAACTTATCCACACCATAGTAAGTATGTTAATTATTAATTTTATTTCCAGCATATTTAAAAAGTGCTTAATAAAAATTTTCCTTCCTTACAAAAATTTACATCCATCTAACTATGCTGATATTTATCTAGATGGGCCAGCACCTCAGGCATGATTCAAATTCCTTTCTTCAATCCATCTTCTCTAAATCCTTTGCACATTGAATGCGTATATATTTCAGCTGTAATGTGAATAAAAAGGGCTAAACAACCATTTGTAGGCCTAAAACAAAAACCTTTCAAGGAAATGTCTAATCACTGAAACTGACTTTGGCAGCCTCTGCCAGTCATCTCTGCCAGATTAAAAGAGGGGGGGAAAACTTTAAAAATTAATTTTCCATGACAGTAGAGATTGCAAACTGTTGAATCATCTGATGCTTCCTTCTTTTTTATTCTCCTAACTTATCATGTAGCAAACTTGTATTTCAGATCTTTTACGTAAAGCTGTGTATTCCTTGCAATTTGCATAAATATATAATAAAATCTTCATGTTGTATTTTCTCTGCCAGATGTATTCATTGCATTAGTATCTTATTTCCTGAAATGTTTATGAAGTAAAATATTGTTTAATTTCTATCTGTAACTTTTATTTCCCTATGTCTGGGTGTAGAGCCATTGAATAATCTCAAGAACAATCATGCCAGGATTAAAACAACTTCCATTGGTCTATGGTCTGGTCCCAAATGACAATGTCTATATACTTATTATGTATGCATGCTGCTTATTTATGTACTTTTGTAAAAGAATTTTAGCATTGTATTATTTGATGAATTTTTTGTATCAAAAATCGGTATTAATTATTGATAGTAACATGTATTTTTTTCATTTTGAAAATACTGCAGGATCAAATAATATGTTAAAAATATGAGTGTATAATTCAGTGGGAAAAAAAAAGAATGAGTGAAATTTCGATTACCATTTCTCATATCACAGTTGCTTAAAGAAAATGATTTGTTTTACCTTTTTTCATAATTTTTAATAATTTAAAAAAGTGTATATTTTTATTTTCATTTCTAATTTAGTTGTGGAGCTACAGGTCGATGTTTATATGACAAAGTTGTCAACAACTTTCATCAGCTTCCTTCAGGAAATGAAATTAAATCTGATAGTCTTGCAGTGTCACCTCTTAAGACAGGTATATATGAAACAAATTATTTGTCTACTTCAACATTAGACTACATATAATTTTTAATAGTTTTTATTCCATAAAATGATTTTATATGCTTTATTAGGTAGAAAATTCTTGTTATTAAGGCAGTGATATCACAAATTATATCATTGTAAAGATTTTTAAATTTTTACTCTTTTCCAAGGCATTATAAAGATCAGAAAGGGAAATCCGAGTGCTATGTTTAATTTTCATAAGGCAGTCAATCCTAAATATGAGTAGAATGGGAAAGGAAAGGGGGAAAATGGGGCAGTGGACATTCATTTGGTTAAGTTTGAAAATATTAAAATTATTCTCATTCTTAGTTATAAGTAAGTTTTTTGTATTGAAAAAAGATAAGTAAAGTTTGATATGTGTCCATATTCTGGGGAATGGATGCCTTCATGGGTTTTTTATAGTTTTCGCCTTCTGAAATCTGAGCCACTTTCCTTAGGTATTATTCCATGAAGGCATTCGTTTCCCTTAGCAGATACTCTCTGCATTCTTTGCATTACTATTTAAAATAAGTAATGCTTTGAGTATATTTGAAACAATAAGTAAGGTAGATTTATTGTGATAATGATAGATTTTTCTTGTAGCTAGAAAATTATGCACTTCTTTATGTTATGAAATACATCAACTGTAAATTTATTGTGATTACACATTTCATTATGGATGACGGTTTAGCTTTATACTTATGAAATACATTAACTATATCTTGGAAGATATTGTTCATTAACTTATTATAATTAATTTCATTATAGATGGTAAATTATCACTGCACTTTTTGTTTAATTGTCAAATATGAGAACAAGATTGCTAAATTGTGTTAAAAATGAATTTAATTTTCTAATCTTGCTATTAGCATTTCAACTAACAAAAATTTGGTGCTGTGTTTTTGATTGAAATATGGAAAAGTATTAGATACATTTTCATATTATCTTGATAAGTTTACATATTTTATACCGGGTGTTCACGTAGAGGTATATACAGGAGATCCAAAAGTAAAAATAAAAATTCAGTAATTCAAAATCATAGTTTAAAAAAAATAGTTTACTTAAATGCATAGAAAAACATGAGTTATATATATATATATATATATATAATAAAAGATATTTTTTCCAAAATAGTTTAATTTTTAGCAACTGATGGTGCTTTAGTTCTGGCAGAAGTTCATACAGTGGAGCAGTACAGTTTGCCATGCAACTTGGATTACAAATGTTCAGTATGATGGGCATCAAATTTAGCATGAATCTTTGCATAGCATAGGAGATGGCTTAGCTACCACATGATGGAGAATAACTTCTTAGTATAGCCAATAATGTTACGTCTGTACAGCTGTGACTGATAACTCCATTACCAAAAGTTCCAAGTACCTATTCTGACAAAAAATTTTCATTAATTAAAAAAGCCCTTTGTCTTCCTGTGCATTTCTCTATAAGCTACATCATGCTGCTGTGTGCTTTTTGAATTATTGAATTTGTATTTTTTCTGTTAACTTTTGGGTCACTCTATTATATATCCACAGCGTTTAAAAAAGGGGGGAAGGAAAAGTTATTAGAGGATTGAAATGTTGAGCCTAAATATTTATTTTCGATTTCAAAAAAAAGTAACTTTTATGAAAATTGTTTTAGCATATTGATCTGAGGCATTCCGTAACTGAAAATCTAATTTTTTTCCTTTTAATGTTCCTGTAAGTCAAAAATTCTGTAATAAAAAAAATTAGAATGTAACCTTTGAATAGAAATAGTTTGCTTGTACCTTGCATATTAATTAAACTACTTGACTCATGCTTCTTATCAACTCATTGTTATTTTCTCTCATTTTTTAAAATAGTCCAGCTTAGTGAGCCTGTTCATTATTCACCTGGAGATGCCATCGAATCATGGCTAAATCATGTATTTTGTCTTGAACCTGTCATTACTACGCATTTATCTTTTGGATGCCCTGAACCTCAAAAGTGTCAGCTGTATCCTTCTATAATTATTTTATTCTGAATATTAAAATTTTCACAGAATTCCATTTAATATAATTTATTTTAGCACTGATGTAATTTAAGAAATATTAATCTTCAGGAAAAGGAAAGATATAAATTAACTATTATTGTTGTCATGAAGTTTCTGTACATTGATTTCTAAAAATCAGGATCATGAATGTAAGTTAATTATATAACTAATTTGATTCATCTGTCAAGCCTTTCAAAAAGTATTGAAGCTCTGCAAAAAAATTCTTTTTTCCCCTCTTGTGTTATATATATATCTATTATATTTTAGAAATAGCTGAAAATTAAAATTTATGTTGATTTATATCAGTTTTTTGTTTGCCTTTTTCTTAATATAGTTAAGTAAGTTGTTTAACCGATAATAATAGTCAAATAAAGCATTCATGTAAAAGTAATAAAAGCATCTCTCTTGAGATGCTATAGTGTTTGCTTTCTGTTTCTGCTAAATTTATCAGTATGAAGGTCACTCTAAAAGCCTTGAGAAATTGTTTAAAATAGATAAACATCAAAGTCATTTCTCTTTCATTTTCTTCAAATATGCTTTCTGATGCTGACTGCTATCTCTTGTCCTTTTACTTTTGAATGTTGCCTTAATTTTCCTTTGGAGTATTGTCCACAAACTCCATATAAACAAGCATAATATATTCAGTTCTGTCAAATCTGTTCAATAGTATTTCCTGTGACTTTGGAAAATAAAATAAGATAACGGAGCTGAGTTAGTACTAGTAAAGTAGTCAAGAACAGCTGAATCCTTTAGAAACTGAAGCATTTATTCTTTTTCAATGAGATTTTAATCTGTCATTATTATGTAATTGAATTTCTTGCAACCCACTTTCTTGTCATTTAATTCTTAAAAAAAAAAAAAAAAAAAAAAAAAAAAAAAAAAAAAACATGTTAGACAAGTATTTTCTGGTGTATTTCTTTGCAGTCATTGTTCTTTGATTTTCTGTTTTGCAGTTTGAATATGTCTACTAAAGGAAAGGAAAGTGTACATAATTTTCTTTTTAATAATTCATGCTGTTTTGATCTTGATCAAAAGATCTTCATCAGGAAAATTATATATGGCAGACATGTATTAGTTTATGGATCATATTGATAGTACAAAAATTTTTCAGATGTTTAAAATTTCAAAGATTGCATCTGAACATTTTTGAAGTACTTGTTCTTTTAGTTTGAGTGTGTTTTTGTTGAACTGTCTGGTGACGTGGTGCTAAGTTTTTTCAGGAAAATAATTTCCTTTCTTGATCAAGTATTTGAGGTAGTTGGACTGTGTCGATCGTGTAACTTTCTTGAATACTCTGCAAATTTAATTTGAGAAATAGATTTCATAGAAATGCCAGCAAATGTTTAAGTCACTCATCTTTCATTTAGTCCACCGTTAAAATCTTAATTTTATAATATAGAAATGCTTAGAATTGAATCTTGCGGTATTCCAAGTTAAAATATCCGCAAGATAAAAAAGAATCTCATCAAACTGCAGCTGGTAGTAAGTTTTTCTTTGCATATGGCAGCACTAAATGCAGCTTTTTTATAATAAATTAATAAATTCTTCTGCTGACCTGATGTAATACAGACATTTATTAAAAGCATCATTAAAACATATTTTAACCCTTTCAAAACGGCGCACCTTTGTTTAAGACGCTTGTGCGGAACGGAAGGGAATCGAAGGCAGTCACCGTACAGGACAGAAGTTTAAGCCTAATTTCATAAAAAAAAAAAAAAAAAGTTTCACTTCTAGCATCGTAATTTTTAGTATAATTTTAGATTATTACTTGAGCTCTTATATATGTAAAAATTAGCACTTAATAACGTTTTTTTTTTTAATTTTACATGAAAATATACTTAAAAAGTTTCTTATCTTGTAAAATAATTTTCGGAAGTGCTATTAAAATTATTCCAAAGTATTAATTGATAAAATCCATCAATAAAGTTTAAAATTAATAAAAGAACACAATGAAGACTATTTACAGTAAGAAGTAACAAAATTAAAAATGGAGACTAAGTGTGGTAAATCTCAAAGCACGGAGAAGTATCACTTGCTAACTCTTACAAAAAGTATCACTTTTAACTCTTTAGAAAATTAATCATCACTCTCATCTGTGTTATTAAATGGTTCATTAACCATACGAGGGTATTTTTCCTCTGATAAATAGTGCTATGTGCCATGCACCATAATAGACTGGAGGTGAGGCTTTCCGAAATAAAAAGAGAAGAAACGAAAATAAAGCTGAAGGCAGTGCAAAACGTAACAGAACTCCACATAGTAATCCTAAAAGACTGTACATAGTAGAGGGAAAAATATAATAAAAAAAAGGAATTCGATATAAATCAGATAGGCGAATGTTTATATTAGCAATCCGTGATTTAAAGAGCCCACCTCTGTTTATGCTTTCCCTCCCCCCCCCACTCTCGCAACAGTTGATGAGTAAAATACCAAAGTCAGGCAGAATATATCAAACTCAAGGTCAGGAACCTAAAACTGTGTTCATTTCAAAAGTAATGAACATACAATGCCATCTAGTGGTCTTCAGAAAAACGTTCCAGCTTAAAATGCGCTTACGCATCACCTGTCTGAATGCAATCTCTAGTGATGCGTGGATGGAATGCATGGCTGTAAGAGGCGTTCTTAGGGAATGCGTATATGGGATTCCCATCCTGAAAAGGTTAAAGCAAATGTAAGAATGCATTTCCTTCATTATGAAAAACTGTACACTCTGAAATAATGCAGAAATTTACATCTTTGTAATTAAAGACTTACTTTTTGAAAAATGCTTGTTTTGGGAGTTAATTATTATTATTAATAATTATTAAAGCATACTGTAATTCTTCTTTAAATAATATTATACATTTTCCTTGTATTGCATCTTGTTTTAAAATTTTTATTGAAATGTTTAAACGCTTAATTACATTACGAAATGTTTTATATCATTTAAATCAGTTTAATTTAAATCAGTTTAGATTTGCTTTTTATGCATACATGCATATATATATATAGAGAGAGAGAGAGAGACGATTATTTTTTTTATCATTTTAAAACTAAAAAAATGATTTATATATAATATTTCTTTATTTAATATTTATTTTTTTTTACTTATTACATCATTTGTGAATAATCAGAATGAATTTTCATATTCTTTAAGCATTCAAATAAATTATTCATTTGGTGGTCAAAAGGTTTACCAGAATTCTTGGCATATAAAAATATGTATTTGTTTAATACTAATAATATTAAAAAATATTTTGTACCTTGGATATGAATTTTTCCTCTTATGTGTCACATTTTACTAATCTTCCAACATTTATTTCAGCACTTCTGTAATATAATAGTAACATTTAAATGTGTTTTAAATTATGAATTTATATTTATAAAATTTAATATGTTAGTCCAATAAAATTTCTCTTGAATTCGTAAACTTTTAAAATTTTATTATATATTTTTTATCATATGTCAGAAAATTGTCATGATTCGCATGTTTATAAATGAAATTATTTTATTTTATAAACTTTTAATTGGTTGAAATTGTATGTAAGTATAATACAGCAGAGCTGTTCATTTTGAATCCTTAATGAAAATCTAGATATTATGTTTCTAGAGAAACTCTTTTCAGTGGCCATAAGAATTCTGAGAATTTTCTTCTGTCATTAACATCTATTTTATCATCTTCAAAAAGAGCAATATCTCCGAATTATCTTCTTCAATTAGCAGATAACCCTGATTATCATATTTTCTGTTTATTACCAGCTCTTAGCCACAGCAAGAAAGCATCACCAGAAATTTTATGTGCTATTTTGGTAACAATAAAATTATTTATTATGAGTTTGTTATTTATGCATAATAATTTTTTCTGTTTTCAAAAATATTAAATTTTATTAACTGTAAAACACTAAAGTAATATGCATTTAATATCATAAATTAAAACAAATATTCTAAATATATATAAAAAATTTCCTTAATGTATATAAGATAATTTTTATGGAAATTGTGTTTTTAAATAAAGTGTTTTAACTTGAAATTATGGTGAAGGAAAATTATTTTGTTTTCCGCAGTTACCATTTTTATTTTCAATGCTCTTTAAAGGAAAGCACCAACAACTTTTGCATTAAAGATATAGAAATGGTTACATATGTACAGGATTTTTCAGACTTTCTGTAAATCTCATACTCATCTTACCATATTTAATTAGCAGGGAAAAAAAATATCAATTTGCATAAATTTTCCAGCTGTCTTTTTTACAATTGTTTGTTAAATGAATTTATACTTTCTGAGATTATTTGCAAATTATTTCATATTCTTTTATGTAGTTTGTTAATTTGGATTAGTTAGCTTTCTTAGAAATTTTTTTTTTTTTTTTTTTGAATTATCTATTGTACAAAGTTATATAACGTTCCAGTATATATTTTAAATATTTCAATTTATAAATGTTACAATCTAAAAATACATTTTAATTATAAATGTTAAAATTTTCAGGTTCATATTGAAAAGGAAATCCCCACAAACATAATTCATAGTGGCTGTAAGCAAGATGGGATTAAGTCACAATGCTTCTCACAATGGAAAACTGAAGAAATAGTATGAAAGCACTTAATATTAAATTTTTTGTTATTATTATGTGAAGTAATGGGAAAAAGAACTTAATTTATATATTGATAGTCATTACATAGATTATCGGTATTTGGTATGGAAAAATCTGAAGGCAAAAACAAAAGTACTTTATATCATAAATTTCTGTTATCGAAAATAAATCTCTTTATCAGAATATTGTATGTCATGAAATTTTTACTGGTAGTACTATTTTTATTATTAGTACATAAATAAAAATTTGGGATATATTGGAGAATTTTTCTGCTCTTTCTGGTTGTATGTCCCCACCCCCTCTGCTCTTGAAAAGTCACCAACCACTGGTAAATAATTTTTTGCCAAGTTAAGGCACAAAAGACTTTTCACAGGTACAGATAATCAGAAAGTGTCAAATTTTCTTTCAAAATAGAATTTTTTGTTTCTGACTCTCACATTAAAAGCAGTACATTCTGAGCAAATCTGTATTTTCATTAAGAAATATCATATATGATGCATTGTATTAGTTTTACATGATATATTGTTCTAGATTATGAGTAATATCAGGTTTCTTTTACTGTGTAATTGATAAAAGAAATGGTTCATACGGAACCATATTATTTGTTCTTGTTAATGGTTCATAAAGATCTTATGAACAAGCAAGCAACACGAAGGGGAAGACTTTTTATTGTAGTTTTAAGGGATAGCAGTTTTTCTAAATGAAGCTTAAAATAGATCAAGAAGCAAGAAATATAACTGTAATTCTTATTAATGTGGGAATAAATGCTGCAAATTTGGTATTAAAAATGTAGAATCACTGTGGTAAAAATTCCAGATTATTGCAGTAATACAATTCAAAATCATTCAGCAAGAGCAGAAAATAAAACTGAGTACCTTTAAAAGAACTCTAATCTTCAGACTTAAATATTCTTGAATGACTTTGGAGCTTTTATCAATCTTTTTTATATATAAATCTTTGACGGGAAATGTGACCTTTAAAACACTGTAAGAAAATCAATTTAGATCTTGAATTATATTTTCAAAAATTTCTAAAATGTTATCAGGTTGGCAAGAAATTGCCTATATGTCAGAAACTACTTGTCTGGTAGGCAGGTTATATCCTTGCTTGTACCTTGAACTATTTACATAATTCAAGCTTGCATTTACACAGATTCATAGATACTACAAAACTATATGTGCACTCAAGTTAAAACTCCTGCAAATGTGTATTAGAAATGTACATAAAATTATAATAAAATAGAACATAAAATAAGTTCATTATGTGCCAGTAATAATAATGCTGATATGCAACAAAATGCAAAGAAATAAAGATCAACATTTGTATTTAAATTATGACAGTAGGTTTTCATAATTCACATTAATTTGCACTTTGTCTTCAGTCAGTAATTTATGCATGCCAAAATTGGCCATAAAGCAGTGTCTAATAAAAATGAACTTGGTAACAATGCAATGAACTAAATATTAGTTTAATTTTTTTTTCTCTGTACAGTAGCATAAATATTTTTTTCCCTGTGCAGGAGAATGCAGCAGGATTTCTACCCATTCAAGGCATCCATATATTAGATTTAGTTACTCATCCTGATTTTCAAAGAGTAAGTATATATATAGGCCTTAACAAGCCTTTTATTAAAAGAAAAGAAATGCTACTCATACCCCTCTGCAGCTTCTACACAATTACTAATACTTTCTGTGTGAGATTTCTGTAGTTTACATTGCAATATATATATATAATAAATATAGTCTAAAATCCAGACTTCCAAACTTACACGCTGTAAGGTGTTTTATTTTCTGAGGTGAAAAATAAAATGTAAAATATTTGCAGACTTTGCTTACTCCCCAAATCTCAATGATGTAAAAGATGTATATGCCAAATTTGAAGAAGATTGGATAATATTTAGAATTTCACACTTTGATCAGTTTTGTAAAAGAAGGCAAAAAATACTATTTTTCGTTATTAATTACTTTTATTAGAAAACTAGAAATCTCAAACTTAAAATAATATTAAAAATAAGATCACTAGATAGTATGATAGGCAAAACATATGTTATATTAATCAACTTTGAATGATGTCTTTTTTTGTCCACTTGACGAAAACTTTTCTAAGATGCTCGACTACCCTCAACAAGAATTGTTTTTGTTGTTCGTCTCTGACCAATTAGTTAAATTTTTTTTATCAGAGAAATTCCTAATTCTGTGGTGTCACTGACCACCTTAAGAGCTTTTGCGTGGTTTCTTAGAGAATCACTACAGTATTCTTTCAAGTCATGGATCCCAGTCAATTCAAAGAACATCTTTACTAATGAAATGGCTCTGGTCTTTCCCTTCAAAAACTAAGTTTTTACCCTCTCATCATTCATCTCCTTTTATTTTGCAGGTTTGGTTTCTAAATTTTTAGTCTGATTTTCCTTATCAACCTGATTAATACGTTCTTCCAAAAAAGCTAATTCAATACTGTGAGAGCACTTTTTTGATGCCTTCATCTGGGTAAGTGCTCAGAAGCTGTAGTATATTTAAATCATTCTTTGGAATCCATGAACTTACTGAACTTACTGATTACCTTGTGCCAAAAGCAAAGATATATAAAGCTAACCAAATGTGCCACCTGTTTCATTCCTTTCAATTCTTGTTAAGGAATAGTCAACTATTTTGTAAAGAAGACAATTTTAAGCGTATATTTTGCCTTTGCCATGTACTTTGCTTGATGCATAGCCCGTGGGATCCTGAAATTGGAGTTGTTTTGAGACCAACCTCCTAGATACAGCAGCGAGAGTTGTAATAACTCTTTAGAGTTTACTGTTGGATGACTTCCATCTTTTAGGACATTTTGGATGTAGTTAAATATTTTCATTTGTTGTTCTTTTAGAAAGCATTGTACAGGACTTTCTTCATCCAGCATTGTCATATATGATTTCTTATCAAGTGAAACACATAGTGGAATTTTCAAAATATCTGGATGTCAGGACCACTTGATGGCATGCCACAACACATCTCAAGCACTCCTTTTAACCCTTTGTTGCATCATGTCCGCTCTAGTAGACAAAAGTTTAAATTTGTTTATTCTTCTGTAAATGACTTAACAGATTCCATTCCTGTGTTAATTCATTCTATATTATTAGAACTTTCAACTGTCGATCATAGATGGCTGAATAGCAACACTAAGTAAAGCATTGCTATTTGAAAAACGGCTGCTACTTCTGTTTCTAAGTTAGTAGAATTTCTAATAGTAAACATTGTATAATGTTGCTTACATTTTCTTATACTGCCATTTTTTATTCATAATTAGTAATTTTAGACATTTTATTTTAAAAGTCAGTTTGAGAAGATTGTGGAGTGGGTAGATAAAGATCTACCGAAAAGAGTGAGTTGAAACCCAAATGTACTGCTTATTAAGCCAAAACACTGAGAATGTTTATGTTTGGGAAGGAATTTCAAGAACATTTGACATTTGAATCCAATAGGTACAGGTTACAAAATCGTAGCAAAATGAATTCAATTACAATCGACGAACTGAAGGTATTTTGGGGGACCTGTATGTACATATCAGTTATAAATTTACCATTTAGAAGATGGTAATGATCACTGCAAACAAGGCAGGAAATGATTTCAAATGCAATGACCGTAAATCGTTGGGAAGAGATTTGTATGCATGTACGTATATGCATGCTGTCCACTGTAGTGAACAAACTGTAACAATTATTTAAAACGAAATATGAATAAAATTAATTTTTTTTATTATTACTAAGTTTATTTAAAGTAGAAAAATTACAAACATTTTCGTTTAACTTCTCTAGATTATTTGTATGTAACAAAGGGTTAATATGAATTCTTGGGTGTGGAGAGGGCGAGCCAACCACAACATTGCTGGAAGCAAAATCTTGGCATCTTTGTCACTAGGTGCTGACAATGATGGAGATGAGTCTTCCAATATAATTGTCATATTGATTTCAGCTATAGCTTTATAGTGTTTATTCTTATACGAATCATTTTAGTCTTCCTTTGTACACTTAGTTCTTAATTTCAAAGCAAAAACCTTGTCTACTCATTAATAAACTCATATGATATCTTTGTTTAATCTCTGAGATATTTCTAATTTTCTTGCAATACGCTAGTCCATCACATTTTACAGGGAAATGTCAAATAACTTGGCAAGATCACCTTTTCAAATTACCTATTTCACATTTGCTTTATCCATGTTTTTCAATTTCTCTTTACTCACATTTTGATACTCTACCAGTATGGATATTCTCTGTCTTAACAGAACATTTGCTTTCTTCTCACTTCCTGTAGCTTAATGCTGGTAGATTTAGCAGCATTCTAAAGTGTTTCTTTCATTTTCTTGTGATCGTAAATAAAAAGTAAACATACTTGTTCCTTTTAAAGGAACAGAGTTCCTAAAAACTCACCACTGGGCACCTTTTTGTAGCAACCAAATTTCTCTTTTGGCTCCCATTTCAGTTACCTGCAAAAAAATGAAAGAAATACATAACAAGCCCATTCGTACAAAGCACTTCAATATTAGAAATTTCACTAGTTTGAGATAAAAGTGATCAGTGTGTGCAACCTCTAAATATTAGCCAATCTTGAAATTTAGCATATCTTATACATAACTGAGACTTAGATTTATCTTTTACATAACTAGACTCCGAACTTAAGCAAAGTTATATGAAAATCTTGTCTGTGGAAAAGTGAAACACCCTAATGCACAGTCCTTTTTTTAAATACATTTTCTGTCATTTTTGTAAAGATGTTGAAAATTGTTCCAGTAGGGTAATTTGTCACCAGATCTATTTTTGGCAGGCATTTTATTAGAATTTGAAGTCAGATCATGAAATGAAGAATGGTAGCCCCGTCATCAATTTTGAGGTTACTATTATTCATTGAGTGATCAGGCAAATCCTTTGTTGTGAAGAAATTTTGGAACATTTCCTCACTTTCTCATTTTTATACAATGCATCACTGAATCTGGTGATAAATCACCATTTTACTAACTTGAAAACTAACTTAAAAACTGCTATCTGGCAACATTCGAGTTGGTAATTTGTTGTTCTCTCCCCCCCCCTGAAATATGTTAACATTGTTGTAATAGCATTAACATTCTGATAATATTATAAAATAATATAATAAAATATAATGATATAAAAATAATATAAGTATGTATTTCCCACCTTCTTATTTTAAAATGTCTAGCATTTACATTTGGAAATTTTTTTTGAAAGCTGTTCGGTAAAATTTTGTTAGCCTGAAAGCCTGATCTGAACTGTCAATTGCAAAATATATCATTTTATATCAAATATTGCTTTCACATGATTTGATAAAATGAATAAAACCAATATTATGGAATTTTAATCCAATTACAAAAATGACAGTTCTGGAGTAAATAGGAATGAATATAAATTTTAATGAATTTCTGTTTTGAGGTATATATTTTATCTCTCCTTTCCCTGAGGTTTTTCTGACATTATAAATAAAAATCATTGCAAAGATCTAATGGCTTGAAATGGCAAAATTTTCTTTTCATAAATCCAGAAATTCAATTCTGATATTTTTTTGTAAACTGCTAATAGGTTAATTTTATATCAGTTAATTCTCAACTTTTTTTGCCCCTTGCACCTTTTTCACCACTGCTAAAGGATTCCAAAAATTGAAAAATACTTGTATTATGTGTTTATTTAGTTTTAAATTAATTCCTAACATGTTTTATAAATTGTACAATGAAAACTATAGAAATTTTGGTAAATACTGAAACTTGAATAAAAGTAGTTTTTTATTTTCATGAATTTGAACTAAATACTTTAAGCCAAATAAATGGCTGAGCATAATTTCCAGTGGAATTATAAAATTCCCCACTAGTTGATAACCCCTGGCCTGTATGTAGAACATAGTGGCAGAATTAGTATAGAATCAATTTAGGGGAAATCTTGCTGCTTATATGTAGCATATTAACTTATTTACATACTTTTCTCTCATTTAAGATGTAAAAATAACTTTGAAAGTAATAATGCTAATGGATATGCAATTTTTTGCACAACATTCTTCAAGGTGTTTTTATGAGATCCCCCCCCCCCCCAAAATTTCCCTATAGTTTAGCCTTTTTACTCATTATTATGTTTTCTTCCTTATACTAACATTATTTTATGTGTATGTTTAAAAAATATGTTTTTATATTGATAAAATAATGCTTAAGGTATTGGTATATTTTTCTTAATTGTACATGTATATCCGTATTTAACATAAAAATAAGGAAGGAGAAAATATAAGCAAGGTCTAGGGATCTATACAACCTTTGTTCATTATAATAATGTGTAAATATCTCTATTATTATTATTATCCTAAGAAAATTGCATTATTACAATAATAATAACTATTAATGTCTATTTATGAGGAGGAGCTCCCACCACACTGTCTGGTGGTGGCAGTCACTATAGCAACAGGGCTAGTATATTTCAAGTAGGGCCAAGCCAAGTTAATGCTTTATTGTTATTTTGTTTTTGGTGAATTTTAGCTGAGGGAAAAAGAGTTTGCTAGTTGTCTTCTTGGTTTTGTCCCATTTGCCCACAGCTTTTCTTTTACTGCTTTATATTACTTTTAACTATTTTTTCCTCCTTATTATTTCTGTTTATCTTGCTTTTTTGTAGTGCTTTGATATTCGCCAATTTTTTTAAATGCCCTTCCAGTTTAAGAAAGGTCAACCTTTAAAATCCCAGGTACATCAAATCATGTAATGTTGCAGAGTTTTGTGCTTCTGAAACTTCAGCAAACTCTTTAATTCCTCTCCCTCAAGTTTTGAAGAGAACTTCTCAAGCTACTGGAGTATTCCAGTATACAGTTTTAAAAATTTGGCATGAAGTATCCACAATGGTCGAAAATAACTTCTAAATAACCTGGAAAGATTCATATAAAGCTTGGTGATCAAATTGCAAAATTTTGATTAATGTGTTTACTGTTTTAGGCACACAAATGAATGTCAGTTCAAACATAGATTTTGATTAATGTGTCATAATATGTGTGTATAATGGCAGACAATATAATTATTGCTTGTGAAAGAAGACTTCTCATGCCCAAAAGACAGTGTGAAGTTTTGCATTCACTGAATTTTTGCTGAAAGAAATGCATTAACAAAAGAGAAATTCTCATTGAAAGACCTGGTATTGTATTTTAGGAGGGGGGAATTCTTTGCAAGAAATTAGGAAAGTCAGGGCAAGTGCCACATCATTTACATGAATGAAATATGGATCGATAGTAACTTAATATTTAAGATATGCTGACAAGATGACACTGTTTTAGACACACAAATGAATGTCAGTTCAAACATAGACTGGTTGTTGTCCATGTTGGCTCTTCCACAGGATTTTTTCCGAGTGTTCAACTTGTATACAAACCATCAGTTCAAAGCGGGGATTACCATATGCAAATGAACTACAAAAATTTAGAAAAATGGGTGTTGGAAAAGCTTCTTCTAAATTTACATCCCTGAAGTGTGGCATGCATGGACAATTTTCCATATCACATGCAAGATGAAAATCCAACAGCCATGAAATATGCTTTAAAGCAAACAATGATAAAGTAGCTGATGAGGAAGGCAATATGCTGCAATCCTGAAATGTGAAAAGTAGAACAGTTTAAGTGTATAGAATACAATCATCTAAAAAAAAAAAAACTAATCTATAAAATTGATAATTTTACAAAAGAAAATGGTCATCTTGTTGTTCGGCTCCCTCTTTACTTCTGTGATATAAATGCAGTGCAATATGTTTGGCCATCAGTTAAAAGACTGATCAGGGAAAGGATTATAACCGGTGACTTAAGATTCAAAATTTTGAAAAGTTTATTGCACAAGCTTTGGATGAAGTTCTGTTCTCAAGAATAGAAAGTATATTGCAACCAAGTGGAAAAAAATTGATAATTCTTATTGGAGGAAGGATAGACTTCTAGAAAAGTTAGTGGATGAATTAATGATCCGGACTAGCAGCAGCAATCCTGACTATTCAGAAGAAACAAGATCTTGTGACAGTCGTTTTGACTACTTTTAAGATATTACTTCTCATTGTACACCTTAAATATTAAATTATTTTTGCCATTGTGAATAAGATTACTAAACCAAGTAAGGCTAAATGCTGGTAATTTAACTTGGCTCTAGTTACAGTGGACGGGCTTTCAGCATGGGCGTTTTTAATGGTTTATCATATGTGTAATATGGATACCAGCCATGTTCGCTTAGGAAGTTCTCCACAAAAATATCCCTCTTCTTCAGCTGATACCCCTTGCATGTTTTGCTGTAATAAGATAAACCAAGCCAAATCTCTCAAATAATAGGAAATAAGAAATATTCAAATTGTAGCTGCTGATATTTCTCGGTTCAATGTTTAATAATGACAATGTCTTTAAAAACCTGCATAATATGTAAATGGGAATCAAGTTTGGTAATTAAGATGAAAGCAGTTTTGATTTTAACTCTACTTTCCCTGCTCCCTTTTCTTGTTAAAATAACCAACTTCTGATTTAGTGTGAAGGTATGGGAAAAGAAATAATGTTTGCAAAAAGTATTTGTTGAGTATGTAAATAAACACTTTTACTTTCATATGATTCCATATCAGTTAAATGATAAAATTTTTAGTCTTTATTAAAGCATGAGCAATAAATTAACAGGAATTTATAAAAAAAAAAAAAAAAAACAGAGTATCATTCAAAGACTGAAGAAATCACTTTGAATGTTCACTCCATATAGTTGTTTTATTCCCCATTATGGTGTTCTTGGGGATCCACAAACTGTGGCATGCTTTGCGCAAAAAGAGCTTTTCATCTTTAACGAAAATTTAAAAAGTTTTACTTTATTACAAAAATATTAATTCATAGTTATGTTAATGCAATAAAATCAACTGAAGTTATAAAATCCAAATTTTATATAATTATGAATCTAATGCACATTTTAAATATAAAATAGGTAGCTGAATAATTTTAAAAACCTGTAGTTGGAGGGGGGTGGTTAGCCACGAGCATCTTATTTTTGGGAGCGGCATTTTTTGCGTAAAACATAATTTTATAGCAGTTAATTGCATATAGAAAATAATAGCACAATTTATCATTGAATTGAGGGGAAAAAATAGTTTTTATTTAAGGTAAAGTATTCAAATCCCCATGAGATTTATATCACTACATACCCTTGTTATACCTTTTTTATTTCATTGGAACTTTTGAATGAAAAATACGAATATCAACTAAATATTTATCATGTTTACATTAATGATAAAGAACTCCTTGTTAAGAGAAAAATATTTCAAGAGTTTTATTTCTATTATTGCTAGACTAGAATATATAGAGGAAATGAAACTGGAACTTTTGGGAAGTATTTAAGAATTATAAAAATTATAATATTTTCCATTTAAGAAATGTGTCTATGCTGTCTACATTAGAGACAATCTAGTAGACCTCTAAGATGTCATTGATGGTTTTGCAAACCAAATAATAATAATAATAATAATAATAACACAATTTTAAAATATTGGAATTAGAATATTTCTTCAAAAATAAGCATAGAGTTTAAATTTTTTTAGCTGTAAATTATTTTAACATATATTGAGTCATTTGTATGTCAAGAAGGGTGGCAAAGTCAGTGGTTGCCTTAGGCAGCAAAATCATGGACTGCTTCTGGCTGCTAAAGCTCTAGCTATGTCACTGAGTATTCACTTTCAGAAATTGGATGTAATAACAAAGCTCACTTGAAACTAAAATAATAAACGAATATTGCCAATTCATCTTAAAATGCACCAGAATGGAAAATTGAAAGTAATTCTTCAAAACACCCCTATTAGAAGTCGATTGAGGCTCCTTTTTACACCAACAGACAGCAGACTAGCTGGTAAGAGATTTTCTCCTGATAGACAGCCTGTAGTTTAATTTCTTACTGCTAACTTCAAAAAGCAGTATGAGAATGTATTAAATTAAGTAAACACTTCATTAGTTTTTTCACGCACATATGAGTCAAGAGAGGCTTTTTTCTACGGCTGAAAACTAGGCAAGAGCTTTTCTTCTGGGAGAAAGACTGTATATCTATTGAAGTTTTTGTAATTAGTAATTTTTGCATTTTATTTAATTTCATTAATAGTATTTTTCCCCTTTATTAGATGGGCTATGGCCTTAGAGCTTTTCAATTACTGCAAGAATTTTATTCTGGCTTGTGGATTTCCATTGATGAAAATCCATCATTTGAAATGCATGTGGATGATGTTGGAAACAGTTCTGAAGCTCTTCCCCCTCTTTTGCTGCAACTTACTGAAGTTCAACCACAGAAAATTGAATTTTTTTTTGTTTCCTATAATTTATCATCTGATTTGCTAAGGTAGACAGCTAATTGTTGCTTTCGTATTTTGTATATTTTAAGAATTATTTTGAATCTTAATTAACAATTATATTGTCTCTTTAAAGTATCATAATTAAAGAACTATAAGTTTTAAAATAATTGAAAAATTTCTAAAATATATTATATGAATTTTCTAATTTTCTAATAAATATTTAAACCCAAAAAGGTTTAGATATTTTATTTTAAATATTAATGATAGGATGTGCTTTCTTTTAGTACTTCACTAAGCTTGCATATGTGAGGACGTTAAATTCTTTTTAATACTCAGTAATGAAAAACCAGGGAAAAAATTCAATATTTATTGTGTGTTTTTGAAATACTCACTAGAACAATTTATACACTTTGCCATTTTCTGAAACCATTTTTCCTAGAACAATTACCACCTTGGTTTTACATAATGCTGTTTAGAATTTGTTTGTATGCTATTATGGTTTCATCTGTTCATGAAAACTCTTTATTTGTCTGTTTCTTCTGTACCTGCTTAAATAGTAAAAGAAGACAAAATTTAACATAATGCTAAATGAAATGAATTGCAGCTACTATGCAGGTGGGCTCAAATTTAACTTAAAAAAAAAAAAAAGCAAGCATAGATGATTGGAGAATCTGTGGCTGCTTTTGAACTGTAATATTAATTCATGTCTGGGCATCAGTTAATGGCAGTAGCTGCTCAGTGAAGTGGTAAAATGACTGTTGGATTCATCCATATAATAATATCATGAATCCTTATAGTCTTATAAGGTTGTCTAAATAAATTATTTATCTGTATTTTTTATTTGCTACAAATTTTAATTTTGTGTACTTCAGATTTTGATTCCGTATTTATAATTTCTTATAGTCTCTTGTTTCCAGTAGCACCAGTTTTTTTTTTTTTTTTTAAGCTATTTGAATAGATTTTTAAGAGATAAAATCCATGTTCTACATAATTTTAATAATTTTTTAAATGGTTTTATGTAGAAACCATTTAACTGATTTCATTGCCTAAATACTAAATATTAGGTAATGCTAAAAATTCATACCTAGAATTCTATAAAACTTATATAACTGAGTAAGTAAACAGTAATGCCTTGTTTAGAACAAATGAGGTGCTGAATTCTTTTACAATCTCTCAGGTAAAACCATGCAATTACACATGTTACAGTTACTCATAACTCAAAGTAACATGTAACAGTGCAACTTGTGACTTTGAATTATGAGTGCTATTTTATGCTTATTTTCATTTATTATTGTATTATATTCTTTTAAATTAGGTTTTGGAAGAAAGCTGGTTTCGTTCCTGTATTTATATCAAAAGAAGTAGTAAGTGATGCTATTTATATATTAGTCTGCTATTTTTATGGAATACCTAGTGGTTTGTTTATGAACAGAAGGTGAAAAATTATCATAATGTTTATTTCTTGAAATGTTAATGCCCATTTATTTGAAATTAATGGAAATAGAGTTTTCATTTTTGTCATTCAGTATTTGAATTGACATTCATACTTTTCATCTATTGAAATACAGTCATGTCCAAAATTATTTCTACATGCATGAAGTCATGGATTTCTCAGAATCTGTGAACTGTTCATTAACCAGTTATAATTCAAGTCTTTACCAGAACTTCTTTCCGTGTTCCTCACCAGAAGGCAAATTAAGCCAAGTTTTTTTAATCTTTAGTTGAGAGAGCTGGCAGTCGCATTCTCCTGTTAACTTTCAGCCATCTCTGTTTAAAAATTATGTTCTGGCTTTAGCATTCTTTCTAGCAGATGCTTTAAATGCATGGCGGTGAAATATATGAACTAGCTTATTTTATTTAATGTGTAGTCTTAGACTATGTTATCGAGGTTTTGTGAATTTTATGAATTTATGTGGAATGATACATAACATTATAACAAACAAATACAAAGGAAAAAGTTTAAGAGCACAACATGATACAAAACTAGCATGAAACAATAAAATTGGTAAAAATGTGTTATATAAAATAATAATTGTGTGTGTGGAGAGTTCGGGAAAGAATAGAATAACTCAAAAAAAAATTAAGGCTTATTAATTTAACACAGAATGTAATCTCTCTTGAAATTTAATTCTTTCCCTCATTAGTTGAAAGGGATATACAGTCAAAAGTCTTTAATCCGGACGTCCATAATCCAGAATGATTTATAATCTGGACCTCAAAGCTACAAACTTTCTGCGCATGTGTCAACACATAATGCATTCACGCGTGCGCATAAAACCTTTACGCATGGGCATAATACGTTTACGCATGCGCGTTTAATGTATAATGGATGGTATAAGCTAAGCTAAAATGATCTAATTATCTATTTCAGTTAATGTTGCAGATTGCGTTGTTCCTTAATCTTCTAATTGGATCTGGCTTATTATTTTTTGCAGACTGTTAGAGCAATTTTATAAAAGTAAGCTTGAACTTTCGATTATGTTAAAGAAAATTTCTGATTCTGGAGCTGCCAAAGGATCTACAAATCGAAAGCATGTTTCGATATCCATCAAACAAAAAGTGGAATGGCTGCAAAAAATGGATAAAGGCATATCTTTTATTTCTCTAACCATTCCGAAATCTGTTTATCAATTTCACGCTACTCTGCAGAGGGGGACGTCGCATCGTGCAATGAACTGGAAGTTAATCTGTCAGCACTATCCTTATCTTCAGGGCAGATGTTTTTATTTTATTCGGCTTATAATTCTTTACTAAATGTAGTATTTCATCTCGATGTACTCCCTCTTTGATATGATTTAAATCAAATTCCTCGTAATTATAAATATCACGAATACACATCAAATAGTTTTCTATTTGCAATTTTCTAATTTCGACTATGCGTAATGTATGCTTTACACATGCGCGCATTGAAAGAATGTTTAATAAAGTAAACAAATAAATATTGAACTTTTTTTGTAAATTTTGATACCCTTTAGATAATAATTGCATAACTTATGGTTTCATATTTTTAATTTTATAATTTCTGCATGCCATCTTACCAGATTTAAATTGATGATCTATAATCCGGAAAAACCAATAATCCAGAATCGCAAGTCTCGACAAGTCCGGATTAAAGACTTTTGATTGTATTTGCTTAAGTAGATGGCCTAGCAGCTGCCAGATATGCACCTGCAAGTTAGCCACAAATATAATCTAATTGATCCTGACATGTGATTCCACATGCAAAATGGTGAAATAAATATCGAACACTGATCACCACCATTTAGATTTCTACTTCGTCTAATTTATCTAATTCTGATTGCATGAAGCAACATAAGTGTTTTCAACAATGATAGATGAAATTGGCCTATGGTATAATCAGAAGTTAAGCTGGCATAAAAATTATTTTGTATTTGATAGAATAGTCATTCTTTTCATGAATTTTTGTGTGTTGTTAAGAATTGCCACCAAGTAGTTAGATTTTGTATCAATATTTATGTCTGGCATTAAGTGATGCCCTGTTTTTTGAAAACTACTGATCACTAAGCCACAATTATTGAATTTTAGTTTGAAAATCAGTTATCTTTCATTTTAATGAAATATTTATACTTTCACTACTTAAATGTCTGAGTATTTCTACCTTTGTGAAGTATTTTGTGATTGTTTGCTTTCTGATTTTAGAGTTTTATATTTTATGTTTTGAAAAAAAAAATTAAAACAAAGTAGTTATGTTTTAAATCCTGTTTCACTCTGTATTTAAATTAATTTCTGCAATATTTAAAAAAAAAAATTTAATTCTTTGCTTTTATTTTAATGGCCACCTCTTCTTTTCTTTTCCTTTTTTTAAATGCAAGAATTTGGCTAAGGAACATTCATGCTTCATGCTTAAATGTGTGGATAAGGAATTTGAAAATAGGCTGCAAGAAATCTGGAGATGTTTTCAGGAATACTTTTTTGTGCTTCTCAGTTCTGTTTGCAAAAATTTTCCCTCTTCATTTGCTTTGAGTTTACTTCATTCAAATATAGATAGCAAAATCAATGCAAAAGGTAATTTTTGTTTTCTAATCATTGTAATAAAAAAAATTATGTGTATTTTGTCATATTCCTTGTTTAAATGTGATTTAGTTACATTTAAATTTTTATTTATTTGAATATTGGAAGATATATTTTTGTCAAAAAATTTGATTTGTGGGGGGGGGGATATTAGATAAATGTTTTGTTTTGAAGTATAAGGTATCCACTTTAGAATATAAGTATTATGTTTAAAAATTTTATAAATTCATTAATACATCATAAACTTTTAAAAGTTCTATATTAACTATTTTAAATTTTTGTTAAAATTTTATTTGCAAAAATCTCAATATTGTTACTTAACTGATATATTACTTTTAACATTTTTCTGAAAACTTAAAATTTCATATTTATTTTTAAAAAGTAATTAATACTAAAATGACTATAAAATAAATAATTAAAATTTATTATAAATAGTAACATCTGTCTTGTGTAAGGCAGAAGCAAGTATAAATTTTACAAGTTTATTTCTTGCTGCTTTTTGTTTTTGATTTTATTCAATATTTTTTTTTCATTTAGATCTCACAAAAGCTGATATTGATATGTATATTAAACCTCGTTGCATGAAATCTCTTGAAAAGTATTGCCAAAACTTGGGAGATCTGCAGTGCATAAAACCCATCGTTCCAATTTTAACGAAACTTTACTTCAGAGGTCACTTTAAGGATATTTCTATACCTGTTGTACAAGAGGTGAGATCTTCTGTTTTGTTCCACAGTAAAACACACTTTGCTTCACCTTTAGGATAACTAAATTGTCCTGTACACTTTGTGGCATTTATACGGATTTATTGTTTGGTATGAACATTTCAGCAGTGGGGGAGAGTGAGTACATTTGTTTTGAGTTCTCATTTTCACTAATTTGAAGAACAGAATGCTGGGGCAACTTACAGCATACATCATACATTCATGTAAACTACGACAATTTTTCCCTAAATGAGGCTGAGAAGATGAGCAATTAAAATAAAGTTTGCGTTTCTTAACAAATTTGATTCTTTTTTGGACACTTAAGTTTAAAAACCTACCACATTTATGAAGAAAATTATCTTCCTTGCATAATATGCAACTTTTTTTACTCGACACTAAGGAAGTCACTTTGGAATTAGAAAATTTTCTAAAACCCTTACATTGATTTTTACTATTCTGATGGGTTCTAGCATGGTCTTTTAAAAAGCTCGAGTAAATCTAAAGTACCTAATTCATCTTTTTCCGAAGTTCATTTCCACCAAAATTTTGTTTTTATCTAATTTCTCAGTTATCAGATAAACAAAAAGAACATCCGAAAGATTAGAAACTTCTAGTTTTAGAGTTCTCAAGGAACATACACATTCATTTACTACATCAACGCAATGTAAAATAGCTTGAGCTGAATCAGAAACATTAGGGAAATTAAACATTTTGTGGGTTAATGCATTAGTTAATTCTCTTTTATCAGAATAATATTCCTGTAAAAGTTGCAATTCAATATCATAATTAGCATCAGAAATTGGAATAGACAGAGGTCTTTACATATTGCAACTTGTGACATTTAGAAATATTTAGATTGCTATCTATGTTTGCCTTAAAAAGGTCATAAAAACTAATTCACTCTTCTATATTTTACCCTGCAAAAAAAGAAAGTTCTAATTTTGACAATCAAACATTAGATGAATTTATGTTTGCTGCACTACTTGTTTCAATAATAGAATCACTAGAAGGTTTCTATAACTTTTTATTTACAGTTATCCATAAATCATCTAAAATTTCTTATATTGTTTGTTGTTCCATAATGAATGTATTGGAATCTTTTTTCAGGACACAACAAAATTTTCCTCAAAGATAAAGTGAAGTTCACTGTTAAAAGAATTTAATTTTATTCTGAACAGTTTTACCTCTAAAATTTTTGCTTGTTCTAAATTCGAATATACCTTGCTTTAAACATAGTTAAATTGCTTTTTAAAACCTTCTTTTTAGTAAAAACAAATTTTAAATCAGCCGTCACGAGTAACAATAAGTATTATACTAACAACTTTTAGTTAAAGCAAAGGAAAAAATTGGAATGTACTCACCCCATTGCCGAGGTTTCTGCACTATGCCGCACATATATTTTTCAAATTAAAACTGAATTCCCTACAGGACATTTATTTCATTTCTTCATTCTCTGGCTGCAACTTGCCAGGAATAATTAGATATAAACATGTACAACAGTAGACTGTAACGTTCTTTATTAAAACTAACAACTTTAAAATAGAAGAAATGCCGTCCTCATGACGACGCAGCATTTTTAGTTGCATATTTCATTCAAAAGCACAGTAGTGATAATAAAAAGGATATATCAACCATAAATGAATCATGAGGCGATAGGGCCATCTACAGTTATCAAGGCATGCTAGAAATTTGTTAGGTAACAAAAAATACTGTACAGGTCTTTATAGTGTAAATGTGTTTCTTTTATAAATATTAGGGATCTATACATATAAGTTATATTGTTATAACTTATATGTATAGATCCCTAAATACTTAAATAAGAAAATAATTATTGTCTAATATACTATATAAAATAGTAAATTTTTTTTTTTTTTTTTTTTAAGTACAGTTTCTAATGTATTCTCTTTAAATAAGATGTGTTTGGTTTTAGGCTATATTGTTGTCATTTGGTTTACAACATAAAACAGCTGACGAAATTTCAAAAGATTTAGGTTTGCCATCTATACAGATACATGGACTTTTAAACAGAACCATCAGGAAACTCACTAAACATTTGACAGATATCATTGAGCAGACTATAGAAAAGACGATCATTGCTCCAGAAGTCAAAATGGAACCCCTTACTCAAGATCTCGACCAAGAACTGGTAAGACCTTTTACTTTTTAGATATTTATATATTAATTCTTTTGTGTTTCTTTTTTGTTTACTTTGACAAGCTTAGGCTTTTCTTAGCAATGATAGCATTTTCTAATCATTTATTTTGACAATATATGTTCGATCATAGAATTTTCCCCCCATTTTTCTTCTTCCATTTTCAGTAAATGTATTAATCATAGTTATTCAAATTTATAAACTCTTTGTTGCTTTTTATAAAACCTATCTGTAATCAATTATAGCTTCTTAAAATAGCAGTGAATGAATTGTAAGGCTGTCATATATATTACATGGTTTTATTTAAACCAAATTCTAAAACACATTCTTACAGACAGTTGATTTTTTCGATGTTGTGCACCCATAAAATCCTGCTTTTCTGGACGTACAGTTCCATTTGATGTCAATTAGCACATTTTTCAACATTCAGTTGTATGGAAAAGTTGGACAGCCTCTGTTTGATGACTAGAGAGCAACAATTTTACACTTGCAAGCAGGAAAACGTTCCTTCTCATTTTTCTACAGAGAACATCCTGAGGGATAGATCAGAGAGTCTGCCATCCCTCTTTTCCTATCAAAAAGCCTGTCAAGTGAACTTTCAGTTCAGTAGTATTTTATGTGCCACATACTACACAGACACTATACACTTAGATGGGCACACTTCTGTAGGATTTGAATCTATGTTAAGTGATACAGTAGCACTAACCATTATACTGGCAAGGTGAATTTTCTAAATATAAAAGTGTAAGAAATTTATAAAATTAAGTTAACTAAAGATCAAAAATTTTAAAATATCTAATTAATTATTGATCGATTTTACATCAAAATCATATTATAAATTGTTTAGTAATCTATATAATGCATTATATCTATTTGGGGCACTATTAAAATGGTAAAAACCTACTGAAAACTACTGATTTTTCATATTTCAAAGTTTACAGGTATGGCATATTGAACATAATAACCAACTGGCCTTTTTTGTGGTGGTCTTGAATATATTTTTCAAATTCAGAGTATTGTGGAGCATATTAGGAAAACAAGAGGCAAGCAAAAGAATGTTTAAGGAAAAAAGGTGAATGCTCTTCTTAAAGTTTTCAACATAAAGATTTAAATGATTCTCTAGCAGTCAGAAAATGAAAAAGAAGCTTTTTTTACATAAGTGGAATATAAATTTAAAATGGCAAAGTTACTTTATTTCTGAGAAACAATAGTGTGTGTATTTTCATTGTTACTAGTTATTAAAAGGTTTAGATACCATTAGGCAGCGGCATTTAACATTTGTTGTAAATTTTGATATCACTAACATTATATAAGTGTCATATGACAAGCACTAACTTAAAGATGCTGTGCTTCATAAAGATTATAAGTATTGTGCTATTTTTAAGGCAGGGAGAAGGAAATTATAGTTTTTAAAAAATTTAGGAACAAAAATTTTATACTGTGATACCTCAAAGCAACACAATAAGAAGTACTGATAAAATGAACATAAATGGGGTCTAACTTTGCATATAAGTACACATCAATTTTTATTAAATAGTGCTAAGTTCTGAAGAAAACACTTAGAAGAAAAGTATGTAATAAAGAATACAGTTTTATGGCACAAAATAGTATATATAATAGTATATGTCACAAAATAATATATCAGCACAAAATAGTATACGGCATAAAATAATATATCGGCACAAAATAGTATTAAAATGTTAAAATGTGCTCTTCTTAAAGTTATATATAAAAAGGGAATTATCTTGATGCCATTATAAAATCTAATAAACTTCTCTGACAACTCAGTGACTTATTTCATCACATGAAAATTTTTTATAGCAAACTTCTTCCCCCCCCCCCAATTCCTTGCCTTGCTACTAGAATACTTTCTAAATTATAATCTATATTCTCCAAAATTTATAACCCTTTTTCAATTGATCCACAGTTTTCTGTCAAGTTTGCAACTGTCATACGCTTTTCTAGTGAATTTGATGTTTTCTTTAGTAGCAATATGCTGATGTATTTCTGTAAGCTCATTATTTGTTAGCATTTTACTGTGTGAATCCAACAGCTCCCTGATGTCATAATTATCAATTTTCCAATCAAATTGCCTGCTAACAAATGAAAACTTCTACTGTTGCAAAAAAGACTCAATTAGCTTCTGAAGTTTTTCATCCCGCTTTTATAAAACAGTGGACAAATTTTCTTCCAGATGCCATTGAAGGTTTCTTAGAAAATTTCATTCCAGGGTTCTCTAGCAATTCGTATAGCATCTGAAACATTGAATTGTGCCCACAAATCTTTAAGATAGATGCCTCATAAAGTTATTCAAGTATGCAAACAACCATGTTGTGTAATAAGCCTTGAATGTTTTAAATGCCATCTTGGTTCATTGCTTGAATCTGGTTGTATTTCGGGGAGGGAACTTTCACACATGATGAAGTGATTTGCATGGTAGATACTGGCAAACAAAGTTAGAGGGAAAAATAATTAGTTGTATTACTCAAGTTTATGTCAGGGTATACAACACATAGTTCCTGTTCAAAATCTAGTTGTCTCTAAACTGAACTTAAGTCAAAGTCATAAAATATCATTAGAACTCATAAAAGATCAAAAACTGTATTTATATATAAATAAATAAATTTCATAAATAAATTATATGATGATTTCAGAAATTATTATTCAAATAAAATTTTACCTGCTTATAGGAAGAAGCTGCAAAAAAGATTCAACAACAACAAATTGAAGATTCAAAGAAATTAAAAGATTTGGATCTTTCACAGTATGCTATTAAAGGATCTGAAGATGAGTGGGAGAAAGCTTTGCATACTGGACGTAAGACTCTTGTCAGCATAAAAAGGTGAGAATAATGTAGCTTAAATTTTTTTTCAGTACTTTTTTTAATGTTTGAATGAATTTTAATTGTGATTCATATTGTGATGTATTGATAATTTAATGATTGTAAATACTGAAACATTAAAAGATGTGTAAAAAAAATTTTCAACATTAGACATTTTCAAAAAAGTAATAATTACTGGATTTAATATAATTAATTTTGCTGTAGAAAATTTATTTTTATCACGGTATTCAAATTTCAATACACAATCAAATATTAAAATTAGTTTGTTTAATAATGAAAACAAATAAATGAATTTAAAAAAAGGGAAAAGTTAAAATACATAATTAAGGCAAGTGGATTGGCAACTCTTATACACTAGTTGATAATCAGCTATAAAGTTTCCTGTTAAAAATACTGTGGCATAACTTAGCAGCACCCAATTGCATCTTCTTAACATGCTGAAAAAGTGTATGCTTGTAAGATTTAAATAAAAAAGTGCATAATTAACAAGATGCACATAAAATAATCTGAATATTGGTTAATGATACAAACTTATGTGCCATCATTGTGGCTTCTGATTTCTTAATTGTTCAGACTAATTACTATATAGACATATATCATTAGCCAAAGAATCAGCAACTTCTAATATTTGGCCTTTTTGGTTCATCTCAAACATTATGACCATTAATAATATAAAATACTCATTCACTGCACCTTTTTTTTTTTAAAATTAATTATGTCTAACAATTTTATTTTTGCCAATTACAATTATCTGTCATTGTCTATAAACTAATTCTTTTATGAAGGAATTTTTTCCACCCCTTTCCTGTAGAATTATGTTGTTCTGTCATGGAAGTATTTTGTAATCCACCATGAAGGTTCTTTACATTGTCATATTCTTCTTTATTTAAAAGAAAATTATGTAATGGCTAAATGAGGTGATAACTTGGTATTGTCTTAGATTGGTATGAGTCTCTACCTACACTTGTGTAATATCCTTTGTTTCCAAACAAATGTATAGACTCTCCCATTTATCATTACGGAATACCACTCTGTTACATTCAGCAATGATAGTTTTCTTTCCTCCCAGGCTATTGCAGAGATGATCCAACTAGGGGCAGATGCCTTCTTGTTTATTTTTTTTTTCTTCCTCTCCATGGTAGAAAGACTTAATGGATCCTCTCTGTGAAATTCTCCCAGATCCTTAGCATAACTTTTTGTGCAGTTGTTTTGTTTTGAATTATCTAGAATTACCTGGGCTACAATCAGATGTCATTTGACTTTTTGTAGCTAACCTTTTTTTCATCACAATTAACACATTAACATGATATAAAAGTCTATAATTCTAAAAAATCTCTCTGCCTGGCAGGTTTAAAATAATTCATTAACTTTTCTTTCCCTATCTCTTTTCAATGATTTATGTGATATTTAGTGTCAAATTTACCACGGATCCCCAGTATGAATCCACTTCCTTATTATCAACTTATGAATACCATACTTCTTGACTAAATTTGTCATAATAAGCTTGTTTTCACTCTCACTGACATCTAACAGATATTTATCGTTTAATTGGTCTTGAACCAGTTTTTTGAGCTGTCTTTCACCATTACTGAAGTGCACTGCCAGTATTGGTATTTTCATTCTGGTGCAGCATTACTGCTACATACATCACTTGTCATTCAGCATGCTTTTATCACATTGCTTTTTAGTCTGATAGTTTAGTCATAATATGTACATTTTAGTCATAATGTCTCGTAGGCTTTTTCTAGACTTTCATCTCCCCTCTTTTGCTTGACACCTTGAAATAACATTAAATGCCATATCAATATCTTTTACTTGATTTAATATTAGAAAATCTCATATTACCCTGTTGCCAACATATAAACACATAGGGGAAAAAAATTGGTGTATTTTCAATACATTGATTCATTTAGCATGTATACTCTTTTTAAATAATGAATTAGAATTTTATTTTTTCTTTTCTTTGTTCTAGTATAAAGAAAAAGCCAGAAGAAGTAGAACTTCCAAAACCTAATCATAATGTTTCATTTAAAGGAAAACATAGACAGGGGAAGAAAAAGAGGTAGCATGCTCTTATAAAAATGGTTGTACATATTCCTGATATAAATAAAGTTATTTAATTTCAAATGAATTAATTGGTGATTCCATTATATATCCAGATTTTAGCATTGCTTGAGGTTTTTAAGAAATTTATTTTTGCATCTTCATTCATCATAATCTGATAAAAACATTTTAAAATGTCATTTCATTAAAGTACAAGTTTAGCAAGTACAAATATATTCTGACTAAAGGTATCACAGTTATTCAAATAATCTTGATGATCAGATCATTTGATTATTATATATCTGTAATATCATGTAATCTGTATATCTTAAACTAAATACAGAATAATAATAATAAAAAAGGGGGGAAAGAATATATATAAAAAGAGGGAAGGCACAGATTTTCAATTTATCCAGATAAAAGTCAGAAGACAAATAATGGATTAGGCTTTTTCCAACACTGATATTTCATTCTTGCTAAAGTGGAAGAAAGAAGCCATAAGGGGAGTAGTTGCTTATAAGCCAACTAAGATCAGTGTTGTCACCAAACTTGTAAAATAAGCAGGCCTTGACTTAGAGACTCAAGATCCCTAGGCACTTGTTATTTGGGCCCTCCACCATCTCGAAGCTATTTTGGAAATTTAGCAAATTAAATGCACTAGTACAGAACATATAGTTTTTAATCAACTTTAATGACTTTAATAAACATCGGAATAATACAGTCTATATTACTATAGTTACGTTATTCTATAAAATTTATAGAATCATACGGCAAACCTTCATTTTTAACTTTCAATTCCGCTTTCAAACATTATTTCTGACTCTATGTACATTACAGAATGTGAATTGAGCCTGTTCTCTCCTATGTTAGATCTTAAGTAATTCTTTACTCTCTTTAGCGCTGAAAATGACCATTCTGCTAAGCAGTTTGACACTGGTGTACACAACAGCATTCAGAGTGAAATTCCTACACTTGGATAAATGTCCAAAAAGCCTTTTTAGCTTGTTGCAGTCGGACGCATTTGTTGGAGTTGCCTGTTGATGGCCATCAGCAGCATCACTGCAACTGCCAATGGCTAATGCACTAGTGCTACTAGTACTAGGACTAGAACCAGAACTAAGTCTAGACATAGATGAGATGAAAAAGTGTTTAACTTTGGAACATTACGAAGAACCTGTTTTTCGAATTTTCTTTATTTTGTTTTCTTTTCTCGAACCCGCTTAGTTTTTTATTGAAGTCAGACATTGTGACATCAATAATTTCTATAATGAATATAAAAGGAGAGGGTCATTAAACAAAGGAACCACTCGTCCATTGTCATGTTGTATGCGAGCGAGATGAACAACCGTATTTCAACCATCGACACAAGAAAACTAGAGACAGGAGAGTAAATTCATGTGGAGGGGGTAGACTAAAAAATTACAGGCAGATCTCACGTACGCGTACACTGCGCAGTGGAACAAAGTTTGCTTTCAACGCAATGTTTGAAGCTTCACAGTTGGTGCAGAACACTGCTTACAAGAGGGGAAACGAAGAGGCCTAATTCTAGCTTGGTTGCGTGCAGGGCTGCAAGTTATATTATGAGCACCTTGTTTTGTCAAAACGTAGTAAAAATATTTATTATAATATTATTTTCGATAAAGCTTTTTGATAATGCAACCTAGGCTTTTGAGCTTACGTAGAGATTCCACCACTGCGGCTCCTAGGCTGGGGCCTTGTAGGCCTAGGCAGAAATCCGGCACTGAAAATAAGTGAAGGAATTTCAGTTCTTGCTCTGACAAAGATCATGCTTTTAATATCCTTATTTCTGTAAAATAAATACTAGCTACCTTTTTTTTTTTTTTATGAAATTGTTTTATTGGTACGCAATCCCTTTCTTTAACACACAGTATGTTTTACTTTTAATGTCTTAACCCATTAACACCCATATTATTTTAAAACGAGAATTTTTGAAAACCATTTTTAAATTACATTTTATATATCATAAATAAAGTAATTATGAAGTTTTATTCAATTGCCATAATTAGCAGTTCAGATAATAGGTGATCTATAAATAGATCGCTGGGCACTTCTGTTAATAAAAGAACAAGTAACTCCCCTTTGATCTTACATTTAAAAAATTACAAATTTAGTTTAAAAAATATGAATTTTTTGCAAAATCAAAAACAATTATAAAGATTTAAAAGAATTAAATATTATTTTACTGATCTTAACTTCCTTGGTTACATTTTTATTGAGCAAATAGGAGTTCCCTTATATTTTTAAAACTGGCATCTTTGGTTTCGTCTCTTACCTATAACATGGTCTTTTCTATCTAAATATATAGAGCCCATCACTTTGGTCTCGATGACATCACCAAATGTTTTCCATTGCTTCGAATTTGTCCCCAGTTTGAAGTATGTAACCGTGATATGTCTTCGGATGTCTTTTATACTTTTTTTCACCACTCGTGTTCCAAGCAGTTCATTCGAAGTTTCAGGAGTGTTGTCAAAATTCTCCTCTCTACAGTGCAAGTCAAAATTATCTCAGTAGATCCATTTATAGATCAGCATGTTTAAGCTAAAACATTTACTCCACACATGGCCCATGATTTATACCAAAACTGTATAGGTTTGCCTTTTAGAAATTGTTTGAAACAATGACCATAATATCTAATCATCATTTCATCAACAGACAGAAATTTATCGAAAAGGCCAAATTTTTTAAAACTGTGATTTATATGCGTGATTAATTTTCTTACTTTGAAAGCCCAGTCTGATTTTTGCATTCCTGCGTAATTACTGTTGGCAAAATGGATTACAGATTTAATATCTAAATATTTATGTAAAAACATTGCGTTTTTTACTATTTTACTACTGCGCTATTTTTACTAGAGATCTTCCTCTGACCAGTAATCATGTTCATTGCATAAAGTATGGTAGCCAGAGAAAATCGAAAAGCCAATAAAACTCTTCAACTCATCAATTTTAACTGAAAACTCTGACTTATTTTTTCACTTTCGCATATCTTTGTGTTTATTTATTACACATTCGTAAAATTTGTGAGTTAAAATTCTTCAAAAATTTCAAGTGGATTCATATTCTCTAAAATGTTTGAAATGCTCTCCAGATTACCAGACAAAGTACCTTCTTTGTTAAAAGCATAAGTAGGGTTATTTTATATCTAATTTGCTTTTGGCTGCAATTTTTTTTTTTTTATATATATATAATTTCATCCTAACCCTTTTTTTATTTTCATTTTCATTACTGGCGATAGTTGCTCCATATTTTTAGGACCAAAAACCTTAGTTTTTACCGATGGAGTGATCGTTTCACCATCATCAAAGAACTTTTCGTCAGTTAACTCGTCCACATCAGGCAGTAAAGCAATTATATCTGACTAAATTTCCTTAGAAGACATATATTCTAATGCTTCTTCAATGGTGTGAAACACTTTATGCCTGGACATTTTGGAAAAAAACCACTAACTATTAGTTACCACTAACGCCCAGCGATCTATTTATAGATCAGCATGTTTAAGCTAAAACTTTAATTATAAGAACAGTTATTTTTCTAAACTAAATAACGCAGAACAGTTGAAGAGGTATTGAAAATGTAGAATATGTAAGAAAAATATAATTTACTAATATTTTTTTTTTTTTTTTTTTTTCTTGTTGGATACAAAATTGAAAAGCTGCATTATGAAGCATCACTTGGCTAACTTTAGACGTTATCTGCTTTGACTGTTCTGGTAAAGAATGTTTCAAAACGATTTTGGGGGTATGGCCACATGTGTAAGGAAATCAGGCAGTAACAAAAAGAAGTGATTAAAATATTTTGTTCTCAATGGTCGTTCTAAAAGTAGCTGATTTATAAATAGATCACTGTGCAGTAATGGGTTAAACACTGTGGCATAACTAGAATTTTTGCCACCTGGGGCAGTTGCTAAATTTGCCATCCCTTATGATGCACAAACAAATAATATTAAAAAAAAAAACGAAATGTAAAGAAATAAATTAAAACTCTACATTTATTAACTTTAATTTCAACAATTTAAAATTATATTATTTTGTTCTCAAAACCATTGATGACATTGTAGAGGTCTATTTGAGTGCTTCAATTGCTGTTATGTAAGGAAAGATTTTTTAAAGTGTAAAATGTATTGTTCTTCAATGAAATTTTTGTTGGAAAATGCTTCTCACAATTAGCAACACTTGCAAGCAGTTGAGAGGAAAATTTAGTAATAGTTTAGAACTACTATTACAATATGTAAAACTTTCTTTAGGAGATTAAGAACTTCTTTCCCACATTCTTGTTTCGATTTTCCTAGCAATAATAGAAATAAAACTCTAAAATACTTCTTCATGATAAGAAATTCTTCCTTATGAATGTCACCATGATCATAATTTAGTTGATACTCATAATTTGCATTCAAAAGTTTTAACCGAATAATTTTATCTAGAGTAAAAATTCATTTTCTGTTTAATTCTATATGGCAATTCAGAATCTAATTATTCTTCACTTCCCTTGATGATCTACCTGACTAACGTTATACAATAATTTTGCTAAAAATGCTGCCCAGGCAGATCATCTAGCTACACCAATTAAATATGTTTTATTTGTGTAATGCAAAATGCATATCTTGCACATAATGCAAACATGTGTACAGAATCTGCTATAGGAAATCCATTATAATATCCCTAAACTCAGCAAGAGAGTGAATATCTTATAAATAACATTTTTATATGTTAAAAGAATAGAATGATGACAAGATAACTAGATACTGCCCTAAGCATTATGTATAAAACCAACAATCCACCTATCTTGGAAGAGTTTATAGGCCATGAAGTAGTAAGTTCAAAAAACACTGCAGATAGTGTTATGTATATGCTACACTATAATACCAAATTTATTACCAGAAGCACCATGGAAAAGGTGACCATGAGGTAGTAAAACTGTATCAATATATTGTTGGTTCCGGTTGCAAACATATAGAAGAATGCAGTTCATTGATCATAATGCCAGCTCATACTGATACTGCATCTTATATATTGGTCCTTTCCTGGATATGTTCTGGACGATAAGCAGTACCCCTTTCATGCCAATTCAG